TTAGAGGAACAAATAAGGAGTGAAAAATTCAACTTAAAGGGAAAAAGACTGAGATAACTTCTTCTTTTTACTTCTGCTTTTTCTCAATGGAATCCTTACAAGAGTAAGACTTTGGTTTTTGGTTCCGTTGTCACGCCAACAAGCCGCTTTGGCCTTAACCTCAAAGTAGCGGTTAAACAAAATAAAGTGCCTAGAGAGGGGGGTCGGGACATTCTCATTTGCACACGCAAGTCGTGAGGCCTCTGTGAAGCACAATGTCCCCTCTCTCTCTTTCACACACACACAAACACAAACACACACACTCACACACACTCTCTCTCACTGGTTTGTTCCCTGAGTCAGCACTCTGCCTCAGCTCCAGTTTCTCTACCCCGGCCCGCCTCTGCCCGCCTGCCTGCAGGACACTATTAGGACATCACTGTATGTGTGCGTGTGAGAGAGAGAGCGAGTGTGTGTGCGTGCCTTTGTGGGAGAGAGCTACTGTTGCATTTACGTGGTCAGGTCCTTTCACCATCTTATGCAATACGATATTTTTCACTTTGCGAGTAACCCTGGATATTTCTGTCTGCTCCAGCGAATCAGCTTTTGTACCAGAGCGCCATAAAAGATGCACTGCTCCTCTCGCTGCTCTTCCAAAACACTCCCAATGGGTTTTGCATGTTGTAGTGAGTGAATGCGTGCGTGTGCGTGCGTGCCTGTGTGTGTGTTTGTGATCTGCCGGATACTCATAGTTCTGCTAACATAGCCCAAAAATAGCAAACTGGAGAGGTGTGAAGTAGAAAAGGAAAGGACACTTTAGTAGAGGAGTAACTGACACGAGGTGAGTCACTTTCACGCACACACTCACACAAACACACACCATTTTTTTTTGCGTGTGTGTGTGTGCTGATGCAAACTCATACACATACATCTGCACGTATGATCAGAACTCATCGCACACACATACACACACAGAGCAGCGATATCATCTCACGCTGGCTTTGTCACTGCTGAGTGTGTTTGTGTGTTAGCAGGAAGCACAGGGTTGTATCTTGCTGACATGTGATTGGCTCTTTCCTCCATTTATTATTTTTTTCCCACAAATGTCAATCAAACTTCACATCTTCGATTACAGGCACTGCCTCTTACTCTCTGAACCTCTGACTGTTAAACAAACACTTTTTATCCAGAACACTTCCAGGTCTTCTGTTAGCCTCCATAGTCTTTTGACCTCTGTGGGCCACCGTAGACTATGACACTATAATAGAGTGAAGGGCTGAATTCAGTTCAGGAGACTGATGTAAGGGTCATCAGTGTCCGATTTCACCTTAAAAAGCTGTTTTCTTCTGGTTCTCTGCTCACAGTTCATTCAGAAGTGACCACGATAGGATATGGAATCACTTTGCTGAATGGAATACTTACTGCAAGTGTTAAATGTTTTGGTCCCACGGCAAGTGTAAGGTTCTGTGAGCGCCATGCACGCCAAATGCTCACTATAATATCGCTATAATAATCGGTGCAAGACGAAAATATTTCACCACCGTCAACGAAAGCAACACTGCAGAATATATGTTTAGCATTTGACTGACGAAACGCTCATGAATTTTGCAACTGTTCATCGTCCACCACTAACGTTTTCGTCTAGTCTCATCTTGTTAGCTTAAACGCACATTTGTCTCGTCACATTTTAGTCATCTAAGATTTATGTTTAGTTCGTCCATGTCACGTCTTCGTCGTAGAAAAAAATTTGGTCAAAGTAAATAAGTACCCCTGGACAAAAATCAGATCATATGGAAAATTAATTTAATTTATCATGATCAATATGAGCATTTTTTTTATGTGTAACCAATAAGCGAGCTGAAAGGAATCGTTCACTGACTTTTTAGGATGATATTTTGCATCAGATGTACAGTACATTGATTTTTTTTTTCAGTGGAGTCTGATCCACTTTTTCCAAGTCGCCTCGGTTATCCAAGCTTGACTTTTTCCTCAGGTGACTTTGATGTTGGCCAGCTTCTTCTGCTGTGAAGTAATTGGAAACTTGCAGAGCTATGATTTTTAAGTAGCTTCCCTTCCCGACACTGAAGGCCACGGTTTGTCCCAAAAGGCCTGGCTCAGCTCAGTTCAGCTGGTTAGACATTAGATGTGTTATTTCACCCCATCTCTAACGCTTTAATTTGGAGATAGAAAAACTGAAGTTTAATTACATGTATCCACGATTTTGTGAGATATGTAAACTGTAAATGTAACACGTTCGCTTTATCTGTTTCTGGGGCTGTTTGAGCGGCTAGTTCATAGATGTCACATAGATAGGGTTTCATTTTACTTAAATGTGGTCCACGCTGATATCAGCATCCAGTAACAGCCACGCCTCCTCTGAAGATGATTGTCAGTCTTGGAAACATAAAACAGATCTCAACATAGGTTCTTAAAAAATGGTTAAACAGGTTCAATGGCGAGCTGTTTTGAAAGTTTCCGATTTGTGATGTAAAAGTGTCCTTTGTCATGTTGTCCGCTGTCTCGAAATAATTGCATCTTTTACAATATTTACATCTCTCAGTATTACTCCTGTTTAAAGTCACATGTTGTCCTGTGATGGTTTTGAGATCACAGTTTGAGTAAAAGCTGAATCATTAAAAGCATTTGTCATTTTCCCCTGAGTTGAATCAGCACTGTAATCAATGCACAAAGCTTTGGATTGTACAGATTCAAATTAATTTCGCTCTCATTTTTAATCACTTTTCACTCTGTAGTGTTTTTCCCTCTTCTATTTACGCTGCTGTTTTCAGGATGTTGTAAAGTGAATGCAGAAGTGAGACTCTGGAGAGAGAGAAGGAGAGAGGAAATGATACTGAGTCGTTTGGCCGATAGTGCCTAATGATCACAAGAGCAAACGAATCATGCACGCACATGAACTTGTACACGTAAACACACACACACACTAACCATGTGATCTCTCAATAAGTGCTGTAGTCACACCCTCCCACTCTTTCTGCTTGTTTGATCAAAATCTACCTCCCACTCCTGGGCTCCAGTCAAACAGAAACTTTCAACAGATAACGCTCGCCCGCCGTGAAGTCAGCGATGACCTTTGTTAAAACAGCATAGATATTTCTCCTTCCGCAAGATAAAAAGCTCGAAGATCACAATTTAATTTAAGCATACACTCACATCCATTAAAATGAGACTCTGTTTGTACAGACGTTTAATCTTTATGCTTGATGACTCAAAATCTGAAGGTGTACGTAGCAGTTTACAATAGCTCTGACTATAACTAGACGGACCAAAAAAAGAGCATGATCTATGAGGGGAATAAGGCTCTGATTCAGCTGCTCAGACACTTTGTGAGGTGAAGTGGAAACCAAAATGAACCTGATGTCTGTGAAAGCACAAAAAGATAATAAACTGGTTCTAAGCAGAGGAAGAAAAGGAGAAGATAAACCAAGGTTTTTAGAGCATGTAACATTTGAAGGCCCAAATAGCCCATTGAGAATTTGTCTCGAAACCGTTTATTTCAACAGAGTGTTAACCTTATTTTTTTGTCTTTTAGAGGCTTTTTCAATTCAAGGTTTTAATTCATGAACTCTGGTAGGGCTTGATCTTCTATTTAATTAATATACCCAATGTAAGCAGTGAAGAAAAAAATATTTTAAAAAATGAGTGTAATGCCCCTTTAAGAATTCACAATAGTGTGGACATGAAAAGAGAACAATGGAGAATTTTAACAATTGAGAATGGATAATTTCTCAGTCCAGGATGGGTGAGTGTGATCACAGGTAAATAAAGATCTCACTTGGCAGGTCATGGAATCCAATTCCCTTTGACATTGTGCTGTGGAGAGATCACTGTCATGTAAGCTGCTCATGCGATCTAGCTTGACCTGTCCTTACACTCGCAGCGCTGGACCTGAGTCAAATGTTTTGGTCATGATGACGAAGCCAAAAAAGATAGTGGTAGTGCTTACTCACATGTAGTTTAAGAGCCTTAGAGGAAAAGAAAACAAATGGATTTATTTATCTGATCTATCTTAAAAGAAAGAGGGAGATGTAGATGTTTTAATCTTGTTAAAAAAAAATATTCCGTAAATCAAATTACATGTGCTTTCCAGCAGCTTTCACTTCTTAAAAAGAGTCTGTGTTTATCTCAGTTGTCTCAGCGAGATAAAGGAAGCCTCTCTTGAGAGTTTATGTCAGGTCATATGTGATGGGAACTGGGGCAGGCGGTACAGTAAAGCGAGCATATGACTTATTGCTACATTAGACAGGACATTCCCATACCTCACTGTGCTTTCACAATAAGATGTGTGAGTGGTCTTTTGTGGTTTCATGCTTGAAAGAAAAGCACATGATGCCACTGCACGCAGATCATGACCAAGTGATTAAGCTAAAAGAGAACTTATGACTGTGATGAAATGCTCAATGTGTCAGATTTGACCAGCTGCTATTACACTTCACCTGCCTTAACATGTCAGTACTTAGTGATTATGATTAGCCCTCTCACCTACAGTAATGTGTGCCCCGGCGAGCGCACCTTTCCCATCATCCCCGTGGGCTGCGATTGGCTGCCGGGCTAAGAGGCTGAGGTGTTGCAGCAAATAGCGCAAGTCGTGGGCCGGTCCATTCTGCAGCTCGAGGGAGGTTAATGAGTGAAGCCGCTGGGCTATCAGCCAAACATGAGCAGCAATGCTAAGGCTCCCACAATGAGCCTGACTGTATTACCACTGAGCTCTGTCTAATTATACACTCCCGGAGAGGGCGAGCGAGAGGGAGGCAGAGCATATTAGGCAGGGGAAAGAAAAAGTTATCAAGTGTCAGCGTGTGTCACTGAGCAAACCAAGAGATTGAGAGTTGCAAGGGTGAGATAGACAGAAGGTGTGTGTGTGCCAAGGAAAGGGGAGGGTGGGAGAGATCAAGCGAGCTGGGGAGGGAGAAAAGAGAAAAGAGAGCGCACTCAGAGAGAGAGAGAGAGGGAGAGAGAGAGAGAGAGAGAGCAAAGAGGCGTTTAGAGAGTGAGAAGGAGGAGAGGCAGGGATAGGATGAAGGGAGGGGAGGCTGAGCAGTAGAGAGGAGGAAGAGACTCGCTGTCTCAAAACTGGATATTCCTACGTGCCTGCTGCCGCCTGATCCAATGAGCGAACTCTCAGCTACCTGCTACGCAAAGGCACCCGGCGAGGTAGGGGACCACAGTGCTTCCTCCTTCCACTGAGTGTGTGTGTGTGTGTGTGTGTGTGCGTGCGTGTGTATGTGTGCGTGGGAGACAGGTGTGTGAGCAACTTTGAATGAGGCTGCCCTGAAAGCTGGGAGAGAAACAGGTTCAAGAGTACAGAAGAGACATATCATCCTTAAAGTGAGTGTGCAGGGTTAATTATAGTGGGAAATATGTCTGAAATGTGTGTGTAATGTGTGTATATATAAATGTGTGTGTGTGTCTGTGTGAGAGCATGTGGTGTAAACACTCATGTAAGCCGGCACCTGCGTGTGGGGGTGTTTGTGCGCGTGGAAGAGAATAACAGAGTGTGAACAAGAGTGTGACTGATCCAGAGACAAGGAGTGTGTGAGGAAGACAGAGACAGAGGGAGAGAGGAAGAGAGAGATTGAGAGAGAAAGAGAGAGAGAGAGGTGGAGGTCCATCACTCAGACTGACGGCAGATCAGGACTTTCAGAATTAGAGCAGTGGGCTTAAATAGCCCTGGTCCAGAGATAGCCAGGGGCCCTGGAGGAGCCTGCTTAAACTGGGAGGCACGCTTATGAGATTGGTGAGGGTGGGGTTAGTGGTGTGGTGTAGGGGGGAAATTTTGGAAAGTGATAGAAAGAGCGAGGAGGAGGAGGAGGAGGAGGATGGGGAAGATGTTGGGGGCAAGGATTTAATCCGATCAAAGGGCGACTCTGCAGGTGCATCAAGCATCTTAAGTCTAACTTTTCCTCCAACCAGTGCTGCGGATAAATGAAAGAAAAAAAAAAACACGAACTTGAAGAACTTCAAACATCACCTTAAATTTTTAATTACAGCTCCCCTTCAAAAAGGACTTTAAATTTCTGTTTCTGCGTCTCTCTCGTGGGAACGCAGAGCCATGTTTTAACTGAAACCCTTATTTCTTACCAGTGAGGATGAAGATATACTCCGCCAGTGTGCATGATTATGATTTCTGTGTGTCTATTTCTGCTCCGGCAGGCGCTGTCCTTCTGCTGCAGTGATACCCCATATGCTGCCTATAGGAACACTTCACAGGTTCAAACAGTTTGCAGCTATAGATGTCTTTCAAGTGAGACGCACAACATTTGTCCTTGCTGACTTAATTCACTTATTTCAATTATGAGGACGATCTGCTGGCGTGCTCAGGAAGTCTTGTGTCACTGAGAGATTGCTTCGAGAAAATACCCATTTTTAGTAGTGCACGATTTCACATGCGAGCAGAGGGTTTTGATGTGAAGTTTCCAGAGTTGTATTTGTCACTTTTTGTTCTGAAACAGGCGCTCTTCGGAGGTTTCAGAGACTGCCTGAGCCAAGGTGGTGCTCTCGCTGTTGTCAGGTGGCTTCAAACAATGCAGATCTCCTGTGTTTGATACTGCTTGTGTTTTTCGACAACAAAAACCTGGAGCTTTGTTTTATGAGTCTGGCTGTGTACCAGAGAGGTTCCCCTCATGAATGATGTAAAGCTGACAAAGAGTAACTGAATGTAGGTTTGTTTCTATTTCTTTTGGGAGACGGAATACAACTCGTCTCTGTGGGTGAATGAGAAATACAGCATGTTCTCCAGTCCCATGTTTCTTAGAGTACTGTCACCCTGAAGAGCAGAACAGGCCTCTTGTGGAAGAAGGTTGAGTGGCTGCTGGCCCTTTAAGAGGTCTATTTTTACAGGGGCACACTCATGCATGGAGCGAGGCGCACAGAGGAGGCAGTGGCACACGGAGACTCTATCTGCTCTGCCTCACTTGTGTGACTCCACACAACACATCCTATAGGAGTTTACCCTTGTGACCGAGCGGCTGACAGGGAGTCATAAAACTTGTTCAGGGCGCAGAGGAGCATGTGTTCTCCTAATGCAAGCTCCAACACGAAAATCATCAAAACGAGAAGTTACAAGGTTTTCACCCGACATGAGGAATCAGCCCTTTTCAAGTGGATCTCTCTGAAGTCTAGAAGTGATAATGAGTGGGAGCTCGCAATAAAGACACCCTTATGCACACTGTACACGAATGTGCCAGCATTCCCACATACTTGTTTTGATATGCAGATAGCTATGAAAGAAATCTGAAAACATTCATGCCCCCTCTTACAAACACATAATACACTTAAGTTTACTTACACCCACACACTCCTCGAAAGAAACCACGAAATGAGCACATTTCAGAACATTTTTACACAAACACAGCCGTGCACTTAGAGGTGCACATAGTGCTGCTCACCCACGCAAAAAAATTACTTATACATCCTCAATATCTGGACCTAAAATAATCTTCTCCTTATGCAATCTGCATGTTATATAATTCATGGCCTGTCATTATCACAGCGCTCTTTCACGCCCTGCTGTGCCTCTCCACCTACAGCACCGCACAGACAGGCAGACACACACATACATACACCCTGCACCTTGTGTTGACAGTCATATACTCTACTCTAGCACTCTCACCCACGTTGAGTGTGTGCTCTCCAACAGCCAGCCAGATGAGTGAGAGGGAAAGACAGAGAGGAAGACTGAGAGTAGGTGGGGTGGAGGGACTGAAAGTGAAAGAGAGAGAGAGAGAGAGAGAGAGAGGTAAAACTTAGAGAGCTAAAGATACATTCATGCTGAGACTACGCATTTGCATGATTACTGTATTTGAATGTGTTTTGTGAGGTGTATGTCATATTGTATCTTGGTGAAAATTCCCGTCTTTCACCCACTGATAACGTTACTCTTATTGGCGACCACAGATTTGCATCACTTTGCATTTCTTGCAAGTTATCTTCTCATAAAACGAGGCATGTTAACTCCATTCTTCTCACTGTCTGGTAACATTTTTAGAAACTTTGCCGTCCCAGTATAAACTCCAGTTGCATTTCATGGCGGTTTAAAAAGTGCAGCTCGTAACAATCAAACACTAAAAGGTTAAGTGATGAATGAAGAGACACAAAGAGGACAAATTCAGGACTGATCATGTCCTTGTAGTTTGTAAAAGCCTTTTTCAAATCAACCAATGAGACCTGTTTGGCGACTGTTCCCAGATCAGCACTCTCACAGTCAGAAGCCTTTGGGAATTGGCTTGGGAGCTCAGTTAGTGAGCCAAGAGTGTGATGAATAATCCCAAACATAGGCAGGTGTCTGAATACAGTTGATACAGTGCCAGACTACTTTAAGGTGATAGACACACCTCTTGGTCAGGATGCACCATGGGAGTTAAGTGCAGGAAGTGATATTTTGAATTCAGATTTTGAATGATCTACATCCAGAGTCACTGACGTGTGCAGAGATGATACTCGAGTCTTTTGTGTTAATTATAGGAATTACAGTAAATCAGTTCCCCCAGTCAATCCTTTGCTCTGCGCGTTCGCACCGATCGTTTTCTTCGGTCCTGACTCACTAACCCTTGTGTATGATTAAGCAGTATGTTCTCCTCCTCCTCCACACTTCATCTACAATGGGGGTCGACGACCTTTCAACCCCGCAGCCCACTGCTCACACCCACAGAGTTTCAGCCAGGCCTGCCTTTTTACTTGATGGAGAATCAAGCTCCCTTATATAGAGAAATCCAACTTGCACAAACAAAACAAATTGCACTGGATTGCTTCTGGAAACATGCAATATCCAAGACATCCTGCAGACTAGAGGCCCTTACACACCGCGGCCGACGCAAATATAGAACGCGAAATTATGAAATTTTCGGAGGAGAATTTTGATGCGCCTGGCTACACACATCAAGCCCGATGCGATTTTGCTACTTTCCGGGGAGGAAACGCGTCCCGGGTGGAAGCAAGAAGACTGACACAACAGCAGACTGAGTGTTTTCAGTTCTGATTAGACACTAGTGTTGAGATGGCTGTCTGTTGCATGTAGCATACTATTCTGATGGACTATAGATAGCATTTACTGAGACAGGACCATTACCAGATAAGCACATTAAACTATAATCCATAAAAGTAAGGTAACAACCGAGACCTAGTGGTGCTGTGACAGCAACGCGATTGAGTTTGAGACAGTGAAAATACATATGGTATGTTGTATCTGAACAGGTTAGCTTACGAGCTAAAGTTACTTAGCACAGATGAAAGTTAAAACAAAGACGTTTAGCAAACTGTTAAAGCACACAAACCATCGTCATATGAGAAATCCGACGCTATGACTCTCCACAAGTTGTCCTTCAGGTTGTTATCTTTGTAATGTTTGTGTCTTTTATCAAAAAGCAGTCTGTTCTCCGACACGTAAACAATTAGCCGGTCGGCCATGTTGGATATACTGGTGAACCTGATGTCACAACAACACGCAGTCTGATTGGTCAGAAGTGGACACATAGAATGGGAAACTTTGAAAAATTGACCATGATCCGAAAAAATAAATGCCGCAATATCGCAGGACGGGAAAACATCGCTGATGTGAATGCTCGTATTGACAGGATACGGGTTCGAAAAAAATATTGACATCCGAAATAATCGCACGAAAAAAACGGTCCAAGTGTGAAAGGACCTTAAGGCTCCAATAGTTTCCTTAAAACTTGTCTTAAAGTTTGATGTCAAAAATGTTACTGTTCTTTGCAACACCTCCAAATTAATTTATCCCTTTATTCATCCTGCTGGGCATAACATGACTAAAAAATATTTTTTTTTTCTCTAATTATTACACAAGATAATTAAATTGCAGAGTGACAAAGGTTCCCTCCTAAGTGAGAGTGGGACTCTCCCTAATTGTCCTTTCAAAAACAAGCATTAAACCCACTCATTCCTATTTTAAAATAATTTCCAGCACCTTTTGTATCAAACAGCATAAGCCATGTGATGATGAGTTAATGGCTGTGACCGTGCATGTGGCTCGGTAGCAGATTTGGTGTGGGAGGGGTTGTAGAACAAAAGCAATAATGGTAGTGTATAGCAATGTTGCCTTGAATACAGTGAATACAGTGCAGTGATAAAAGTACTCCAGACAGTATCTATGAAGCCCGTCTAGACAGTCTCTCAGAAAATGAATGGCACTTGAGCTGCCAATAGGAGACCTGGCCATGCTCTCTCCATGGAGATGTCATCACTATGCTTTCAGCTTGCTGACATTTTGCTGTTAAACCAGAGAATCAACAGAAACCCAGCTTGACTGGCAGTCGCCGGGGGAAAGGTGCCAAAAACAACAAATCTTTGGAATGAAAGTAATCCCCCCCAATTCTTTTCACACACACACACTTGTCCTCGCGCTTTCAAGCTGTTTCTACCCCATCAGACATTTCTCTCTTGCTGAGTCGCTCTCTCTCCTCTCTCTTTTTTTTTTTTTCTCCCATAACCCACCCCACCTCTCCCTCCCCCCCTTTTTCCTCCCCTCGTAAGCTACTGATCTCATAGCGTGAGAGTAGTACTCACATCAAGGGCTCTGAGCTTGGCTAATCATACACGAGTGAGAGGCGGACTGCTACCTGTGAGCCACTGAAGCTGAGCATGTAAAAAGTTAGGAAACTAAATTGGCAAGAACAAACAAGTGCGCAGAAAGGATGGAAACACAAAAGCATGACTGTGCATCAGCAGTATGTGGCATCAGTGTAGTTATACAAGAAGTGCTGTCACCCACCCAATAATAGCACATTTGATTTTTGTTTCATGTTTTTTTTTTTCTTCTCAAGTTTGTGATGCATATGACACTTTAAAATTTGAACTGAAGTCATCTCTTCAGTGGTTGAAACTATAGCTGCTGCAGATACCGCATAACAGGCGCGTTATCAGATTGAGGCAGTGGAAAAGTGCAAAATTGAAACTCCCATCAGCAGACACTTAAATGTCAATGAATGACAACAACATAACACCTGCTGAAGAAAATGTCAGCCGCATGGTTTTCAGAATACCTGCTAACTGCACCGCTTGCTCCCCGCTGACCTGTGTGTGCATGCTTGTATGTGTCGGAGGATTTACAACAGGCAGAGGAACACTGCAGTAGTCTGCGCTGTCAGAGGAAGTCGGGGACGAGGTGGAGGAATTTTTTTTTTGCTTCTGCTGACTGGCTGACCTGCATGTAATTAGTCAAGTCATATTTTTAACTGATATTGCGTAAAAGCCAGCTTAAGGAGGCATAGCTGCCCTATTTATACCCTAGGGGCTAATGGCCTGTACCACTACACAGGGGGATTTCCTCCCAGAACTATACTAAGCCTGCCTTAGGCCTGTACAAGTTAGGATTCACGGGGATTAACCCAGCAATACATTACAGGCATCACCTTCTAGTCTGCATCTTTCACACTGTTTTACCCTCTTTGTCTGACTTTCCTTGCTGAGTAAGCTCTGCTTTTGAAAGGTGATATATTCTGTTTATTCTGCTGCACTGTGGGCACACTCTGCTGGTTTTACAGCTAATCTAGATTAGCAACTTTTGTGCCACAGAATGGGTTTTAAATCAAGTAACCTGCACACAAAAAATCAATCATAGATGGGTGTTTTTTTTTCACACGTTTGTGTTCCTGTGTGTGTATGTATGGTATGTGTGTCTGAGCAGTATGTTGTGTGTGCGTGGGTGTTAATAGTAACTCCTGAGCCATAAGCCCATCCTCATTGTGGTTGAGCCTGCTGCGGGCAGGGCTGCTGGCTCATCCTGTTGAAGAATGGGTCAGAGCGGTGACCAGGCTGACCTGGCCTTTTGCCCATTAAGCTATCGCCCGTATCACCCTGTCCTTTATCAGCTTAGCCGGCTCCTTACAGAGTAATCCTCCACAGGGCTAGTAGTACTCCCCCCCTCCCTCCCTCCCTCCCCTCCCCAACACTCCGCTCTGTCTATCTATCTTACTGTATATCTATCTATGTCTATCTAACTGTCTATCCGCTGTGTCCTCTACCCCCCTCCCCCTGCATTCCCCTCTACTCCTCCCCTCTGTTCAGATCCGTTACATTCAGCAACAAATTTCTGCTGCATCAGACATCTATCATAGATCCCCCACTCAGCCTGAAACGTGATCAGACACCCCATACAAGGCTACGCATGGGAAAAGGACTACAAAAAGCAAAGTTAAAAGACATTTTGGATTAAAAGATAGGATTAGAAGTGAAAAAGAGAACATTTTGAGTTGATGGGGAGTGAGCTTAGAGTTAAAAGTTTCACCTGTGCAGGCCTTTGACCTCTTTAGCTCCTTTACACATCCATCACTTTGATTTATAGACTGCTGTCTAACTCCTCTGACCTTTCTCGTCAAGGCCCTGAACTTGCATGTGTTTATTTGTGTGTGAGGGTGCGTGTGTGTGTTTGTGATGGACAGATTAAATAGAGCAAAGCCAGACAGAAGGACAAACAGGCAGAATCAGAGAGGATAAGATGGAGCGAGCGTGCCAAATGTCCCCACGGTGCCTTAAATTATTGACAGCACAGTATGACTTCAGTGTGTGCTTGCTCGTCGTGTAGATATTCACGTGAGTGTGTGTGTGTGTGTGTGTGATCAATATGCTAAATATCAAAGTATACATGCAGAAGAGCTCAACAGTCATTTCTACATTTCCATATTGTAGTAAACACCCTTTGATGAACCCCGGCCTCGCTCTATTTCCTCCTCTCTCGCTATGACTGAACCATTGTGTCTACATTTGTTATTCTTTATGTGATTCATAATCAAGATATAGTCTTTAAATTACACATTTACAACGTAACACAATAATGATATGTCGAGGAAAGTTTTATTATATTTATGTTCCTGCATTTATTTATCTGCTTTATACACTAAGTAGGATTTTTCTCTTACTTGCCATGTTGATTTTAAACAATTTTTTGTGACTTAAGCGGAAAAGTTTGCATGTGTGTGGGAATTAAATAAGAAAAAAAGGCCAAGTCACCTCAGACACCTTTTAATCATGTGTAATGCAGTCATGGAAAAGGTTATTTAAAGATACTGTATTTTATAGGCGACAACAGCACTGTCAAATAGCAGTGAAATAAAATGTTTTTGTTGTAGATAATCCCAAATATAAAAGAATAAAAAATATACATATATAATTTTGTACTGATAGAGGTAACTCAACTCCACGTCATATGATCTTGAAGCATATTTTTTATGTACAAGAAGAATTTTTTGCCACAAAATTCCCCAGAGGCGTAAAATCCTAATCCATACGTGCTCCTAATTTAAGAATATGTAAATGTACCCTCTTTTAATTCTGATACTCGTAATGAACCCACACAATTACAGCAGCGCAGACAGCGCTCATGCCCACACAACCTCAGCACACGTAGCCTTCTCACAGCACTCACTGTAAAAAAAAAAGAAAGGAAAAAAAAAAAATCAAAGTAATCTCCTAAATGTCACAGGAGACTTTCTTGGCAATTGTTGCTTTCACTGCGAGGATGTCTCGATGTGGCCTTCAAGCCGATGTGTCTGCACATGTCTCCAAGTCTGATTGACTCTCTGTTCCACAGAGGGTGAGAAGTTAGACAAGGTTAACCTCTAATTTACTGCAGGTGGATACGAGGTTGAGATTTGTTCTGAGCTTGAAAGGTTCGAAAAATGCTCTTAGAGTTATAAAAAGAAATCGAAATCACTTTTTTTACAATTAAGCGGCTGTAATGATTTGATTGCATTTCATTTTCACCCCCTGCTCTAGTTTATTCTTGTTCCTGTATCAAATTTCTTCCTTGGTTATTATCATAAGCTTGTTGAACTCCTGCTTATTTTGGCGGTACGATTGGCACTGTGCTGCATTTCAACCTTGGGCCTGTTTATTATTTTCTCAAAGATTTTTTCCTCACTAATAGATTTTGATTTCTCGTCGTAAAGGGGCAACACAGCTCTCACAAAACCCTGTCCTCATGAGCCGTGTCAGCCATACCAGCAGTCTGCTGTTGCCCTGACTGAATCACTTAGGCAAATCATTCACAGCTCTCCTGTTAGTGCAAAAACCTGTGCATGTGTGCGTGTAAATGTCTGTGTGTGTGTGTGCAGGTATATGGAGTCAAATCAAATGTATTCATAAAAGCTCTTTTGGCAACAGGTGCGTCACAAAAGGCTTTGATGAGAACAAAGGACGCAAATTCAGATGAAAACTACAGAGAAACAAAAAAGAGCAAGTCTAGTGTAGGTCGTGTGTGTGTGCGTGTGTGTTTTCTCAGTGTGTGTTTGTGTGCTTGATGGATGTGAGGTTTAGTTTTGAGTCAGAGGCAGCAGCAAAAGCCTAAGTCTGAAAGTGTGTGTAGGATGAACCTCCTACCACGTCCCTCCCTGTATTTCATCAACTGTCTCTCTGCCTCCCCTCCATCCCTCCCTCTCTTTTATATTCCTCTCATATAAACAGTTTTGTATTTATCACCGATTAATTAATCGATCAATGAGTTTTCATGTTAAACAATGCATCTGCAGGGTGGAACTTCTGCAGAAAGCCCACCCTCAGACAGCACAAAGGCAGCATATATCGTCCACTATATAATCTGTACGTGCTGCATCCATGATTGTTGGTGTGTGTATGTTTGCGTGCATGAGTTTATGTGTGTATGCATGTTTGTATAACTCACAGTGATTAAAGCAAGTGGGCGGCAGCAGCAACTGGTCTGCCTGTGTGGCTCCGCATAGCAGACATGTTTCTCACTGCTAGATATTACTCATTTCCTCAGCCCTTTGCACACACAAACACACACATACACACACACACCGTTGACACATACGCTCACACACACAACAGTCACAGAGACGGATAGCAGGCTCTCAGTTCTTTCCCTCAGTTTGGTGGGCTTGCTGGTGTTATTTCATGCGTACACAGATCAGAGGCAGTGTGTAGCTGGAGGCTGCTGCGATCTGCGGGTGTTGTAGCTGGCAGTGGTGCTGTGGAGGAGAAGTGTAGCACAGTGAGGAGCTGAGGAGTGGGTTGACCCTCTGGGAGGACTGGAATATGAATGACTGCCAACACTGGGACGCGTGCTCAACCCGCGCTAAGGTCAGTCTCACTTCACATCACAACAACTACAAACTCCATCAACCTGTCTGCTTGCTTCAACACTCCTTTACCGAATCTAAGAGCAGTTTGTGGCTGATTTTCACTCACAATTACCAACATAAGTATACCATTCGGGGCTTTTTTTATAGCAAAGTATGCGAAACTGGAGATTGTAGTTCTGTTTTTTTGTAGGTTTTCAGTCATGACAGCAGAATGAAGTTTTACAGTTCCTCCAAGAAAAGGCGGGATGAAGTGGAAGGCTGCATAGATTTATCACTCACTAATATTGTGTTAATATAGCAGCATAAAAAACACGTTTTTAATTAATAATAAGAAAATATGCAAATAGCTCTTCAGATAATTTGCATTGATGCTTTTCAGAGCGTAATTCTTTTACAAATGTTAGGACAAGAGCGTCTCCAGCTTAACTCCAGCTCTGTGAGCATGTCTGCACAGTGTAGGAGTGTTCTGTTAGAAGACATTTCTCTGCAAACTCCTCCACATGCACAATTGTGTTCTTTGTTTTCTTGTACTTTTTTGGCGAGTTTATATTAGGTCTGTTTTGACAACCTTTTTTTGTTTTTTTCTTTATAAGGGCTGTCGGAATTACAGAGTCATTTGAGGACAAATCTGAAACCGGCCGTTTTAATTAAAGAAAATTAGTTCCTGGACGAGCTCTTGCATGAGCTACAAATAGTTCTTAAGTAAAACAAATATAGACTTGAAAAAGGAAATACCAATTTTTTTATTTTTATTGCGCTTTACAAAAAAAAGCAGGATTCCTGTGATTCTTTTTTTAGATAGTTATTTTGTGTGTCCTCCTTTTTTTGGGAGGGGGCGGGGGCTCTTCATTTTTTCTTATGTGGTTAACTGTTTCAGTCCAAACCATCATTTAGTTTAGTTACGAATAAAATATTAACAGCTGTTTGTATGAATCAAGAAAAATTTTTTAAGTTTGGATTAATAGTTAAATAGGTAGGGAAATGATCATTTTAAGGAAAATTCTTTTATGAACTAATATATGATTTTCTACAGTTGCTGAGCTTGTAAAGAATATAAAGATCATCCATTTTTAAGAGGGCAGAGGTCAGTGGCTTTTCAGCCCGCAGAAGGCCGTTTCAGCTCAGAGAAAAAAAGTGAGATTTCAGCCCTGGAGTCTGAATTCGCAGGTTTGAAATATTTTTCACGGCACCGCATTGACTGATTTGGTAGTTTTTCCTAATAGCAGTTCTCATGATGCGCTCATGACACTGTCCTGTCTGCGTCTGGGAGAATCAATCCCCCTCCTCTCAGCGCCCACTCTTCAGTTTTCCACTCAGATGTACAAACAGCTTGCTCCACTCTAACACTTATTCTGTTTTTGGACCAAGTCACTTGATGAGCAACAGTTTACCCGCCTCTCCATGGAGTATCCCCATCTAACCTCTATAGCTGACTGTGTGTGAGTGTGTGCGTGTGTATATGTGTGTGTGAAGACAGTTGCCATGGTGACAGTGGGGTGGATGGTGAGACGGCAGGGAGCTAGAAGGCTGTTGAGACAGACGTGCGGGTGAGCGCGGGGCTGATTGGCAGCATGGCGCTGTGGTGTTGTGGCGGCGGGAGCAGCAGTGGTGGTGTTGGCGGTGGTGGTGGAGGGAACAGCTGGGCCGTCGGCGCGGCAACAATCACTTCAAAAGAGCTCCTTTAAAAAAAAAAAAAAAAAATGTTTGGAGAAGAATTAGTGGAGCTCCCCCGCACTTCTCACTGAATGAAACGAGGCAGCAAAATCTCTGACACATTCGAGGATTCAAACACAAACACACACGCACAAAAGAGCCTAAACAAATAAACACATTCACATATTTCCGCCAGAGAGAAAAAAAAAGGCACACAAACATGCATGAACACACAACACATTTACCCACACCCCTGCTGAGAAGAATAATTAATATGCGAAGACACATATCCTGTGTCCACAACAACTGGTGGCAATATCAACAGTGTTTCTGTCAGCTTTCGGGTGGGTGGTGACCAGCTTTGCCTTTCACTGGGGGAGTAAGTACAGCCGCCTGAGGGAGTATTTCTGTGTCTGCTGCTCTCTGTGTGTGTCTGAAAGAGAAAGCATGGTGGGTGCTAGTAGTAAGCTTATACAGAAGACAGAGAACACCCGGGGGTGTCAAGGGGGTGGCTCATGAAAGTGGCACAAAAACATATCTACATATTCCAATCATCCCCAGAGAGTCAGAGATGAAAACTCTCACGCTGAGTGCTTTATTGTGCGTTTGTGTGAGTGCGTTTTGTGTGTATGTAGATTTTAACACACACACATAGTGCACTGCCTCTGAACTTCAATGGCTGCAAAATGTATTTATAGCCCACATGTGGGAGTAATGTGTTTGAATGAAACGAGTAAGTTGGGTAGTTTCAGTCCCACCGCAGTGCACAGAGGTAATGACTAATTAGTGACAGCAATCAGAACGCGGCGAGTTTCTAACCTTTCAAAGTAGTTTAGACGAGAGAGTCACTCTCCATCTGTCTGCAGCTGAATGTTTGTTTGCATGTCAGAACAGATTGACAGCTGAGTCTCAACAACAAGTGATGCCAGGACCTGACAGACCGTCCTTTTTCTGTGTTCACACATCATCTCTTGTGCTTCTGTCTCTGCCGTCTCCCTCCTTTTCACCGTCCTCATCTCTGCTTCTGTCCTCGTTTGTCCTCTCTCTCCAGGTGAGTGGTGCTTCAGCGCAGAGGACTCAACAGTGATCTGACAGTGATGCTGTGTAGCAGCCTCCCCCTCTGTCTGCGCCCCTCGTTCTCCCGTGAGGCCCATGTGACCTAGCCAACACCCACGCACAGGGGGCCCCGATCTGCCGCTGGAGCCCACCCATGAATCCCAGCCCTGACCGCGGCCAAGAGTGCCTCCCTCCCAAGAAGAGGGAGTCTAGGCAAGGATCGACGGAACACCAAGTCCCGTTGGACGAGTTCAAACCCCCTGTGCCACTCCGGAGTCGGTCAACTGGGGGAGGAGGGGAGGGAGGAAGGGAGGCCAGTGATAGGGACCGATCTCTTATTAACCCAAACCCCCATCTCCTCCATACTCCTCCACCTTTACCTGCTCCTGCTCCAGGCCTCCCCCTGCCCTTGCCGTGGCATCTGAGCTACTCCCCCTCCGTCTCTCTCCCTCTTTTTCCAGGGGCAGTCAGTGAAAGGAGAGGCTCAGGGTCTCCTGCCTGGAGAGATGATCATCTCTCTTTACCCATGCCCCACCACTCCAGGTGGCTTAGAGAAGGGCCCCTTTCCTTACCTCCTTCCCCATCTTCTTCCTCTTCTTCGTCCTTTAAGACGCCCTTCCCGGCTGACTCCAGAGAGATGTGGTCCTACATTAACAGCGGCCGACGGGAAAACAGCTCATCTCTCTTCTCCTCTTCATACTTGTTTAGCCACCACCCTCTCTACTCTCATGACCCGAGCTTGGTTGAAGCCAGACATCGGTACCTGGGCAAGAGGCCCAACGGCCTGGATGGACCAGGCAGCAGGACTGCTCCGAGCTCCAGGCCTCTGCTCACAGGAGACTACGGGAATGATAGCAGCAGAACCAGACTGGACATCGGTCCACACACCTCGCACACCAATGGTGGGCGGAGGCAGCAGGAAGATTTAACGTCCCGAGTCCACTCTGGGGGGCCTTTTTTGTCGGACTCTCAAGCTCAGGAGGGCCCTGAGCTACATTCCTCACTGCAGGACAGACATGGGATAAGTAAGACCAGCTCCAGTTTACTCCCCAGCAGCCCCCTCCCCCTTGGGCCAGTCCCCAGGCCAAGCAGAGGGGGGCTATTGGATCCCTTAGGGGCAACACCAGCTGAAGCCCAGATCTATTACTCCTTGGGATCGGTGTGCCACCCCAGCCCTCAGGCCCAGACTTTTCCTCTCTACAGCCCCTCAGGAACACCTCTGTACAACCTGCACAGGGAGCCAGGCACCCGACAGCACAACCTTAGAAACTCACCGCACTCCCCCCTCGGTCTGCCCAACAGCCACGACAGACCACAGAGAGACAGAGACAGAGAAAAAGTCCCACAGAGGGACAGAGAGCGAGCGAAAGACAAAGACAAAGAGAAGCACCTTCAACATGACCAAGAAAGAGACGGCGAGCGAGAAAGAAGGCGAGACAGGGACAGAGATCGAGGGAGAGAGTCGTCTCCTTCCCATGTTCACACCTCACCCACGGACCTTCACCCGTCTCCCCCCGCGCTCCTACCTCACTTCACCAAGGGGTCTCTGATTGAGCTGGCCAGTGGCAGGTTGAAGCGAGTGGAGGAGCTGCGGACAGAGGACTTCCTGCGGAGTGCTGACACCTCTCCTGAGTTCCACCTCAGCACCTGTACCGTGCTGCTGATTTCCCCCAGCAGCGCTCAGGGCTTCAGCCACCTACATGTCCACCTCACAGACCTCAACACTCAGGTCAGTCCTCTCTTCAGCTTTAATTATTAACACTACAGCATTGTTAGGAATTATTTTAAAAGATAGTGCCGTTTTTATTTTAAGGTGGGATTGTATGAGGTGTCTATTAGTATCAAGTTACCACACACAGCAGATGGTGGCAAGGCGGCTTGAGCACGATCATGGAAGCTATGCTATGTACCACAATGGGCAGTGCTTTGAGTAAAAAAAGAAAAATCCGTTTGACTTTATTTTATGATTTTGAATATTTTTTACCTTTTCTCTGGCATGTGTTTCCTCAAACATGCATCACCTGATCCTGATGCTACAGCTCACCTGTTCAGGTCAGACAAGGCCGTGGTGAACTTAACCTGAAGTCAAACCTGGAGATTTCAATTTTTTTTTTTTTTCAGTGTCTGTGAACCCTCCTCCTGTGTTAGGGTCTGCACCGATCCGTTTTAGTTTTTAAATGCTTAAAAGAGACACTTAAATTAGCTTTTTGCATTAAGACTTTTTGACTTTGTCAGGAAACTCTATATCAACAAAATAAAAATTAAAAAAAATGAATTGACTAAATTATAAAATGCTCTTATTAAAATTATGACACTTGTCATGTTAGGGTCGCTGTTGACCCAGTTAGATTAATATCTAATAATTAGAGCAAAAACTGAAATCATAAGTGCACTGTCAGGCACCACACTGACAGTCAGATCCTCTTCCAATCATGTGAGATTTAGGAAATTTTCATTTTTCCATGTTTTTCCCTGTACAAAAAATAATGTTGGGCATGTCCAGACATGTGAGATCAATTCAGTATAGATGTCTGTATGAGGGGGTATGCTGACAAAGAAACCCCCAGAATATCTACAAAAACTATTATAAACAATATTCTCATGGATAATGAAGGCTAACAAGGTAACAAAGAGATGCAAACCAAATTGGATGATAGAGAATTGTTTTTAGTGTAATTTACAGCTGATTTAAGACACGTGTCAAAACCGACCCTTAACATAGTGGGTGTGTAGTAAAAGTTAACACAGGAGGAAGGTTAACTGCTGTTACAGCTGGCCCAGCATTATCTGTTGTATGTAAAGGAGTCCAACAGTGGTTGAAAAATAAAAAGTCAAAGGAAAAGATGAGTCAGGAAGATGAAACTATTCAAAATCTAGTATATTGTAAAAGTGACTGTCGTCCGCCTTATGAGAAATTCAACTCCTGCTGCTCAGTCCCTCGTAAAACCCCACTTTAAATATGAGTACTTGCAGGGTTGAAGTAGTATTCCCCTTGATTTTCTCTGAGTCAAACAGATTGTAGTGATAATGAGTGTCAGACATGTGATGTTGAGTGTGTAACCATGTTGTGGTTTTGTGTAGGAGTTACTGAAGGTCTTGGTGGAGTATCCGTTCTTTGTGCAGGACCGAGGCTGGTCTTCTTGCTGTCCCCAGAGAACCTCACAGCTGTACGGCCTGCACTGCCGCCAGCTCACGGAGGGGGATGTCTGCCTGGCTCTAACACCTACACCCAACCAAACCCATCGGACACACACGCGTACCAGCTCCCGGGCCCATCGCATGCAACCCCCCTCAAGGGCTGCAGGAGAGTCTAGCAGCAGCAGCAGCAGCAGCAGCAGCAGCTTGCACAGGGACGAGATGCCACCACCACCTCCACCTCCCCCTCTCCCTCACCACCCACCTCCTACTGTGCCAGCCCCTCCTCCTCGTGCTCAGGCTGCAGAGCCTCACGTTCAGGAGCAGACGCGTCCACGCAAACGGCGCTGGTCTGCCCCGGACTCCCTTCCTTCGAGTGGAACTGATGAAAGTCTCCTGGATTTACCTCATGGCTCTAAGCTGATGAAGTGGCAGTAAAAAAAAAAAAAAAAAAAACTTCGAAATGCACATGTATACATCATGCACATACACACACGCGCACACATACACACCCTCCTTGTCTCTGTTGCACCCTCTAAGACAAACAATGAAGAGACCTCAAGGCAGGGTTGCAGGGAAGGAATAAAAAAATCAATAGAAAACATAGTTTTACGGGTGTCCACACTGCTGCCCAGAAGATTAACCTCAATTGCCATTTTTTACCTTTTCTTCCTCTTTCCTTACCTTTCCTTTCCTTTTTCCTTTCCTTTCTTTTTGTCTTTCCTTTCCTCTCCTTCACTTTCCTCTCGTTTGTACCCTTTCCTTTCCTTTCCTCTCCTTCACTTTCCTCTCGTTTCCTTTCCTTTCCTTTCCTTTCCTTTCCTTTCCTTTCCCCAACTATACTTAGCACAGCCCTAAAAGGAGCAGCAGCTGAAGGATCTCTGGAAAGCTCCTTACAGACACACTGAAGACATATAGTGAGACAATCAAGCACTTGTCTGTGTTCACTCTGTTTTTGTAATGGTTGTCCCGCACACATACTTGCTGACAGTGATATCTGCAGGGTATCGGTTTTCAATCAGTGTTATGAAAGTAAACCCTATTGATGAAGTGCAGATATATATATGAACAAAAAGTTGACTATATATATTACATTACAAATGTTATATACAGTAAATATGCTAAACAGATTTAATGCAATCTCTCTGTCAGTTTTGCAAATGCATTCTTGTTTTTTCTTAATTTTCTTGCTTCTGAGCCAGCGGCTACATGTCAGCCGCGGCAGGCAAGGTGAATGTACGAGCAACTCTTCGCCTTTTTTTATTCTCATCACTGGGAGTCATTTCAAACAATTGTTCATCAAGGCATTACCCTCCAATATGTTCTTAACATTATCTCTGAGAAAAGGGAGAACACTAAAAGGAAAACTGCGTAACAGACAATCCCACCCACACAGACAGGTCTGTGCCACATCGCTTCTTCGACACACATGGTGTTTTTCCATTAAAAACTGAATGATGGATAGAGTCAAAAGTACAGCGCGGCTGAAGAGTAATGGTGCTAATAACACGTTGGAACATGATGCTTTGTGAATACTCTTGACCCCTGTGTACTGTACACTTCTGTTCCCATCTCATTTTTTACGTACTGTATTTGTTTGAAGGCAGGGAAACGGTGAAAGTATTTTAAACTCAGATACGGGTATCTCCTCTGATTCAGCACACTCTCTCACTTTAGTTTTTGTGGGGTTTTTTTTGTTTTTTTTTTAATTTTCAAAAAGAAAACCTTACCTGTTGATTTTTCTTTTTAAATGTTATAGCTACAAAAATGTATATTTTTAAAAATTGTGACTCTGTTATATGATGTTCGCTAGAAATAAAGGAAAAAAAGCTTTATAGATTTAATTAAAGGTGTCAGTTTATTCTCTAACTTAATACTCGAATGATCATTTTGAAGCAGATGCTCATCAGTGGAATGACAAATCTGCAAGACATTTTTTTACATATGAAGCATGTTATTGACATTTTAGTCTAAAATAAGTTTTTTTTTCTTTTAACAGCAAAATAATTTTGGCTTATTAAGCTTCATAGAGGACAGAAAACACAGTTTAAGGTGAACAAAGACAAAAGTACTTTGGCTTAAAGCTTTAGATAAGGATTACAGTGCAGCGTTTAAATATTTTCCTTTGTATGTGCATTCACACTGACACCGAACTCTTTGCTTTTTTCAGGATTTCATCTCAGGACACAGAGATAAAAAATCCACAGTTCTTTCTGGAGGTTGTTTGTTGTTACCCTGGTGCAGGTCCAGCTCTCTTCCTGCTACTCCTCTTCACCTGTACTGCTGCTGCCATTCGGCCGCTTCTCCTCGCTCTCTCCCACGTTAAACTTCTGCAGCAAGTCCACAGCAAACAAGGGCACCACCTGGCCGGGAGGACGCACAGTGTGGGACACAATCGGTATGCTTATGAGGACCTCTAGTGGTGGTGGAATTTACTACAAATAGACTTCTACACAGGTGGTATTCACACTGGGGTTAAAATATACTATTGGGTTTGTTTTGCATCAAACTAATTGTAAACTGGCTTGTAAGTGGTGGTTCTTTCTGTCATTATTAAGCTCACCTAACTTTAGTTTTGAGTTTTTTTCTCCTAAATTGATAAAAACAAAACTAGAAAGTTAAGAAATACTTGGAATAAAATAGGCCAAGAGTAATTCCGCTGACTTAAATATGCTGGTATTTACAACAAAACTAAAAAAACTGTTAAATAAAGATTATTTTGCAGAACTTGATACAAAATTTTGAGAAAATAAGTTCAAACAAAATTTCAACAACCATTTATTCCTAATCCACTCACCTGCGCCATGATCAGTTTTTTCATTTTAGGTACGTTGGGGTCAGGATACTCCTCCCCGAAGCAAAGCTCGATCTCATACAAAGGTGAAGGGCCTCTCCCCTGTAAACAAGTCTGGAGTTCTGTACAGAAAACAGAAGAAAAAAAAAAAAGAAAAAAGATACGTCTTAATGGAAAAGAGATTAGATCTTACAAATGCATTTGATTGTTAAAAACATATTGCCTCTTTGCATAGAGAAGAAGTGTGAAATTTGTCATTCTTTTCTCTGCCAAGTGTCCCGAACAATCTGCCTTTGAATAAATCTTATTCTGTTCCAGCTGCGTTTATATGACTAACTGTTGGGCTGGAAGTCCAAACTGCTTTTTCTGGCTCTTAGCGGCGGTTTGTGTTTCACGAATGTTAATTCAAGCATGCATTGCGTCACCATTGAGAAATGTGGCTGTATCGAGAAGTTTGAAGGTTTTTTCTCGCTCCAGTTTGTTCGGCCTGTCGGCGTGTTGGGCCATGGGGCCGCTCCAGTACACCCTGCCTTGACAGAACCTCTTGATGTAGACTCCATCAGGTGCCACCCACAATAACACGCCCCTCTCCAGGTGATAGAGGAGGCGGTTCATTGCTTCAACCATGCTTGAAGGTAAAGAGACAGAGCCTGGTGAGGGGAAAGTGAGCTGCTGGGCGGTGCAGGCGCCGTAGATGCGTTCGTTTCCCACTGGGACAGAGCCTTGCAGGATGAAGCACCCCTCTGGGCTACTGGTGGTCACCTTCATCACCTTCTGGCCGTGATACAAGAGAATCACCTGCATGCGAAAGTCTGCACAAAGCGAATCCAACATGTGTTACAGGTCATAGTTACAGTGCAAGGTAACTGCTTACATCTGTTTTGTACACACAGACACATAAGCTTTCTCACCTGTGACAGTCACATTAGGGCTGAGGAAGGGGACCGCAGGAGAGCTCTGATTCTGGGGTTTATTTTCAGTGAGCTCACAATACAAGTGCTCCCTCATCAGATCCTCTAAAACAGAAGAAAAATGTTATTTCATGAGTTTATTCTCCATACTTGTGATACAGCTGGTAGAGCAGGCGCCCCATGTACCCTTCCTCCTGTGTTAGCTTTTACTACACACCCACCATGTTAAGGGTCGGTTTTGACCCGTGTCTTAAATCAGCTGTAAACTACTAATTGGTATACAAATATCATATCACATTTTATTAAGGTGTGTTTCAAAAGTCTGGTTTAAAATGTTCCTTTTACCCCTCAATGGTTTTCTCTCTTCTTCACTTGCTTGAAATGATTCCTCTTCATGAGGCTGCGAAAAACAAACCAAATCAAGGTTACCATTCGAGGTTTCGCCATCACTATAAACCAACTTTATTTGTTTACAGCTCTCTCCTTTAACCGGCTTCTCCTGCGTATAAGAGACACTATTGTTTCAACAAGTATAAAGGCCATTTTTTAATGTGAACAGCCCAGAAAAATGCTCCAAACAACACAAAACCTCCAATCAAATAAAAGAAAATAACATAATACATCTCTTTATAGCTGGTATATAAACGTTCCAGACATTTAAAGTGTGCTAAATAGTTCAAATAACCTTTGACAAATATTCGTCCAGTTCAGCTCTACCTGATGTCTTTTGTGGTTTATTGGGTTCTTACCTTTTTTTCCAGGCAATCAGGGTTCTTCAAAGACCTCCTCGCTGGGATGATTACTTGATCTGTTATCTGGTGAAACTCTGAGGAGACCAATAAGTGGTTATAAAAATGAAAGATTCTTATTAAGTGAAGTGAAAAAGAAACCCAAACAAGGTCAGACAGCCTTTTTCATGCCCGGATCTTGCTCACTAAAGAAGTACCGAATTCATTCAACATCAATCTCCTTTTATTGATTCTTTTATTTGTTTTGGAGCAATGTCGTTAAAGGGCTGCAAACCACTTAACAAAATAGGATGAGCGAGATCACCTGAAAAGGAAAGGAAAAATGCTGTTTCTTTTAATTTCACCTGCTGGCTTTGTGTTTCCACTGTCGGGCATAATGCGATAGACTTTATAAGGTTCAGTGATGTCCAGCTGGTTGCGTTCAGGGACCTCCTGGAAGTCAGGGCTCTTGTTGAGTGCACACCGGAGACGGGTTTTCCACATAGTGGGGTCCGCTTTATCCCTCCCCTCTCTGTACTTTCCTTTGTACACAGCCCAGGCCTGTGGATGTGAAGATTGAAATATCAGAAGTATAAATTACTCATCACAGCAGACGTGTGCTCCATATTCTGTTTGATTATTAATCGGTTTATAGTATGCAAAAACTTCCTATTTTGAGAATTAATGTAAGCTAGGATTTAGCGTTATGTAAATCTACCCACTACATTGTGAAGGCAGCAGATTTACTGTACACCACAGTAAAGAAAAACATTGCTTATTAAATTTCTAAATAAAAATCAAAACTAGATTATTGAACTTTCGCCGTACTATTTGTTGTTGTATTTTTTCTACTTGCTACGGTATTTGAGGCACACTGTAATACTCGAGGGCTTTATGACTCCTTACTGATGGTGAAGAAAGAAAAATAAGGTTTTTTTCTTTTCTTCTTTTTTTCCAGAACAGCCACACTGAAAGAGATTGAGTTAAATAATAGGCTATATATTGAGTTATCTACTGTCTGCATGTGTTCTGTGTGTTGTACATAGTTTTAAATAAACTTACCAGGTTTTTAACAATAACATAAAAATCAAGGACGTCTCAGTTAGCTGCAGAAATTAAGTTACACTTTCTTTCTTCCAAAGTCCTTAACAAAAAAGTCGCCACTTGGTCACATGGTGTTTTTTTAAATCATTAATTTGTTGGATCTGGAGTTCAGCGTGGCACTGAGACTTTTTTAAGCAGAGGACTTCCCTCTGTACCCGTCTGGTTATATATCTTACTGGAACATTGGACACAACTGACCATCACATCCTGTTACAGACGCTGGAACACTTAATTGGTATTAAAGGATCCACATCAGGCGGGTTTAAATCCTGTTTATCAGATCCATCTCAGGATGTGAGTTAAAAGTAGGGAGTATCATAACTGGCTCTACTGGAACTGGTTCTCCTCATCTTAAAGTATATATAGTAGAAATTATTCCAGAAACTGTCTTGTTAAGCAGATTACACCCAATTATACTTATCACTGAAGCCTAATGAAAGAACAGTAACAGTTTTCATGACTATCTTTGAGTCAGTTTTAAACAGGTTTTGTTGTTTGTGTCCCTGTAAGAGCAATTTTTGTCTTGCACTTTTTTTTAAATCTGCACAACACCATAAAATTCTTTCCAGTCTGATTATTTGGGGGGAAAAGAGATCATAATTTGTAATGCCTCGGCCTCTATTTGCTGCTTCTTACAATCAAGCGGTCAAACTAAGACTCGGACAACCAAGAGTGCTGCTAGTTGTCTTCTGCCCACAACAACTCAACTCAACTCGACACAGACTAAGTTTAAAGATCATATTTATCCCATATTATTAACCTCTTTGCATTAAGTCTCTGTAAAATCCAGGATGTGATGTTTATCCCCCTTTGTACCCAGAAACCTCTGATCGAAATAAGTTTTGACTTATTGTACCTTCACCCTCCAAAAGTCGTTTGTGAGGCAGATCCCTCAACTTATCATCTGGTAGAATTATCTTGTAGTCCATGAGACATATGTTCTCTATACTTTGAGAGTAGTCTACCCACCAGACAGGCTCAGGCTCGCCTTGGACTTTGTCTTTCTTAAGCTACAGTGGGCTATGCCATAAGCCCACAAATGCATGTGACTTTAGCCCCAGGAGTTTTGTTTCCTCTAATCTTGCTGTTTCAGGTTGCGGACCTTTTCACTCCTGTTTCCACCTTCACTTCTTATTATTCCTCCTCCCGCCCGTTAAAAGGAGTCTTTCACGTTGCTGCTGTTGCTAAGCGCTGGCTTGTTTAAAGGTTGCTCTCAGAGTGTTCGGTCTAGACTTCTAATTTTCACAGGATAACTTCAATTGTGATTTGGTGCACTAACAGGGGAAAATGTATGAATTGATGTATGTTTGTGTTGAATGAAATGAAAGCAGGAAGGTTTAGTTCTCCAACACAGTAAATATTTTTCAACATTTTTTCTTCAGTGACTAAGCCACTTTAATTTAAAACCAAACACAATTTCAATCAAAGGCTCCTCAGGTGTTAAGTGGTCATTCATTAGAGAACTCCGACATTATAAAGAAAATAAATTACCTCCCAAAGGAATGTAAGAGAAATTAAACCACCGGTGAATCTGAAGAGTTTGACCCCCGTTTAGCTCAATCACACGAGTCGAGGCTTTTTAAAAAGAACAGAAGGACTGACACTCAACCCTCTTTGCAATCTCATAACAGAGAATCTGATTTTCAATGTGAGTGTTTTTTTTTTTTTCTTTTTCTCTCGGCTCAGTAATTAACATTCAGTCAAAAGAGCACCGCATGGTAGTTAATCATAATAGAGGCTCATTACTTCTCTTTATCAAAAAGACTTTCATTTTTATGGCACATGACTCACCTTTGCATTTTTCAGATACTGCAGTTAATATCATTATTTTTATTTACAGAGCTGTTTCCTTTTAATGGGGGTCTGTCTGGTTATTTTAAATTCTCTAAAAAATGGGGAACAGACCAGACCTCAGTAGGTCTACTTTCTCACTAACTTAACTTGTATTTATAACCTCTTAAAAGTTATTATTTCAATATGTTACAGTGCTATTTTTTAAGATTTGTTTTAATGTATTTACTAGGGGAGACTGGGCTTGTTGTCACATGGGTAAGTTGTCACATTGCAATTATCTTTGTAACTAAAAAGTGGAATACTAGTTTTCTTCCTTCACATGATCAGGGGTCGTGTACTGTCTGGAAGAGAAGAGCACATTCTGAGCTGAGACGAGCGCCAATAAACCATTTTGCAAAGTTAAAAAAAAATACTTTACATATTTTAAAATAAGCTTCTTCTAGATAAAAATCCTAGCAGTGAAATATTTAGACTTGTTAGAGAATAAATTAAGGCGTCCTGTCATACCTCAGTCATTGTTCTGTTTTAAACTAACTTTAAGCTAGAGCTTTGATTAGCAAACGTGGTAATTTGGGGCAACATGTCTCAGTCATTTTGGGGTTAGTTGTCACATGTTTAAAAGGGATTAAAATTAACATAAAGAGTCTGCTTTTCCATAGTTGTCATATTGAAATTTTGACTTTATTCTTACAGAGACAAAAGTGGTTTAAAGGCAAGGAGAAAGCGGGAAGACATGTTCAGGAATTACGAAACAGCTCTTCAAACTCCAGAGCATGTTGCAAAATATTTTATGTTAACGTTTTTCAATGGCTATGTTCAATGACTGGCTTAATGATAAACATTTTCTGTGCCTGACTTTCTAAGTTCACTTATATAAAAAAATGAGAACAACAATAATTTTGCTCTTGTTTTATTAGCTGCAAAATCCACTGTGACATCTTACCTCATAGAACGAGACAACTTATCCGATGGTGGAGCAACATGTCACATGTTCACACTTTCTATTTGATTGCTTATAACTCTGCACTGACACAAGATATAAAAATGATATGAATATTAAATATATATCTGAGACTTTTGTCTTTCCTTTGGTACACATTTTGTTTATATATGATATAATGATTCCAAGAAATGTATGAGTGTAAAAATGTGATAACAAGCCCCAGTCTCCCCTACCACTCTTGATCAAAAATAAACTGAAAATATTGGTTTCCATCAGCAGATTTTCTTTATTAAATTTAATGGATTATAGAAAGACAGACAGAGTACTGACCTTAAAGAGAGCTGCATCCGCCGTCTGTTTGTAGTCCTTCTTGGCTGCGTGTTTCCACGGAATCCTGAACATTGTTTTGCTCTCATCTTCCCAGCACAGCCCTTCATATCTGCCACTCTCTATCTGAACTATCAGCCACTCTTTCATGTGCAGCTTAGCTCCCATATCCATCTTCGGTTACTGTTCTTTAACAGGTCGAACAACCTCAGTATGACTTGTGAAAAGACATGTGCACTGTTCAATCACGTCCTCCCCTGACAAACGGAATCAAAAGATCAATAATTTAGTCTAATGCTGCCTAGACTTCTTCAATAATTCTAATTTGAGTATTTTTGCTTCAATTTTGGCTTAATTTTCTCCAAGATATAGACTTACTGATCTCGCAGCAAAGTTAAATGCAGAAGTTGTGAGTGAAATTAGGTGCGCTGTAGGAGCGAAAGCGAAAGCTGTAAGCTTGTTTCATACTTTCGGTTTCCTCCTCTGTTGGAGGTGCAACGAAAGTTTTATCACCTTAGAGTGAGGCACTGAGAAGGGTGACAGCAGTGCAGATCTGAATGTGTCAAATCAGTGAAACACAGTCTGTCAATGGGACAGTAGGCCTACTAATTGAAAAATAATTGGCTTTAATTGCTGCATTTGTCACTTTTAAAGTTTAACCTCCATATTAAACTTTCTTTTCTCTTAAATTGACACTTGGGGAGGAAAAAGAGACATAAATAATGATAATGACCTAACACCTTGGATAGCTCACAAATCTGTTAACTAAGTAGACCCATGTTGCTGTTTCTTAATTGGAAAATTCCCCTTTAATTAACCCACTCAGAATTATCGCACGTGGGAAAACGGGACAGCACCACTCCTCTACTCAGAAGCCCAAATCACATCGACAACGAGCAGCCCACCCACGCACAGATACACACTCATACCACACGCATACACACACACACACACACACACACAGGCCTGCTGCTGCTGCACACTGCTGGGAATCATAACGAAACGTTCATGTGAAAACGAAAGTGTATGTGGGTGTGAGGTTTTTTTCTTTTTTTCACACGGGCTCCTCCTCCTCCTCCTCCTCATCCTCAGTGGGTTCATAATGCTGACAGAAGATGTTCCTCTCTGCAGGTCAGATGAAGAAACTAAGAGGGAGGACAATGAAGACAAAGTTCAGATCAATAAATCAGATATAGGACTATACTGACATAACGATGCGTTCAGGCACACTCTGTAATTTATCGATCTCTCCAGCAGAGGGCAGTCTAAAGCTGTGTTTCTATTTGTTTGCGTTCCCGGGTGCTTGAACTGTTTCCTAACCTTTGTAATAGCTTTTATATCGATTTTTGTCGTTGTTATTTGCTCTAGAGCTTCTTATCAAAGGTTATTTATAATTTTTTCATTTCTTCAGATAAGAAAAATACTGGTAACACAAGTGAGAAAGACAAACCAGTTGCACAATTGCTACTGACCTTAATTTCTTAAGGCAGGGTTAGCCAATTCAAAGTGACCATTTACACTGTTTTCACCCTCTTTAAACTTCATTTTATCATGTAAATTGAGTGCAATTTTAGACTTCAATTACTTAACTGCATAAGAAATATAGATCCACCCACAAAAAAATGTATTTTCTGCACAGATCTGGCTGTTGAATGGCGACGTCAATCAATATGTTTTACTTTGAATTGCATTTGAAAAGATCCACCCACCCAGAGACCGAAAAAAACCCCACATTCAACTCACAGGCTTTCAACGCTCACTTATGAATCACAAGCCTGAGAAAACAGCAAACTTCTCAATTTGCTTATGAACACGGGAACACTTCTCAGACAGATCAGGTCAGCAGGTAAAGGATGGAGCCTCAATCTGAGCAAATATTTATACAGGAATATGCCTGAAAGTGCAGCATGTGTCCTCCTACAGTCTCACAGCTTTAATTCAGCTTCTCATCCAGATTGAACACACAGCTCGGGGTGGTTTTTGTTGCTTTTCTCCCAGTTTATTGTTGTACCAGTTCAGCAGTCAAACATGGCTGAGACATTGGAGCGCACTGTAGAACATTTGAGCCAGCTCCCAATAAATAGACCTTTTAAATATGACAGATTGTATTACAGCAGAGGAATAAAACCCTGAAAATGTTGAGCACACAGAACAAGAATTTCCCTCGCTGACACTTCAGCTGATGGTTGCTGCGGAAATGTACGGCAGGAATATGTAACAGTTTCGTCTGATGAAATATGGAGACATATCAAGAGGTCCAGGTTGTCGGAAATTGTCTCCCACCGTCAAGTGTGCAGCGTACACGTAAGGCAGAGTGTGGTGTGTCCACTTTGAACTCAACACTCCAGTCAAAGTAGCTTCCTGTGTGTGTGTGTGTTATGTTAGAGAGAACAGGCGGCATTACATACAGGAGAAAACAAAAACTCATGTGACGGTTCAGGCAATAAATACACTTCTTGCTTCGTTTGAAAAAAAAATTATATACACAGTATTTTACATAGAAGAAATTCAGAACATCTATCTTTCAGTCTCAGGTATCTCAGCAATAAAAATATATAATAAAATCTACAGTAAAGAATAAACTACAATAACAATTATGGAAGAAAAAGATTGTCGACTGTGGACGAATAGACAGTACAATCACTGCTTTTTATGTCTTTTATACACAGTAGAAAGCACAAACATATGACGGCGTATCGGGGGGATAAAAAAGAAACTTTGTGGAGGACAGTATTTAAAAATCAAAGCAGTACATTTGTAGTTTTAAAAACTGTTGGATAATCTCTGAGATTTGAGCGGCAAAACTACAAAAAGGAGAGAATATGAGATCGTGTCATGATGCAGTTTTAGTAAAAGGTAGAGATGGGTGTTGCTTCAGAGAACAATTGTTTAATGAAAGCCTATCCAGATTACAACTTACATTTTGTTTTTTGTTTTTTTTTCATTCAGGAAGTATTTTTGATTCGTGAGGTATTTCTGTGTTAGTTTCCAATCCACTTTGAATTTAAATACACCCACTTTTATATAAGAAAAGCCTCAAGACCTTTGCAACTGAAAAAATAAGAAACTTTAGGCTCCAAATGTGATTATTCTAGAGTTAGTTTGATGGAAAAATCAAACCAGTATCGGTTTGGTTGTGTGCTGTGTAGGCTGATGGTATTCTGGTGGAGTTAAAGGATCTGAAATCTCTAAAAAAGCAATAAATACAGTTAGTTTTGGCCATCCATATAAGCTCTTGTGTAGCTTTTGTCACACCAGTGTTTTTCTGAGGTTTGTCTCACACATTGCGTCTTTAATCTCAGAGTTTGTTCTTGTTTTTTGTTTTAAATTTCTGACTATTTACGTTTAAATTTTCAATTAAACACAGATATTTCCTCAGGACTACTAACCTCCTTCAAATCGGCTTTATACTTTTTTATTTGTCTTACAAAAGCTATAAGTGTGTGTGTGCGTGTTTGTGGTGACTTCCTGTTCATCCGCTCAACATCGTGGCGACCCCGACAACGGTACTGAGAGTTTCCCCCTCACTTGAACTCTGACTGTACATAAAAAATGTGTGCACAAACAGTCCATGTCATCGTGTCAGACAGCAACTAGCAGCCCTCCGTTCTCACGTTTGCGTGTCTATCTGTGAAGATGCTGACAGGCTAGTGGCAGCCACAGGCTCTGACCACCATGTTGCGGTATTTCTTGAGAATGACGTTGGAGCTGTCATCAAAGTAGAGCACAGAGATGGCGTGGAGCTGTGTGGGGGCGCAGCAAGGCTTAGGAACCGTGTCTGGGTTTATAAAATGAACCTGTGAAAAGAAAGAGAGAGAGAGAGATTGTCGAGTCTGTTACAACATCAAGAAAAACTGAAAAATCAGCAAAGAGCATCTTAAAGGATTGAACATTGAGAAAGAAAAACCAGAGCCGCAGAAAACTTGGATCTTGTGCTGCGCCAGATCTCTGATGACAGTTTACTCTGAGATACAATCTGAGACTAAATACAGCAGTTGCAACAGCGGCTTCATTGTCCTGACAGTTGATGAGATGATTAGACTGTTAACATGACTGCTGGGGTTTTTGTCTCCTGCTTTCATGGTTACTCACAAGCGTCTGCACAATGGCATGGTTTGTGGCGTTCATGTAGGAGTTCAGCGGGAAGGCGCACTCTCCCTCGCAATAGTAGGCTGCATATCCTTCTGGAGCGATGATCCAGTCCTGAGGAGGAAAAGAGACGTACAAACAGGTTCAGAACGGATATTTAAGAGAGACTGTGATTGATTACTTTAATGATGTGCTTTTATTTGTTTGTCAAAGCAGAGACAGCGAGGAACAGCAGATGTCAAAGTACAAAGAGAGTGGTTAAAAAGGCGTCGACGGGATTAAAGAAAACAGACGCAAAGCAACCACAAACCACAACACTGTTCTGGCCTTGGTGGTGTTACAGGACTGGTTTAGTGAGTAGAAAACGCCAGCAGAAAAGTAACACAGAAAAAGAAAGCATGAATGTACTGCTGGTGTTTATTTTCCCATGATTGGAGTTCTTAAAGCTCCTGTGAGGAGTTTTTCAACATTTATAAAACTGACTAAAATTCATATTGACGACTTTTTATAACATAAAAGAGAAAAGGCAAGACTTAAAGTTTTATATTGTAATTTTTAATGCCTGAAACCAGTGCTAAGGGGGTTGGTGTGAGCCTTGCAGCTGAAGAAAGAGCCTCATTAAATAATCACAAATTACGCAAAAACAATTTTGCCCACAGGGGGGCACCAAAATCGTCACAAACCAAAAGTTACATACAGGAGCTTTAAGTTAAATTAGACTTAAAGTAAAGCAGGCTAAAGTTAAGATTTTGTCAACGCCGTAGACCGTATATACTATGGACAACTTGGTTCCACCTACCGCCTGTATACGGATTTGAAGCCAAAAAGCTCTCTTTTTTTTTGCGATTTTTCTTCATCTCCTGAAACCAGCATTGCGCAGTAGCGTTGTACACATTCGGCGGGAGAGTCACAGAGAGTCGCTGTGATGATGCTTGGCTCAAACAACGTACCCCCCGGGGTGAGCTACTCACTCTTCATACACCCATAGGCTGTATCAAGAGTCAATCATAGAAAACATGAACCCCCTAATAACTTTTAAAAACGGAGCTGTACAAAATAAGAGGACTTGAGCACAAACCAGTCTGACAGTAACTACATGTCCACACTGCAAGCAGGGGGAGAAAATTTTTTTGGGGAGGCGGGATTTATGACCTATACTGACGCCCGTCACCAGAGGGTGCTGTTCTTGCGGTGGCTTCACCAAGCAAGGAGGCAGATGCTGTCCATTCTATATAGAGTCTATGGTCAACGCCACTGACATATATGGGTGACCATTTTGTTGGCCGCATAAATAAATAATTTATAAATCAATAAAATCACTATAAATGTAGCAAAAAGAGCAAAAACAAAAAAGCTTTTACAAAAAGAATTACTTAAAATGCATATTCTGTGGCATCAGGTCAGTAACGGGTTAACAGTTCGGGAAGATTTTGCAGGTGTGGTAAGGTCTAGTGGTTAAAAGAAAACTCATCCCACAGGCTCCTGTATTATGTGCCGATCTAGTGCATCATTTATCAGGATTCTGGGGTAATACCATCAACAAGGAGAGTCTGAGTTAAGCTTCCGTCTGGCTGAACAACCTGCAAAAGGAATGCCTCTCGTACCTGCCACCCCAAGTCTCTGAAACTGACGTAGAGCTCATGCTTCTTACAGGCCTGCTTCTGATCAGTACTGCTGTTTTCTGAAAAGACAGACAGACAGAGAGAGAAATGGCATTTTAATACACATGCTATTATCCCATTCTGTTACAAGAGTAACTATTTTCTGAAGTCAGACCTCAATTAGGGAGAAATGATAAAGAACAGACGTAAACAGGACCCGCTCCAGCACACAAAATATTTAAACAATGGCTGAATGAAATCACCTGATTTAAAACAGCAGTTGTGTAATTGTTCCAATGAATGGGCCACCCTGCTAAGAGGTCACACTGTTAGGCTTTGAGTTTCCACTGGATGGAACAGATGTGCACACAGAGTCGGCTCGCCCCTCTTTTCATTGTCTTACTTATTCTCATTCCTCCTCTCTCTTTACATATCCAACCATTTCGTTCCCCTTTCCCCCCAGCTGTGTGTTGAAAAAGAGTCGTCTGTTTTTAATCTATCGGTATCTTTCACTCGGTTATCCTGGTGACCCGTGAGGCTCTGTGGTGCATTAGTTCCTCAGAGCGGTTCACATTGGAAATGATCATGAGCGACTGGTTCTCATCATCCAGTTAAAGAGCGCTGCTATCCAACGTTCCAAACAGGCCCATTTGGACCATGTGTTGTGGCCCTGGTTGCCCCACAGCACACCGCAGATGTGTTCTGCCATAAAAGCCTGCACTGCCTCACCTCCATGCAGGGAACTTGGCCCCAACTGCTCTGTAATGCTTATGTAAATAAACAAAGACAGCAGAGGGATACTCGACGCTCTGGCAATGCAGTCTAATGTTGCAGCTCTAAACACCTCGAAAACTTCCAACACCTCTAAAACAAAGGGTCTGAGAGTTTGCATCGTCATGTTTCGCTCGGCAAGAATCACATTAATTCCAGCTGGCAGTTATTTGCATGCAGCAAGCTAGGTTCAGCTCAGGATGGGAGGCCAAAATGCCTTTATAATATAGTAATGCTGTATTCTGGGCCGTAGATTTTACGATCTACAAAGTGGTATAAGAAATCCAAAACAAGGGATGTAAGACACAGATGCATGGCTGTCTCTCAAGTTTAAACAACACATTTAGTATCCATGATATTAATAGCTAGTCGGAAGTCAGATGTCGGAGCTGAAAATGACGTCACACCCGAGTTACCAGCGTTTAATTACCAAGTTGGAAAAAAAAGAAAAAAAAAAAAAAGAAAAAGAAAAGCCGGAAACAAGATGGCTACATCTACGAAAATTATTTTAGCGCTTGCCTAGTCCGAATATTAGGCAAGTGCTAAAATAACTTTCAGAAATGTAGCCATCTTGTTTCTGTCTCCGATTTTGCTCTTTTCCGACTTGGCAACTGAAACGCTAGTAAATCGAGTGTGACGTCATTTTCAGCTCAGACTTCTGACTTCCGAGGTAACTTGAACGCAGCACGAGTGTAGCTGAGGATTACAATGAATGACATTTAAACTCCATGAACATCATGGATAATACATATAATACAAATACAAATAATTACATGGTGTTTACATGTTGGTGATAGAATACATGAACTAATTTAGCAAAATAAATGGTTGATTTGGGGGCCTTTGTTTCCTGTTTTTTGAAGATCCTAAGAAAAGGTTCGTCCAGTAGACCTATCTTAGGTTGAGTCTTGATAATTCATCAAACAATGAGCGTGGTCTAGACCTGCTCTTGCTATATAAATAAAATTAGATTTGATTGATTGATTTGAACATATATTAGTGCATATGATTACCTGCAACATTTGCCACTCTTAGTGCCTCCTGGCTCTTTGCCCCCTTAGAGCGGTTGGGGTTGCGCTGTTTCCCCCCTCCTGATGCTGAGCGAATGCTCCGCAGGTGCACCTCCGTGGCTTTGAAGAAGGCCACCATGAACGGCTGTTTATTCTGAGGCCCACTGCGGCCAATAAGCCCAGCCACACGAGGGTTGATGCTCTCTCCTGCAGGGGGAGACAGAGGAAACAGGTGTTGGCATCGCAGAAATCGAGATCTTATTCAAACAGGGTGATGTTTTCCAAAAGAGGGGGATACTTTTGAAATCAAACACATGTGTGCCTGTGTTTTGAGTTTATGGTGTGTGTGTGAATGTGTGTGTGGTCCTCTCTTTTCTCACTCAAACCATGTTTTCATGTCAGTAACACTGCACTCAGTTTCCTCTGTGAATGCCTCCCTCCTTTTACTCATCCTCTCTAAAATGCAGAAAACAAACGCGGCTCTGAACATCAAAGCCTCCCTCATGTTTGTGTGCATGTACGTGTGGGAGTGTTTGCGCTCGTGCATGACCGTCCAGCGGTGTCTATCTACCTCTCACTCTGAAGAATGTGTGTCTGATCGCTGTCTGGTGGTAAATCAAGGCTTCTGCTCTGCCGCTGGCGACAGGACGTCCCGTGCGCCTGCCTGTACATGCTCACCCATAACCCTTTATACCCAATCTAAGACACAAACACACACTCAAGGATACAGCACTCCTCTCCCACAACATGAAAGCAACACAGTGTCTGTCTTCTGCACTAAACATGTAACACCCTGCCATCCTTTGAGAGATAATATCCTCAAAAATGCTCAAGTACTTCTCACTGTTTGTTTGTTGATAACGTTTTAAACAACCATGTTTGCAACAAACTCCTGCTGTGATGTATCCTTCTGATAAGTCCAAGTATTTTCTGCATGCCTTCAAATGATGATGAGGGTATGACAGACGAAGACACGGATGGATGACTGATGACGTACGATGAGGACCAGGGTTTGATTTATCTCTTACATTTACCCACAGAGCGTAGAGAGAGCGGAGAAGCTGATTCTTTGGCGTCTCCGCAGCCAGAATGTGAGCTTCAGACTTCATGACACACATCAAACAATATCAACCCCACCTTACAGTAATTCATCTTTTAATTTGAGGTAATCCTGTTTTGTTTGGCGGTTCTTTTGTGTTTCTCTATGACTCAGCTGATGGCAAGAGTTCAGTTTCTTATACTCCTCCTATTGTAATTAGGTTTCTACCAAAGCTGAAAGTACCACTTCATTTCAACTCTAGTGTGTCTGTTAAACATATTCAGTCGCCACAGAAATCTAGCTCTGAAATCAGCAGCTTTTATGATCAAAATCTAGGTCAGACTTGACCCACTGTGAAATCTTTATCTACGTTATGTTTCACAAGAAGCTACTGAATAATGGCGATGTTATCCAAATTGTCATGAAAAAAACTGCACGATGAGTTTACCACATGTTGACCCACATATTCACAACACTACATTTGATCACATTCAGATTTTCACCTGAACGTGAACAGGACCAACACTCTCACTCTCTATGACTATGTGTCATCTTTATATTTTCCCTCATGATCGCCCAAGTTGACCGGTTTATATTGGTGATATAACACTGTGTTGCTGTTTTTGTTTTTGTTTTTTTAATGGCAAAATATTTTAATGATTTAATAAAATTATTAAAATAATTTTTAAATAATAAATAATATAATTTAAAAAAATAATAATAATAATAATAATTTAATAATTTACACAAAATAATTTAATAATACCAACATTCTTTTTTTTTTTTTTTTACAAACTGCCAAATTTTAGTAAATATCTAATTTTACTGCTTTGTCCACCAGGGGCGCCAAAATCGACACAAACCAAAAGTTCCTTACAGTAGCTTTTAGGAAGAAAAGTATTAAAAAAGGTAAATATTAGGGTTAAAACAAAAACAGAAAAGTCATGTCCAGATTCATTATTCCATGCACACTGAAATCTAACATGCACGGTCATATGTCTCAGATGGAATTTTAATGAATGAATGGAAAGACAGGTATTGGGTTCTGCTATAAATTGGTTGATATTGGGGTCAATACTAAATGTAACAATTCAAAGCACCATTAAAACACTAGTTACAGACTGTTTTGGAAATTGTGAGCTATTAATGGGTAATGGGAAAAATGCTAAAATTTGCTTATATGAGGCTGATTATGTCCAAATGCCAATTAATCGGTCAATTCTTATTTTCACAAGCAATGACACTAATTTCTTCAGGTGTATTTTGTTCATCTTGAGCTTTCTATTTTTATATTTGCTACCTCATATCACCAATATGATCCGGACTAGACTAATCTGGTTGATTCTCACCGTTTGTGCTCTCCAGGGCGAGCTGCAGACCCAGGTTTCTACCAGGGTTCAGGACCCAGTGGTTACTGGTGACGGTCACGTCAAACACCAGCCAGCCCTCCTCTGCTGCCCAGATCACCCGGGAGTCCAGCAGAAACAGGTCAGACTCCCTGGAGAAGGCGGAGGAAACAATCACAACTCACAGTAAGAGATTCACTTAAATCAACAGAGATTATGTGCACAATTACAAAAGATGGGTCGAAACATATAACACTGCGTAAAGCCCAGTGACCGAGGCAAAAAGAACAGTAATTGAGTGAAACGAGAGAGTCAGAGGAGTGTGACGGAGTGAAACAAAGAGTTAGAAGAAGGAGCGAAAAAAGAGAGAGTGAGTAAGAGAGGGAGGGAGGGAGGGCTCCAGATGGTGAGGCCCAAGGGAACACTTCATTTTCTTAATTGACAATAATGGCTTTATAAACGACCGGTCTTTTCACACACAAAACACAGTCCATCACTGGATGGAATTTGGAGGGAGAGCCAGAAAGCCAAAGAGAAAGAGAGAGAGAGAGACAGAAAGAGAAAGAGAGAGAGAAAGAAAAAACACAGCTGTGAAAGAGAAAAAAAAACTGTGTGAAAAGTAGCAAGTGTCCAATAGTCCATGTCCAAGTCAGTCCCATTGTCCAACACTGAACTCTTTATTTTCTGCTCTTTCACTGTCAGAGACTAAAATCCCTTGTTCTTCACGTGGCCATTCATGTTTCCCGACCCATTTTCTGACCGGGCAGATAGTGTGTCACACAGCTCTGGTTCATTCATGTATTCAGGCCTGTCTCTGGCAAAGGAATAAATGAGCGTGTTGTTCCCCCCGGACAACAGGAACCTTCAGGAGGAGTCGAGGGTAGCGGGACATGGACCGCTTTCGGAGTTACATACACCTTCTGGGCTACATGGAGAGAGTTTGGCCGGGTTACAGGAGATTCCACGAGGAGATTAAAATTCTTCAGGATCTCAAGATGAAGATGATCCAGAGAGAGCCATTGCAAATCGACAATCACAAAGTCAGCATGTTGAAATATGCTCTGCTGAGAATAACCTTTTACTCACCTGTCAGAGTGCTCCTCCAGCACCTGGTAGACGCTGATACGGAAAGTCTCATTCTCGTAACGTTCATGGATGAAGTCTTTATAAATACGAAACTCGGCAGCGGTGACCGCCTCGCCTTCTGGGATCCGTGATAGGTCGAATCTGAACTCTTTGTGATGCCGCCTCACCGGTAGGAATTCTTTATCATGCTCCACTGCAAAACAAGATGGACAGAAAATACAGTTTTGCAGTGAATGTTGCTTTCATGAGCTGTTTAGCATCCTCTCTTAACCAGCAGGGATACATGTATTTAGATAGAGTTGTAAATTACACCAGAAAGGGTTTTTTTCTTCCCGTGGTATTAAGTTGCATCAAGGAAACAAATGTCCTTTCTCATTACCGACAATTTATTCATCCTCCATAGTACATCACTTCCAGTTGCTAGCTAGAAGCTGACATAGCTTGCCAGATAGAAACTATCCATAGATATGCTGTACACATGTTGGCTTAGGATTGAAACATTTATGAGGACTTGCACGAGCTGCGATGCATCTGGTGCACACAGAGCCAATGATAGAGAGATGCAGGCGGACTCTGACAGCTTTATGAGTCCCTCTCTTATGTTTTTTCTCCCCCCAGAGCCCCAGAGAGTCGTTCGGTCTGCCCTTCATCTGGTTCTCATGAGCCGGGGATTCATGTTTGGTGTACCCTCCTCGCTCTCATCCCCACACCCCAGCCCTCTGCACCCCCCAAGACATGCCCCCCGACCCCGCTCCTCTCATGTGCCAGCAGGACGTCCCAGGGGTCAGCGCCTTGTCTCTCATCATCTCCTGGTTTCTTCCTCCACCTTCCTCTCCATCGACTGTCAGCTAGACCCCCCACACCAACACGCATCGCTTTAAACACATAAACAAATCCAAGCGCGATCAAATTTAATTATTTACAAGCTGATAGAAAAATAAAGCCCACACACCAGATTCTGGTGGGACTTTGAGGAGTTTTAAATTGCCTTATTTTGCGTATTTTGTCAGTGCGGTTCGTGACAACACTTAAAACTCAACTTCACACGCCATACGAGTCAGATGGCTCCCAAACATAATCCCGCAGCGATGACCTTTCCTCATATCATTGTGCAGATGTTGTGAGTTATTTATTCATAATGTGAAGTAAAGAGAGCGTACGTGAAGTCTTTCATGTTCGGCTGATTTTATCTCTGGAGCAAGAGGTTGAAGTAAACGGCTGTATAACTCTCAGCCTGGAATGTATGTCAATATCATCGGGGTTTCCTTCAGCTACACTGTGCTGCTGTGACCCACAGTTTTATTACAGAAGTATTTCCAGAGGTTATACAAACTTAACCGCTGTGGTATTTGTGGCTTTCATAGGCTATTATAAAAAAAGTGATTTTTCTCTCATGCAGCTTATCTGTACAGATGATCCAGTTCATGTATCAAAGCTTCACCACCTTATGTGGATCTTGCAATAGGCTAGCAGCCTGAGCGAGGCCTTTCCACTGCAGAGGCATGAGAAAGAAAGATTCCTCTGCTGTCAAATCATGGTGTAAAAACTAATGTGGTAAAAATCAAAGTTACTGATAGAGATTCTTATGAGTTCAATCTGTTAAATCTGGATTTCAAGTTCTTGTTTTTTGACTCACCATTTACAAAACATAACATTTTATCTTCTTTAAGGGGTCTTGGTGGAACAAATACACTGAAAACATGTCAAACTACTTTATCATGTATTTCCTATCTGACAGCTTGCGATGTATTTGTGCGTCTAGATTTTGTAGATTTGGAATTGAAGCAGCCAGTCACTTTAAGTTACAAATTTTGGCAGGCTAATTTTTTGTTGGTAAAATTCATCACAGTGTCCAGAGTACAGAATGCCAGTTGGATTATTTTGCGAGTGAGTTTTCATTTCCACTATATTCAATATTGATATGACACAACTGCACCGTATTACTATTTAATCAAATACATACATTTTTGAGGTCGTCGTTCCGCTCAAATACAACCATTTTTGTTTTAATATCCAACCCGAGGACCTCAGAGCTCCTCACACTCATTTCTCTGTCAGACCTCTCTGCTTCAAGGTCCTGTTAATCCTCCAACACATGGAGAGCCCCTCCCTCCTCCTCCTCCTCCTCCTGCAGCCCAGTGCAGGTGCACTCCCTCTGGGGAGAAAGCCAGATCTGTTCTTTAGCCTCCAGAGCAGCCGCCCGCCCTTTCACTGTAAAACCTCTTTATCTTTGCCTGTGCGAGCAGCTGGATGCTGCCGTGTAACTCCCACATGCACTACTTCTCTCGCGTTTCTTTCCATTTCCACTCATGAATAATTTTTTCCCACTTTCAGAGAAACTTAGAGCATCCCAGAGAGTGTGGCGTTGAACTTGGCTATAACTCTGCTTTTGTTTGTTGTCCTTCTCTTCCAGGTCATTACAACTGTATGGCAGTCATTAGATGAGGGGGAGAGGCGCAGTCAAAGCCAAGCGGTACATTTATGACTTCCTGTGGGAGGAAGTGAGTAGCCATTGCCCCACCTGTGTCACAAACATGCAACCACCACAAACACAGTGCACCCACCCTTTTTCATGCTAAGCCCTCCAATCTGAGTCTGGATCACTTACGGCTTCTTACATGCGCACACGTACACTCGGATGCACACAAACAATCATCAGAAAGTATTTCCTGTGGAGCGAACAGTCGTGTGCGTCACAGCACGGTAACACAATCATTATGGGTTTCCGTAATCCATAATTAGAGATGCAGCCACATTCACATGCACACAAATGTACAGAGAGCACTGCTTTTATCATTTGCTCTGCATCTGATTTGCTGCTGATGATGCACAGTGATACCACATCACGGACTCGTATGGACCACACACGTGCATGGCAGAGCACATCACAGACACGGGGAATGATGAAGACTTCCCACAGTGCACCTGGTAACCAGAAGATACAACTGTATCAACACCACGTTAGCATCTTTCATGATTTATGTATCCAACAGTTGCCTCATGACTCTGTTTGCAAGCTGACAGTGTGCGAACAGAATAAACCGACTCAGTGATTTGAGGTTCATCACTCTATAGCTATTGAATATTTTGTTTTTAATTATTCTGTCTAGCTGTTTACTAAAGGGACATAAGCCCACCTCCTTGCATTTAAAGTGGGCTTTGATTGAAAGTTTGGTTGAGTCAGCAGCATCGGATGTTGGATTTCTAAGTTTCCAATCCTAGAGGACAAAAATTCTGGAACAACTTAACCAACTTCCAAGGTTCTTAGAGAAAAAGGGTCTTAAAGAGGGCAAAAGAGCTCCAGCAACACTTGTAGTTCAGGAAAACAGCTTTATTCGACCAATGTGTTTCAACTTGAAGCCTTCAACAGGGTCATCAGAAATGCATTAAGAGCAACACTTCAATAGGGTAGGTTTGAAATTGGGGAAGATTGAACAGTTACAAGATTTGACAAGTTATGTGCAGTTACATCGGAGTCAGCCAATGGAATGGCTGCAGGGGTGTGTCTATTTAGTCAGCACCTAATTGTACCACCTGTCAGCAATTAAGGTGCTGATAGGGGGTGAGGGGAACTGTCCAAAGGGAGGTGTCAGTGGCATCATTTTGGTCAAAGGCCTGAGGGATGTTTTTTTTAATGCATATCTGATGACCCTGATGAAGGCCACAAGCCGAAACACGTCGGTCGAATAAAGCTGTTTTCCTGAACTACAAGTTTTGCTGGAGGACTTTAAACTTCCATTCCTAAAAAAAAGCGGGTGATGTCCATGTTTTTTTAAGTCTTTGATCGGTAGCGCTGGTTGTCCTGCCCTCTTTAGTACTACCAATATGACAGCCACACATACCCCAGCCTGCTGTTGTAAACTAATACACACTTTACTTCAGCTCAAGTTACTTAACACAAAAGTTTTAAGATATAATTGGAATAACTTTTTAGAAAATCCACTGACAAACGTACACACGTTAACGTAGACAAGCTGTGATTGTTGGTTTTGGTTGTTGATCATTATCCGCCTTTGCCTTTGACTAATTTCTTTCATGTCTCCCACGTCCCTCTTTTGTTTCCCCCTCTCCTCTGCCTCCTTTCCCCTCTCCCCTGCAGGGCCTGTAGACCTAAGACACTTCTCCGACACCTCCAGCTCCGGAGCAGCAGCGGACAAATCTGACGGCTCGCATTAGTCCAAGTGTCTGTCGGCCGCCCTCACACCTTGCGCGCTTCCGCTGCTCTGCAGGAGGGGGATCTCACCCTTTGCACTGCTCTCACTTCTCCTCACACACGGCTTAAGCTCCTTCCCTTCCTTTTCTTTGAGATAACTGTGCCACTATTATCTGCACCTCCTTCTGTGTCCCCTGTACAGCCCGATAAAGCAATTGGCCAATCAAAACAGGTTTGGATCACTTTATGATGAGAGCCTTGAGGCCTTTAAAAAATGACTGCACAGCTTCAACACCTCATAGAGTCATTTGTTTGATTGAGGCACTTTAATGATCTGTTTCTTTCTGTCTTTTTGTTGCTCTTACTTCAACAATGTTTTAACTACAGGAGTGGGAACAAGTAAGTCATAGTTTCCGTAAGCAAGAAGGAGAGACAGGAAGAAAAAACGAAACGGGCAGATTGCTCAAGATGTTTATCCCATAAAGAGTAAAGAGGGTTTGTCCTCCCGGGTACAGAGTGACTACCCACAGTAGGACGATTACCACTTCAGGAAACATCCTGCCCACTGGCAACCATTGATGACATCATGCCTGTGTGATGTATTTGTTCTGCCGTGGAGCCTGTCAGCGCCGGCTCCCTGGGAAAGGGTCAGCGGAGTTTCATGCAATAACTTACTCACATTTAACGATCATTAACCGTGCGTGCACGATCGCACACACTCACACACGCCCCTGAGCGTGCGTGCGTGCATGTGCAGGCACGGCAACCACAGGAAAAGGAGTCTTAACATTTAAGACTTGTGGTCAAACCAAACTTTTCTGGGTTTGCCAGCCGGAAGGCAATCAAGAGCTTCTAGTTTCTGCTCACAGCGGCTCTGCTGACCTCTCTTTTTCCCTCTCGCTGCGGCCATCAAACGTGCTCGCCCTCTGCACCCGTAAACTGTAGGACTGGGTTCTGTCTCATGCCTCAATGGGCATCATGTAGCAGTGATTTATACCCGAACTGACTCACTATGGAGCATCTTTCAGAGCTCGTACACTGTCCATCAAATCAACAGCAACTTCCAGACAAACAAAATAAGATGATGTTAAGCTGGATAATTTTATCTACGTTTGGCTGCAGCCGGCTGAGATTCCAGTGAAGTGAAGGCTGACTGAGAAGGCTTAAGAAAACACAAGATAAAACCCTTGATGCTTATTTTTAAACTGTTTTTGGACCAATTACACCAACGAAACAAAGAAAAATGTGTGCAAGGCTGGAGGATCATCTCCTAATAATTACAAAAATTTGAAACAGGTTCAACAACGGCACTCCAAGTGTTCACCAGTTTGTGAGAAGTCAGAAGTCAGAAGCCCGAGTTGAAAATGACTTGTCTGAACATAAAGCAAGCACTAAAGTAACTTTCGTTGATGTGGCCATTTTGTTTCCACCTCCAATTTTGCTTTTTCCGACTTGGTAACTGAAATGCTGGGAACTCGGGTGTGACATCATTTTTAGGTAAATCGAGCGCAGCATTAGTTCAACAATATCATGATAATGTTGCAGTGCATAAAATTGCAATTAATTTAACTACAGTTATATCATCACAAGATTCAGAGTGTCAGAAGACACAAAAACAGACATGCTCTGTAGTGGACACCACTGCATAGGCTCAAAATCACATCCAAAAACTTTTGTCTATAAACACAGTTTGAGCCAGCACTCCTGATTTTAAGAGGCTGCACACACATGATATTATATTTTCAATGCTTTTATTCTTGAATCAGCCTCTCCTCTATTAGAAACCAAACTGGTGGATCTGAAGAGCCCACACACACACACCACAGTGACTAAAGAGCCTGCAGGACAAATTGAGTCATCTTGGAAATGGGAACTTCATCATCTTCCCTCAGAGATCTGTCAAGAGATTGAACTCTAGTGAAAGGCAACAGTGACAACAAAGAAACCACATCCTAAATCCTCGACCTCCATTGTTCTGCTGAGTGATACAACGTGTTAAGAGACAGGGCTGAAGCAGTGTGAAGAGACTGTGAGGGATCTCTGCGCGCCGATACCACCGTAACCATCTGTACTTCCTCAGGATTAAACAACTCGGAGACGTAGAGAACCACAGCCATTCAGTTTCCCCCACTCCACTCACTCTTCCCCTCTTCCCTTTGCTTTTATGTTCTTTAATTTTGTGGCAGTAGGGGCCACACCCTCCTCCACCAGCCCAGCCGCCTCTTATTATAGACCTCAGGAAAATTCACATACAATACACTCATTGGCCCCAAAGGACGCACATGTGTCTACATGGTGTCTACATAAAACTTTTATAATTTCCTCTTGGCGTGTGACGCACGCATGACGGGCACATTGGCACCCGGATTTTAACAGCTTGTTGTTTATTTTGTTTAATTGCAGCCTATTGCTTTTTAAAATAAACAAAAGTGCGATGACGGAAACACAGGGAAACACAGCTGCACACTTGCCTAAATAAATAGGAAGCCACCACATGCAGTTTATACTCTGTGCTGCACAGACGCACAATGTCATCACTTATCATAAAAGCACCACGCTATAGCTGCAGCTCGGCTTTTACAAGCTTTGATTCGGATGTCGTAGTCGGGTGAAGAATCTGGTCAGTATTACCGGCTTCCGCTAACGCAGTCCTCAGCTTGTAGAGCGAACACACATCACACAGCGCAGCTGGTGACTGGGCAGGGTAGGTGGCGCGGAAATAGTGTTTTACTATCCACAAACACATGACTGCGCTCAGTCAAATGCTCTGAGCGACTTTACAGACCCACAAGGAACTAGAATAAGGGAAATAATCCATTCATGAGCCACATTTTCATTCCTCTGCACCCTCCTATCCTTCTTCTCTCACCCCTTCACTATGTCTAGATCTTTGGCCGGGCCCTAGCTCCTCTTAATACCCAGTATCACTGCCAGTCACTGATAAGAAACCACACAGATAAAAAGATTATCCTTCAGATATCCTCTGTACTTCTTCGTGCCTGTTCATACACATTTTTTGGAGTATTGCACATCGAAAAGAAGAAGAAATTCTGTGAGTTTGCCATAAAATAATTCAACTATATTTTATAAAGATGGACAGAAAGCAATAAAGTGAAATTATTATGAAAACTAAAATAAACCCGACATTCCTGGCAGTGAAGGAGGTCCGTCCATCACTGAGGCAGACCTAAAACTCCCGCTGTTCAGTGCATCTGGGTCTTTTGACCACTCGCCACATTGTCAAGTCCCACCCGCCGAGTGTTTCATCATCTCTCCCAGCAAGTGCCTGAGCCCGGCCAAGTCATAGAGGCTCTGCTATGTGCATCCAGATGTCATTCTGGACTCCTGGGTTCAACAGGTGATCTCAGAGATACTAAATTGTTAGAATAAAAATAAAATTCCTGGATTTTCTGGTGGTATTTACTTTCAAGCCAGATCTGGTCATAATACATCTTTTATTTTGGAGAGTATTAAGAGAAATAACCTGACAGTAAAGCTGGGCTGTCTGTACCAGCTGTTACATTCCTCCCTGACCAGCAGAAGCTAATAAAACATGCATGCAATGACACTAATAAGCTCCAGAAACATTCCTGTTTGAGTTAAAAGACTGGTCGTACACTTGCATTAGCGCATTAGTCTGCTAGGAGTGTAAACAGAAGCGATTACATAAATTTACAAGAGGAAGGGAGGCAGGTTAGCAGTTTCGAGGACGAGGAGGACTCATCTTTTAGCTTTCTGATCCTCTTTTGATGGGAACTATGAAAGATCATCCAGGGTAGCAGCTCACATTCAGAATCATTCATCAGGCTGCAACAACTCACTGACAGATAAAAAAAAGAAGAAGAAGAAAAAAGCTGGAGTGTGTGTAAGCGTGTTTTTGAAGGAGGAGTGGGAAATGATGTTGAGAGAAAGAGAGAGCTGTGTTTTGGGCCCAGAGGAAGTGAGTGTGTATGTGAGAGAGTGAGAGCTGCGGAGTGGAAAAACACACTACAGAACTTGAGAAAGTGTTGAAATGTTTTATGTCTGGAAGCATGGGAGGTTTAAACCTCTGGAGATGAGGGCCAGAGCTGGAAGTTGGAGACTAAACACCACACAGCACCTCTGAGACCGTATGATAACTAACTAATTAAAACTGGGAGACCGGTGCTGATAATCAATACTGTTGGTTTAAGGAAGGTAGGGAGGGAAATCTGGTATCAGATGGTGGTGCGTGCGGACAAGATCGGAGAAAGGGCCAGACATGACGGTGGGGGTCGAGGTGAGGGGACTTGTTGGACTCTGAAAAGATAAAGTTTCTCCGCACAGCTGCTCTGGCAGGAAAACATCTGTATTAGCCTCAGCACCATGAGCCCGCTGTGGAGAGGAATGCGAGGAGCAATAAAGAGACAGACGCAGGGAGAGGGAACAGGAGATACGAGTATGTTTTCAGAAAAAAGAAGATCGAGGGATATTTGAGCTTAGATATTACAAATGTAGACCTCTTGGCTTCTCTGCTCAGCAATAAAACTCGCTCTGCGTGCCACTGCTGAGGCCGGACTGTGACACATCTGCAGCGGTGGATGTGACACAGTGCTGTCTGAGAGCCAAACTCTCTAATAAAGCCAAACTAATTGAACGGTTACACATTTCTTCCCCTCTCTGCTCTCCATTACCTTCATGTTAACAGGTTCTATAAAGCAGGGAGAGCTGGCAGACTATTGTGTGGCGGGCAGCTCCTGCGGGAGCAGACAGAGGGTTATGAACGGGTGGAGGGCCAGGTGGTGCCCCGTCAAGTCACCACGGTAACACAGGAGATAATTACCTGCTAGCGCACTGACTCACTCTGCCAAGTCTCTACCATCCCTTCTGATCACAGCCTCAACTGACTGGTTAAACACAGGGCGAAGCTTTAATATAACTCAATTAGACTGCTTACTGTGTGCAACATCGCGGCTTCGGTCGGGTCGGACTATTTAAATGTTGCGTTTTGCTGAAATGAGAGAGAGAAAGCTGTGGATTTTTGTTTACAACACTTCAACTCTGTTTAGTTTCACATCTGGTGCAGATTAACAGCAGCAAGAGCACCAAGCAATTAAAGATGCCTTGGTAGTGCTTTTGTTTTAAAGGCGTAATATGTTTGTTCACTTTTTTGGATGCTTGTACTTTGCCAGCATCGGCGCCACACAGGCATAGACCTAAGAGATAATCTAAAAGGGAATATCAACATCCAATCCAAATAATGAGACTGATTTTTGTGACTTTAAGCCCCATGAATGCAAAATCACTTCCAAAATTATCACAAAAGAAGAGGAAGAAAAACGAAATCCTAATTTGAACTACCCACTTTTTAAGTTTGGCTTAAAACGTTGGGTTGCCCCTTTAACACACACTCACCTAAGGCTATGTCATTCCCAGCAGGACTGAATGAAAACAAAGGAAATAAGGAAGCAATGACTCATGATGGCATTTTACAGTAAAAGACTTTAACCCTTCACCCAGACAGACACACAGGTGATGATGCTGCTACTGTTTCAGTCATCCAGGATGCAAACAGCAGATGCTGAGTTCATTGTTGCTTCCTGTGGTCTGTGAGATGTAGACTGACATTAACGCTGGGCTTCATGTGCGTGTGCTTGGTGAACAACCGTCCTGTGTGGGGGTCTAACATGGAGTGAACTGCATTAAAGCCCAGGACTGGCATCAGAAGTGGTCCAAAGTCCTGGTAGCTGTGGTTTCTTTGAGGGGAAATGCTTTAATTTGTGGTGGCTGAGGGCTAATGCTGCCAGAGACCGCTGGGACTACATTAAATAATTATGACAACGTATGAGTTATTTCTGTGTGTGTAAGCAGAAAGCCAAATTTAGAGTTTTCCTGTTAATATTGGCAAGTGATATACAAAAAAAAAATCACCCTTTATTGGTTTCTTTTTGTTTTGTTTTAGGTCACTTTCCTGTCGCCACCTTTAAAGCGAGGAAACGAGCGTGTTGCGTTCACTTGCTTGGCTGTTATCGTGGCATGTCCGGCACACACCCAGTGCCTGGATGACGTGCGTTACGTGTACATTCTGCACGTATGCCGTAAGTCGTTAGCACAGCTGGGCTTTTAAAATGCAGTGACTCAGTGAGTGGACGTCCCTGACCTGGGGTCTGACTGCCTCTGAGCCCACGCCCGCCTGTCCTGGCTGGCTGCACTTAAGTCTAAGACACTCACACCAGCTGACAAAAAACATCTGAGCTCCACTCAGTGGCAGTCAGGAAAGAAAAAGAGGAGATAGTAAAAGCGTGTTTTTACAGAAGATGACTTCTTTCATTGGCTTACTCAGTAAAACCACTCATGATCGTGCCATAGCGTTTAGTTTGGGTCATAAACGAAAATACAAACTGGTGCAGGAAAACAGTTCTCAGGAAGCAGTCTACTGAGTCTGACTAATGTACCTTGGCATGGTAGTTCTGGAGACATGCAGAGTTTTTGAGGGACAGTTTTTAAAATATAAGCCGCACTCATTTTGCTCGCAGACAACCCAAATAAGAAAACAAACCCACAATGAGCAAAATGTGGAAAGGAAGGAATTTAGAGAGGAAATAGTCGATTCACTTGATAGCCATCACTTACTTCTCTGTGTCCCTCTCTCACGTGAATTGCCTATAATCCGCTTTAAATAAGCGGTCTGGACACTTAATCGATAATATACATAACCTTACATTTAACATGGAGCAGATTGCACAAACAAATGTCGTTTCTAATTATCAAACCAATGAAAAACATGGAAAATCTGAACACAACCGGTGAAGAATGCTCAACCTGGGTAAATGCCATTAGTAATTGCATTACCAACAAGACTGCAGGAAAGCAGTATGACTTTCTTTCCATGGTCTGCCTTATAAATTAGATAAAAATGTTCTGTCCCGCTGGTGTGGCCCATCTTAGTTTGGATTTTCTGCCTGTTTTAAGCATCATCACGAGCCCTTGTTCATCTTTCCTTTCTATCCTCCTTTCTCCTCAGTTATACTACGTGCAGCCTTGGCCATTGACTCCGCGAGGCCCTTGACTTTGCGAGTCTCTGTGGTCAAATCCATCTGTGTCACAGGCTGTCAAAAATAGTCACAATGCAGCAGCTTCCACAGTAATTACACAGTGCAGCCGAGGAGCCAGTGTCACCTCCCTTTCTCCTGCCAAGACACTCCAACAATGATCTTTCCAGGATTCAGAGCAAACGTCCAACTTTTTGCAGAAATCCACCAAAGTTTCTCCAGTCTTGCAAACTCTACTTGCTCAAAATTTTCTGCCAAACAGTGTCAAAGGTTGATAAACCAAAATAACACAGCCGGCTGATAAGTGGAGCAGTTGCTGTGACTACATAATTTGTTTAACAAATTGCGATATAATGATGGGTTTATCTCTCAATAAATCTGACACCGCCTGCGAATGCTGTGATTATTTGCATTTAACAACCTCTCAGTGTTCCTGACAGCAATAAAAAATCCCAGGACTGTTAAATTTAAGGAAACATTCTGATAAGATAAGCGCAGCGGTCCAGAAACAACATTCAACAACCAAAACCAACTATTGCATTAAAGTGCAACCAAAACATCGAATGACTCACAGTGAGATCAACTTTCATTAACTAAACTCCGTCTGTATCGTCATTGACTGGCATTATTCTGCAGTCTGAGTGTCTACAGGGATGTCTCCAGATTAGAGTGAGGGAGGACCCGGTGCACTTTGAACCTAGTCTGCTGTTGACTTACTCATTCTTTAGATAACACATGGTTGACATATTATCTGCAGGCTGCCTCCATCATCATCCACAGTGCAGCACCTGAGCATTAGCTGGTTGCACAGCTGTTTAACAGAGAAGGACACTGGAATGTGACACTCCTAGCAATAACTGAAAAAACTGCACCGATTCCTTTGTAAATAAGGTTACAGTGCAGGTCTCTCTGGTGTGCATGCATGGTCAGTTGCACCGGAACTATTTGTATTCTTGAGCCAGTAAAGTATTGATAGTGATTGACAGAATATAAACATAAGCACACTTATGAGCGGTTAAACTTCAAACTAAAACTGTAAAAACAGAGCTTAATTAAAAGATAATCTGTTTTTAAGGAGTTAATATCCCTGTAGTTGTCAAAATACCAACCAAATAGCACAATATTTCTAGATTTAAAACTCAAATATTAAGTATTTTCCTTTGAAACAAACTGGGCTACAAGTGGTGACTTCTTAAGCATCAATAAATGTCAGGACTTAGTTAAAGACAAAAATAAGTTTAAAGTAATAAAACTATCAACAAAAGTAAGCAGCATACCTAAGTTGACAAAGCTCATGACCATGTCTGCATCGTTCAAGAAGTTGTTGTCTTGCAGGCTGGCAATTGGGGGCCCCTGAGTGGTGAACACGGGCTTGTATGGGTAAGAGTATCTGTCCTCGTCCCCCTCTATGGACATGGCGTTGTACAAGTCCAACATAAACATCGGGGCAGCGTTGTGCTTGCCGTGGAGGTGGGGTCGCGGCCGGTGTGGCAGCCCCAGAATCGACAGGATCTCGCGCTGCATCTCCCTGCGCTCCTGGCTCTTCAGGCGACGGTGGATGAAACTGGAGTGGAACTCGTTGTCCAAGGTAAAGTTCGTAAAAGCAGTATCCGCCAGGACGCAGTAGCTCCAAACTAAGAGCAAAGCGGGGGCACGTCGATCCAACATCGGTGGCATGGTGCTCGCCGTGCGTATTTACGCTCAGTTTTGATCGCCGAAACTCTTGTGAAGGATATCAAACTTCAAGCAACAGGCAACCTGTTTTCAAAATCCGAAGTCAAGTGCGGTCCCTCATGTTGAGGGAAGTGCTCCGAAATTCAACATCAACTCTGCTCCAGAGTTCTCAAAAGGGGGGGTTTCTTCAAGTGGTGTTCGCGCGGACCTCCGTCCTCATCCACAACCTGTAGCCAACAACATCAAAGTGTAGAGCAGAGAGTGTGGAGGCTGCGAACAGACCGGGAGAGAGACACGAACAAGTTGTGAGGAGGCGCTGCATGCTGGGAGGAGCAGGAGAGAGAGAGAGAGAGAGAGAGAGAGAGAGGTTTTCCTAATGGAGATAGGGCGAAGTTGGCTTTTGTTTGCAGTTAAAGTACAGCTTGAGGCTACAAGTGCAAATACAAAACGGATTAGGACAAGATTTTTGGTCATTGTGCTTATTCAACTTCATATTAAAGCAGTTTTCGTCATTCCCTTCCCACAATTCCCGGTGGCCGCATGCTGGTGTGGATTCAATAATGACAGATGTGCAGACAGTGACAATAGGCCTTTCAGTTACGGCGTGCTTTTTGAAAATAACAGACCTCATATCAGAGAGTATGAATTTGCCTGTGTGGGTGGAAACTTCAACACTGTGGGAGAGGTTGAAACAGGCAGTTACAATGCTACTCTATGTTAGCCAGTCAACCTTCTGCAGGTGCACTCTGAATATTTTGCTTCACGTGGTTTTGAAACTTAAAAGTAACTTCTCCTTTGATGTCGCAGAGCGCAGCTTTACAGCCTCACAAGTGCCATTTCATGCTGCATTTTTGCAGACATCCCTGCATTTTTATCCCCACGGCTAGAGCAGGAAGTTTGTGACAAAGGCAGCGGTGCGCAGACAGAGCACAGACTGCGAAGGAGGGGTGCAGATGTTTGGCAGCTGCTTCATCCTCCCATCTGCCCCCCTGGCCCCAGCACCTCTTAAACACCACACTTTAATGGAACGCTCCTGACCCTCTGGTGCGCCGTGCTCTCGCTGACACAGGCAGGCCGAGGAACCAGAAATGACCACTTTGTCTCCGTCGACCTCCTAAAACCAGAAACAAGAGCTTAAAAGGCGTTGCAGTTGAAATGTTTCAGGGCCATGGCTTGCCAGGTGAATTTTCTGACAATAAAATTAAACTTCAATGGCACAGCGAGAGAGGCTGCCAGACGGCTTAGGCTATGATTGCAAACAGAGGAAGGGAGGAAAGGAGGAGGCAGAGCGTGTCTTAGGGTCTTCTACGCTGAGCTCACCTTCCTGCTCATTTAATGTGGTCGTTCTTGTCTTCAAAGGCGTTCCACTCCGCTTTCCCCGATGACAATTTAACATAACTTAGAGCCTGAAAGCTTGCCACTACTCACTCTGTGTATCTAATCCTGTAGTTGCTTTTAAAAAGCCTTTCAGTAGTAGCCTGTAACATATAAACATTTCTATCCGGGGCCTCAGATAGAATCAGCTAATGGCCGCAGGTGTTTACATTACAGCAGTTTCCAACAGGGGACTTGAAAGGGTCTTTGTTCCAGTTAGAACTATACATCTTCCTCTCTACATCTTCCTCTCTTTTTTCTTTTCTCTCACTCTTTCATTGTCTTCCCCTCGTTCTCTTGCTCTCTTACCCTTGCTGTAAAGGTTGGCGAGGTCAAACTCCCCCAGTGCTCTTGCAGCAACCCCCCAGTCCTTGGCTCAGTTTGTGCCCAGAGAGGGGCTGACAATCCTGGGCAGGACAATAGGAACAGACCCCCCTTTGTTTGGGCCTCCATGGGCCTGATGACAGTCACAGTAAACAGCGGGCACAGGCTGAGGCCCGGCTGGGTGAGCTGCACTGAGGGGCCTTTGACAAGGACAACTAAAGCTGAAAAGCAGAACAAAATGTGTTTGAACCGTCCTACAGTCGGACAAGAAACTGCTGAGAAAATAAAGACACTTCATATTCGGTCAAAATGCATCTACACAGTTTTGGTCGTCTCGCTTTACTTGTTGTCAGCTTTTAGCCTGGAGCATTTTGAGCACACTTGCATGCAAACTTTTCCCACTATAATCAAAGACAACATGCAAAAATGCACAGCTCAACTCTTCATCAGGTTGGAGCATGAAACCAACTCCCGAAATAGACCACACAGCAGAGAAGTATCGCTACAAAACTAACTTAGAAACGTTCTATTCTTCACAATAACTTGAATATTCATCACTTCAACTCAGCATATGGCAAGTATGGATCAGTAATATTGCACACAGCATGTTTTTCTCTCATCATGCAGGTCGAATCCCTTCTAGGAGTGAGGGATTTTTTCGTCTGCCTGGTTATCTCTGTTTAAGAGCTCAAAGCGTGCGGTCAGAGGTCAGGTTAATATTTATTTCACGTGTTGCCTCAGAAAGCAGCAGGCAGTGATCCTTTGAAGGCGGATGAGGTTGGTTGGAGGGGGGTCTGACCAGACCGGCCCACAGACACGACAGTGAAACTTTTTTCAGGGTAAACTGACCCTCAAATGAAGCAGTGTGAGGTCGGGGTGCAAGGACACAGAGGGTGGAGGCCCACTTTCCCCTCTCCCGCCCTCTTTGTCCGCCTGTCCTGTCCGCCCCATGTCTCCGTTTTTGGCGTAACCCCACTGTGTGCACTGCACTGAGTGGCGGCCTGTTAAAACAGCCTAACCAGGTGGAGCTGAGCTATTGCAAATGTTCCCCTTCTGGTGTCTCACACTTCCAGGGGCCTCATGAACATATGAGACACAGCTGTGAGACAGACAGAAGAAAGAGAGGGGGCGGGTATGTGAAACTGCTTCAACTTAGTTCACTTTGTACATCCTACTTTGGTCTTCAGTTTGATGGCATTTTGAAAAATCTGGATCCAGTTTTGAATTATTGAATCCAAGTGCAAGAATCCAAGGAACCACTTTCACAGCGTACACATTTAAATACACAACTAAACACATGAAAGAAAAGTTGGCTGATATATTGAGTCACATAAAGTTACTGCTTGTGTTTCTGTCACACTGACAAAACAGACATCGGCAACAATGTCCCAGTAAAAAGTAATAACTGGGACGTGAGAAAACTAAAAAGTAATACACGCTCCAAGAATGATGATCAAATACTGTGTTGTGTCCAGAGAAAGATGTGTAATTTGCCTTTTTTACCCAGTTTCAACATTTTCCCAATAGCATCTCCAAGTAATATGCAGAAATGTTCTCTCAGTGCGATCACTCAGTGTCTAGTTTCGCATTTATCAAATCGGTCATGTCACTCAATCCACGTCGGGAACACCAGAGTAGCTCGGATCTGATTTATACCTCTCAGCAGTCCAGCCAGACCCATCACTTATAGCTGTTGCCACTGAGAGTCAGAGATACCGTTTTAGTTAAGCTTTCTGTAATGCCCTGCTTAGTAAGGCGTATCCGCTGCAGGATGTTATCACTCAGGAGCTCTGTCACTTGTGTCAGCAGCACAGAGTCCTGGCTCAACACTAAGCTTGTATACCTTCACCCACCACGCACTTATCAGCATCCATTACTGAGGTGTGAGGGCCTGATAAAGGGCTATCCTGTCCCATGCAGCTCCAGACAGAGGTCCTGTTTGGACTGCAACCCTTTGACTCTTGCTCTCATCACTCTGTGAGGCTGTGCTGAGCTGTCAATCACACAAGACCCTGGGTGATCAGTCAGCTCCTCTTAAGGAGATGCTGGTCTGAGGAGCCATTAGAGAGCCAGACTGGCCGGGCCAAAAGCTGATGAGAAACAGAGGAACAGGAGGGCCTGAGGAAGAAAGTTAAGAGGGGGTGTGGAGGAGCAGGAGGTGGATGTGCTGAACTATGTGGATTGCAGAGGGAGGGCAGCTCTGTTTTCTATTTGTGAGGATTAGGTTGACAGATCTGTATTTAGTTTCTTTGGGCCTCTAGCTGCAGCTAATCCCCCTCACCTGCAGCGAGTACCCCCACTCTCTTTCCTCTGACCCCGCAGCCCTCTACTCCCTCCCTCCAACTTCCCCCCTCCTGCCCAGCACAAACACTCATCCCGAGACAAGCACATGACTCGTTGCACTCTGTCTCCTCAGGTTAGGGCCTCACACTCGACACAAATCTCTCCCGGGCCAAAGGAACAGCAGGGGTCTCGGCTTTTCTGGAACAGAAGAAAAAGAAGGACCCCCACAACCTGCCGTCTTCCACATGTTGAGATTTTTTGGTCCTGGGTGAAGGGTTATCCCTCATCACTCAGAGATAGCAATTACTCAAAAATTAAGAGCTATTACGACGGAAGCGGCTTGTCAAAGTCACTCAGAGGAAATTGGGACCTTTGGTAAAGCTGCACATTAGGAAATATTCAGGGTCAGGTCAGGGGCAGGGACCTCTTGTCTTTAGATCCTGGCTCCCACACACTCTGACCAAGCCTTCTCACTGTGAGAGACAGACCACAGTGCCTCCACAAACACACACAGCAGGCCTGCCAGCAACTCCTGAAGGTGGGGACTCTGAATGACCTAATAGTTTCAGAATCTGAGCACTTTGCCTAGATGCATCGTACTCACTGTCCTTTAAAAGTTTGAATATCTGAGAAGCACACACATTTTGCGTTTATTTAAACCACACGATAGTCACTCATATGCAAAAACTAAACCTTTATCAAGATAACGTTTTAGAAACATTCCCACATGGTGCCTCACAGATACAACATACAGGTTTCTCTGGAGCTCCAAACTCACTCAAAACCCCCCTATTCCCACTCTGCTGAAATCACCCAACACACAATACAGTAGACACACCTTAGACATGTAGCAGCAAGCTCACCAAAGGGTCTCATTACTGAGTGCCACAGTGAGTGCTAATGGGGATATTTTCTTTAAGCCACCAGCGTATTAGGTCTTTTTCCTTTTCACCACTGAGGTGAGAGCCGGACCACACACATTCCTAAATTCTAAGGATGGACTAAGGTTGCAAACATGTACTGACCTTTAGTCTGGAGACGCAGTCACTTCAAGGCTGCTATGTGCCTGTGGGGACATTGATTTTGGTTTAGGTCACTCAGTCTTTAACACCAACTAGCTGTAATATTTGGAATACCTGCGCAATCTATAGCAAGGCAACAACTATACCATGAACTCTACTTCCACAAAGCTTCTACATTTTTAATTTATGTTGGCATGGATAAACAAGCAATAACTGGGCTTGTTAGGTGTTCCTAATATTTTGCTCCCTTCATTGATGATAATTTTACGCCGGAATATCCCTTTAACTTTGAACATATTAATAAAAGAAACTCTAAGTCTTATTAAGTCACATCAGATTGCAATGGGGTTCAATATTATGGTTGGACAGTGGATACTCTCAGTTAATCAAACTTAAACAAAAAGGCAACATGGAAATAATCTAGTGCATTTAAGTGGCATTTCATACAGGCCTGTTGTGTAGCCCTGTGGAAATGTGTTTTATTGTGTTATTATTTTTATTGTGTGGCTAAGCTACATTAAAAAAAAGGCTAGAAAAATTACATGCACCTGTTTCCAATTATAACTTTAATCAATATAATCACTTCTAAATAGGCTGCAGAATAAGTTCAATTTTAAGACGAGTATTTTAAGATGCAGAAATAGCATGCTAAGTATCATAATAATGCTAAATTCGTGGTATCTTAAGACTGTGAAAGTCGGAGCATTTATCAAAGTAAAGATACTTATAAAACTACCTTTAGTTTTAACTGAGCTGGTAATTTTTGACCGTATTCAACACAAACATGTATAAGTGCGTAAGTGTTGTTTTACCGTACAGCGTGTTGTTCCGTGTTTATCTCGCGATATTAGCGCCAGCACTACGCGCGAGATTTGGGAATATCCCTCCCTAGTAGTTGTAGTAGTTGTAAATTTGTGAACGCATCATGGGGTCCAGGGCGGCAGAGCTGTTTGCTGAAATTGACCAGCTTCGTACTCAACTGCTGCACAATGTCGAAGTAATATCGGACTGTCAGCGAGCCGGAGGAGAAGTTAGCCAGTAAGTCACCTTCACCTGCTTTAGCAGAGAGCTAACGCCACATTAAACCATAGTTAAAAACTGGTTTAGCGTCCTCTACGATGTTAGCACGAGGATACGTAATTAAGACAGTCTAATTATGAACAGGTGTGATTTTCTCCTCAATACAGTAACTAGAGGAACTTCGACAAAACAGTTATTAGTCGACAAATATATCGAAAGAAAAATAAAATTAGTCACTGATTTCATGAATATTAAGGACAACCAGTGACTGAAATAAGCAATTAAACAACAATATCTACGCAGACTTTTGCTCACTGGCTTGTTTTGTATAGTTAATTATTATCTCTGTGTGTTATTTTCCAGCAGGGAAATTTTGACCCGCATTGAAAATGTGATCCTTGGAATAATGACCAGTCTGTCCAAAGATGAGGCCCCTGTCTTGGCTCTGCCCAACAGGTCCAGCTGGGCCAATGTCAGGTAGATAGATCAATAGTAATAGGTCAACATAAACCTTCAGTTTGGGTTGGGCAATAATAATTTTTTTCACTACTTTTGGGATAGGTGAAGAGCAAACTTGCACTATATAAGGGGTGTCTTAAGCCTAGAACACTATTGCTAAAATTAGTAATACCATCACTATCGCTGGGAGATTTTTTACCTGAAATAATATACCCAAGAAAAAATACTTGTCATCAAAATAGGACAATACATGACAAATTAAAGTAGTTTTCTTTTTAACTGAACAAAAAATTCCCTAAAAAAAAGAAAGAAAGAAAATGTGAACTCAATTTCTTCTCCACCCATTCCTGGGGCATGTGAGTCTTCCCGGGTAAGGACTCACGGTCCTTGGCACAATAACAGCTGCAGGAGAGAGAACCAAAATATGGCATATTTTGAGTGAGTGAAAATGACCAGCTGACTAAAATATTTCTTATTACCATATGAATTCCTGTGAAAATCACTACTTTGTGATAGTTATTCATACCCACTGCACTAAATAAATTCCAGGGCCACTCTTACTTAACTTATTCCCTACATACGGCTATAAAACAAAATCAACTCAATATACATTTACGAAGTTAAACGAACCTTAGCTATGTGTTACTCACTAGCTGGGATGCCAGAGACATCAACCCTGCAACAGAATCTCAGCTGTAGTCGAAAAAGGGAGGGTAAATATGGCAGTCCTGAGTGTTATCAGCCTTGAAATGCAGCAAGCTCACCTGCATTTATACATTTAACAATATTGCCGGGTGAACGTCATGCGAACATGTGCCTTTAGGAAAAAGCGGGTTTTGGATCAAGGAAACAAATATGCCTTCAAAGATGTCAAAAGGCAATGCTGAAGCTACCCAGGGACTCATGATACTCAGACAAATGCAACATAATGAAAATCACGTAAACATGTTTGGTTGGGTAAAAATCACCCGACGATCGTGTTCTAGGGTTAAGCAGACTGTACGAGCAACCAGGTGGAGAAAGAGGAATTTTTACTCCCAGCTTTGGGTCTGTTATTGAAGATGAATTAACTTCCTCCTGTTTAAAGATGAGAGGGTGATAAGGTCTACAAACTCACACACACATGAACTAACTTTCCAAAGGCCTTTAATGTAAGTAGGCAGCGGAGGCTAAATGCTCAGAACAAAGTTGACTGCCACGTCTTGTTTGGATCAAACCTTTCCGCAGCTCAAAGCGCAGTAGTTGAGCCTTTTCAAATGTGAGAATCCCACAGATTCAGCTCTAAAGAGGAATCGGTGTGGTTAAATACAAGGGAGGTCTTCTCACAGGTAGCCCTCAGGGTGTGGGGAATTTAAAATGGCTTTCAGATGTAAGAGCAGATTTCAAAGCTACAAAAAGTAAATATAGCACCACAGAAACTGCAGATTTCTTTGATCACTCCCTTTCCTCCTCCTTGTATCTCTTGTATTGCTTTCATTGCCTCCCACCTAAGTTTTGACAGCGCCGTTGGGCTTCACATGAGTCCAGGAAGTTTTGTTACCACCATCAGGAGTGACTGTGCTTCGTCAGTCACTAAATTTGGTGAGGAGAAACACACCCTTCTTGTCTGTTGTTGCTTCGTAGGCTATTTTGGAAACCTTCACAGATGTTCTCCTCGTATTATGTTTTTAATTTATGTTCATTGTGGACATTGGCATACACTGCACAAGCACAGGACAAGTCAGAATGAGTTTGAGGTGACCGAATATGTGGAAATTGGCTTTGAGGGATCCGTTTTTGACATGAACTGAGAGCAAAATTGAGATCTTTCCAATGCAGTCCTCAACAATATGTAATATAAATCTGATTTTGCAAATTAAAGACATTACTGTTGACTTGTATGACCTGCTTCTTTGTCCAAAGCACAAATAGTCAAGATCCTGATGGTCATCTACAAACTTGTGCAGAGCAACTCATATTCTACAAAAAGGTTATTTTGTTTTTTATTACATTTGAATTGATCACTTAAGCCGAATACATTTCAAGGTAATCTTTTTGTGAAGTGCTTTTGACACTGTCTCCCCAGGGATATCTATTACAACGACACACAGCTGTTCGGTTCACAAAGGACTGTTGATTGTATAGTGGATGACATCTCCTGTTTGCTGAAGGTTCCACGCAGATCCCTACATGTGGTGAGTCTACAGTTCGGGTCCCTAGGAATGCAATTATGCTTCTTAGTTTCGGAAGCACAAAAAAGTAAGACTATTTGAGCATGTGTTTGTAACTGTTTGTGTTTGTGCATGCTGTTTTGGTAACAGTTGGCCACGTCCAAAGGGCTGATCTCAGGTGACCTGTGTTATTTGGAAGAGGACGGCACCAGAGTTGACTGCCGCTCTAGCTCTGCTGTAAGTCGACAAATACACGAACCGGCTGCTTTACTCACCTCTACAGTGGGAAACATTACATCAGCTAAAGTGTAATAGTATCCTATTGAATTTCATTGTTCCCAAAAACTTTGTTTGCCTCCTCTCCAATAGGGTTGTACAATATTAAGACAAAAATTATATCTGTGTTTTATGAAAATTAAAGACAGTTTGCATCAGTCATGCAATGCTAGTTTAGCTTGTTTTGATCAGTAAACACCACATGTCTTCTGAGTTAGCATGTGCAATAGTCTGGCCCACTAGGCTTGATCAGATCCAGTGGATGCATGTGGACCCTCGAGGGATGTTTTGATTGTTTTTTTTCTCAAATAAGTGACACTCAATATTGTCATTTCACACATTGTTAAAGCAGCAATTAAGATTATATCTCAGACTGTATACAATGCATGGCCTACTTGTACCCTCTAGGCTTTCAACAGCTTCCCACCATCTGTGTTTTGGGGGAAAAAAAAGTGTATGTGTAACCCTGTAGTGCACAGCATCGATGTGTGTTGGGAGAACATGGGATTCAAACAATATGTCAGCATTAATTTCAAGTACCATGGGGTGTTAACTGCTCCACAGGGGGCACTGTATTTCCTACCAAACCAGTAATAGGACTTACGAGACTGCCAGCATGTTGTACTTGCTTTGAATCTTTCTTTTTTCATTTTAGGCTGTTGCAGTTTCATCAAACATCTCTGGGATTAGGAGTATCCTTTGGGGCTTTAGTTTGGGTGCAAACTCCTTGTCTCTTTTGTCAGGCACTCTACGGTGCGATCTGTGCTTCTTAATGCGGGTAGAAAGGACACTATGTGGCTGCAGGATCTGTTTTTTTTTCTTGATCCTGTACAGATATCATGTCGTCTGCAAAGTTTGTCCTGATAGTGGAGAAGGATGCCACATTTCAGAGACTGCTAGATGACGACTTCTGCACAAAGCTCTCTCCCTGCATCATCATCACGGTGTGTTTACGTCTTCCTTTCTACTTCTTTAAGGGAACGGTAAATGTGATTTGCATGCTCAAATAGTCGAGTTTTTGTCTCTCACATGCATAACAGATGTGTTTGTGCGGATCAGGGTAAAGGGATGCCAGATGTGAACAGCAGGTTGATGGTGAGAAAGCTCTGGGACACGCTGCACGTCCCTGTCTTTGCTCTGGTGGACGCTGACCCTCATGGTACCGCAAACCTGCATTACCTCCCACACATGCTCTGCACACCTCTAAATATTTGAAACTCACTTTTCATCTCCGAGCACACACCGTGGAGTTGCATGTCTTGCCTAAGCAGCAGATGTTAGCACCTGTCCGCTATGTCATACTGCGTGGTCTGGCTGTTATTTCCGTTCGCGTGATCTCGTCCAGCCCGGATGGCTCAGTCTCCTTTATCCTCCATACCTCTAAACCCCTTTTCCTCATTGCATGGCAAGACACATATGTTATGCTTTACCTTGTTCTAAGCTCCATTACACATCTCTGCTGGATAATTGCTCTGGTATGCCAGTGATTGCAGCATGTCTCTATCTCTCCTGATTTTCTCAGGGATGGAGATCATGTGTGTCTACAAGTATGGATCAGTGGTGAGTCTTGGCAGTTATTCTTTAACTGCATATTATACTGTGTGGCCTGGTTAATGTCTCTGATAGCTAAATTTAAACATAAACTCATGTGGAAAAATCGTCCATCTCAGATTGCAACACAATCACTTAACGTCCCTACTTCATCTTGTGTTGGTTTCAATCATAGAGTCTATGGTTTCAATGTCTTGTTATGTAATTAAACACCATTAGGACCATAAGTTAAGCTCAACCTCATGCGTGTTTATTTAAGATATACTCTATATAAACATATTGTGTAGCTGTGGGTGTGACCAGGCATGTGTTTGTGTATGTTTTTGTATTTTCCTCCACAGGCCATGTCGTTTGAGGCCCACAGCCTGACCGTCCCCAGCGTTATGTGGCTAGGCCTCCTCCCCTCTGACCTCCAGAGGTTTGGACCCAACATTTGCTACTTCCGACTTCCTCCTCCCGCCTCTAATTGGGTTTATATTCTGGGGACATTTAGATTGTTTGTTTTGGTTTCTGTTGCTGTCGCTCTTGTTTTCCCTCTCCTTCAATGAACTGCTCCTGAGAGTATATGGCGTTTTAAGTATATGTCCCCTTGAACAAATTTAGAGATTTGACATACATTTAATTGTAGAGTGCAGTTTTTCCTCTTATGTATTTCCTTAAACATACACATAGTCACTCCGAATGCAAAAATGTTGGGAATTGGAGGAAACGTACTGTTGGCACAGCACTGATTACAAACTGGAACTCGCCTGCTGCAGTTTTCAGAAAATTTATTCAGTTGAAGATTTTATTCTGCAGGTTGCGGGTTCCTGAAGATGCCCTGATCCCTCTCACAAAGAGGGATGAAAGCAAACTGGAGAGCCTCCTGAAAAGGCCATACTTAACCAACCAGCCCGCCTGGAAGAAAGAGGTGAGAGGATAAAAGGGAAGAGACTTCTGTACTCTAGAGTGAAGAAGTATTTAATATTTATCCTTAACACATGAGTTTGAACACCAGATATGAATTATCTGGAAAAAAATAGCAACATTTTTTGTGCATGTCATACATCCCTACCTCAGCTCAGATCAGTCTGCTCTGGAAAGTGTTTCTGAATCCCCTGTTCCTTCTTCAAAAGGAGAACACACTCTACCTCAGAGGTTCAGACAGTTTTAACATTATGCTCATGTGACACACAGCATAGGAATGTGTGTGTGAGCGAGAGGACTCTTAGCTCGCCGGTACTAAGTATACAGAACAGCCGCTTTGTTTTGGAGTGGCTCTAAAAGAAGCACCTGAGGATTTATACTTGTCTAAACAGCGTCTCTCTGAACTCCTTAAGATTGCTGGTTTGCTCTTGTTGCAGATGGAGCTGATGCAGGAAAGTAAGGTCAAGGCTGAAATACAGTCCCTGGCAGCTATTGCGCCTGAATTCCTCACCAACATCTACCTGCCCAATAAGCTGCGTTACGGTGGCTGGGTTTGAGTTCAATGCTGCCATCCAGTGGATTTGTTGAAGAACAACAAAGGCTGGTTAAAGATACAAAGTAAGCTCTCTGCTACTGCTCTATCTGATCTTACCTTAACTTATTTAAACGTGAAGTGAAGTTTGGTTTATACTGTTTCTTTATATTAGTGTTTTTATGTTTGCTGACTGCGATCCAGATGTTTGTTCGTACTTTAAAACCTCTGTGAATCCAGTAGAAAATCTGAGAAGGTTTTTTTCTCTTGTCTACGTGTTTGAGTTTAAGAAGTCATCACACATTGTGTTTGTGTGCTTTTTAGATTGAATTATTCTACATTTGTGTCAGCAGTCATATACATGTTTTATGACCACTCAGCACAATGCTTGGATGATGATGCTGTGGTTTGGAGCTGGAGAATCTATTAAGCTGTTTCATTAAAACAGGCGTTTTACCATGTGGTCTTACAGAACTGTATGAAAATGGTGTCCCACTCTTGATATAGGATTTCAGCTGCTCTGCATTCAGGGGTCTCCTTTGTTGTATCTGCTATGTCGTGATGTGCCACATGTTTTCAACATGTGACATGCTGGGGCTGCAGGAAGGCCAATTCCTGCAGAGCCACGTTGTAAGTCGTGCAAATACCATGTCATGGACACTTGTGCAACCACTTATGATCAAGTATGCTGACTTTTAAAGTGTGATTTGTCAGACCAGAGGGAACCTGCTACTTGACCTCAGTCAGTCTTGAAAGGGCTGAAGCCCAGAGACATTGCTGGTATTATTGCATAATTTTTCCTGCGTGGCATACTTAAATCTGCATTTGTGAATGCAGCAGCAAATGCAATGGTTATTTTGAGCCCGTGCAATGATTTCCACTGCAGAGTTACAGTATTTCTTTTGTAATACAGTGTCAACAGAGAGCCAGAATGTCACCCAACATTAGTTATCAGCTTTTTCTCTTTTGCACAGTGATTCCTCCAGGTGTTTTAGATACCCTTACACAACACATGTCCTGACTGTTTTGAAACATGTAGCAACAGAAAATGCCCTAATGTTTAATTATTTATACTATTTGCAATTGAATACAGGCTACAGATGATTTGCAAACCAGATGTTTTACACACAGCATACTCTTGTGTGAATGTTTTTTTTTTAATGTACTAAACACACTTTTAACAGTTTATATATGTATGATTAGTCTGATTTTATTAATGTGTCATGCTCTTGAGTGCCTAACCCTCATCGTTTTATAAGACTACAAAAGCTTTGGTAACAGCTGTCAAATAAATCTTCACAGTCATTACAAAGTTGCACTGACTTCTTATATAACTCCATTCCCTGAATATTACATTGAATGTCTGAATTAAAGTAGTAGGCTACTTTAATTTTGCAGTGGTTAAAGGTCACACTTAAAACTGCTTCATGCATTAGGTCACTGTAATCCATTGCAGTAAATTATACTTAAAATGCGTTGCTGGTGATGGAAATGATAAGAAAAAAGCTTTACAAATTAGTAGTAAATGAACTTGGTAAAGTGCTTAATTGAAATTTTCCTGAAAATAAGTGATACTGAGCAAAAGAACAACGTTGGAACTTGGGGGAAGAAAGTGAGGGAAAACGTGTTTGCTAACAGTTTAGGGTTTTAAGAGAAAAGTGATACCTCTCTAACGCAATAGACGATCTTTTCTTCGGCAAGCTTACATGAGCGTCGGGGGGCGTATCTCCATACTTGCGCAACTTACTCGCTCTACGTCAGCGCGGTGTCATTCCTACGACTCCGGTTCTGTAACGTGTCATGTGAATTGTCTCCAGATTACTGTCGAGCAACAAGACCGAGCGTCGTTCAGTTTAAGGAGCCACACCAGGTGAGTTATTCCGGGTTTGTCAATATCAATACGGTATGAATGAGTCTAGCAGGTAGAGCGCTGTGTCTTTTAGTCCCGTGTCAATGCCAGCTGTTTATGAACCGCATGTATCTGATGTTAAACTGCTCTCAGTTAAAACATATCTTGTATGGTCCATGTGATTAAAATATTGTATAATTTTATTCTGTACCTTCTCACTTTCATCGTTACTTTACTTTTTAGTCTTTCTAAACAACACGTGAATTCGTTTAGAAACAACTTGTGGGATAGGTCTTTAATGGGAAAGGGGGTGTTGAGTAAGGGAAAATAAGGCTGAATAATGTCATACAAAGCTTTTTTGATAGTATAAAGAGAATATTTAAGAAAGATATCAATAACTGTGTATACAATTAAAAGTAAGATTCAGTAGTTTATATGAGATCATGTTAGACTTAAAATGTAGAAGAAACTCATTTTCTCTAATAAATTAATGTTATGTATTTGATCTCTGCCTCTATAATATAGTTAGATATTGAGATATGGGATATATAACCATCTAATTATAGCTCTTTTACTTTCTCTGACGGGTAAGACCCTCCACTTGTAGTAGTAGAGTAGCAGGACAGGTCCTTCAAAGGCCCCCTCCTTTGTAAACCTGTCAAGGACAGCTGACTTCACAGCGTAGTGAATGGAAGTTGCCTGTCAGGGTCTTGCCAGAACATCCTCTGTGGCCTCAGGGATCACACAGTGTAGCGGTCATGTTTCGCAAGATATTTTTTCCCTTTTCCCTAAAGATGGACTGGGATTTTTTTGGGTGAAAAAAGACTATCAGTGTTGTAATAGGACATAGAGGATATTATATGACCTTTGTGGAGTTGATGTGATTAATGTCTGTCCTAGTGTCTTTGGAAACTTGGCGGAAAACCACCTTGACACATTTACATGCTCTCCTTTTCTCTTCTTTAAAGGTCAAGCGTATATCATATGGAGGCTGTGGTCCGCCGGTGCCCTTTCCTCACTGTTGTGCCAAGCGTTTGCCTGCAGCTTGCTGGTAAAACGTCCCTGGTGAGCTATGCCCAAAAGTGTCCTGTGATGAAGGATCTGGCCTCCAGACCTCTGGCTAGAACTCTGTCCTCTTCAGCCTCTGCATCCAAAGGCACCACAACAAATGATGGTCAGTTCACTGTAGTTTATTCAATCTCACATTTTGATTTAAGATCAGAACGGTCAACTGTAATATGATTGTAGGCATTATTTTTGTTGATAGATTCACTTAAAGATAGAATTTGATTTGTTCTCAGATGGAAAGCGTGACATCAAGTTGCCCTCAGGTCATGTGAAGCCAACCGCTGGCCGGGGAGTGGGTACCAAATGCCCTTTCCTGGCTGCAGAAATGGTGCAAAACAACAACAGGGTTGTGAGAGAGGTCAGCATGGAGCAGCAAGAGGACATCCAGGAAGTGCACTCTGTCAGAACAGGTAAGATTTTCACAGTCTCACCTCCAACTGGATGTCCAAACAGTTAAGTTAAAACTGTAAAAGATCTTTGTTTGAGACATTTTACACTAATAGTATTTAAAGTGCATAGAAGTTGAATGGTAGGTGTGGATAAAGAAATCAGTGTTATTTTTTTTCCAGGGAAGACAAATGTGGATTTTTCAATAGTGGGTCTTACTGAGGCAGACAAAGCCAACATAAAAGCAGCCAAAAACCTCACTAAATCCATATCTTCCAAAGCGTCTCATCTTCTGAAGGATAACCTGCCTGAGGGTAAGACAGATGATTTTCTCTGTATTAATTATAACTCTGCAGTTAAAATATGAATCTCCTTAAACCCTCTACCATTTTTCCTCCATCAGCTGTCACTTTCCAGTACGACAACTATTTTGAAAAGAAGATCGAGAGCAAGAAAGCCGATCACACGTACAGAGTTTTCAAGACTGTGAATCGGAGTGCCCCTTCCTTCCCTATGGCGGACAACTACTCAGAGTCTCTTAACGCAAAGAGAGACGTGTCTGTGTGGTGCAGCAACGACTACCTGGGTATGAGCCGTCATCCCAAAGTTACACAGGCAATCATGTGAGTGGTGCAGCAGTCAAACACTGTAACAGGAAAGTGATGATTGAAACTACATGAGATGGTAAATGCTTTTCTGTTCTTTTAAAGTGAGACCTTACAAAAGCATGGTGCTGGAGCAGGAGGAACAAGAAACATTTCAGGAACAAGCAAATTCCATGTCGAGCTTGAACATGAGCTGGCTGACCTGCACGGCAAAGACGCTGCGCTGCTGTTCACATCCTGCTTCGTAGCAAATGACTCTACGCTGTTCACTTTGGCAAAAATGTTACCAGGTATGTTCAAATAAACTGTGAAATATTACTACACACGACCCAAACTACCCGTGCTGTGATTTAATCGTCTTATTCTGTGTGACATATTCTTGATTCATACTTCTATCCATTTGTTCAAACTTGGCAGGTTGTGAAATCTACTCTGACGCAGGCAACCACGCCTCAATGATCCAGGGTATAAGAAACAGTGGGGTCAAGAAGTTTATCTTCCGTCACAATGACGTCAGCCATCTGAAGGAGCTACTTGAGAAATCCAACCCCTCCACTCCAAAGATTGTTGCCTTTGAGACAGTGCACTCGATGGACGGTAAATGAGTATTTCTTCATTGTACATGGAGAATTCAGAAAGTTTCTTTTATTGATTAGGGAAAAACATAATTATTCAAATCAGAATCAGCTTCATTGGTCAAGAACAAGTCCTACATTAGTTTATAGGTTAAGCTGTAATGTGATAATGAGTGTAAGGGTGATGAAATTATCAAATCCTTATATCTGACATGACTGTTATATAAAAATGTTCTGCTCTTTACAGGTGCTGTGTGTCCTCTTGAAGAAATGTGTGATATTGCCCACCAGTTTGGTGCCATCACCTTTGTGGATGAGGTTCATGCTGTGGGCCTGTACGGGTCAAGAGGAGGAGGGATTGGGGACAGAGACAGAATCATGCACAAGATGGATGTCATATCTGGAACTCTTGGTGAGTAAAATCCCTCACTGAAAAGTAGAAACTCCCTCCACATTTTCTGCACTTCTAACTGGTTCCACTCTTCCCAGGTAAGGCATTCGGCTGTGTGGGTGGCTACATCGCCAGCACAAGCGCGTTAGTCGACACGGTACGCTCCTACGCTGCAGGCTTCATATTTACCACCTCTCTGCCCCCCATGCTGCTGGCTGGGGCGAGGGAGTCCATCAAAATCCTGAAGAGTGAGGAGGGCAGGGTGCTCAGGAGGAAACATCAGAGGAGTGTTAAGTTGCTCAGGCAGATGCTGATGGATTCTGGACTTCCTGTAGTCCACTGCCCGAGCCACATCATTCCTGTACAGGTAAGAAAGAGAATAATTTATCCACTTAAACTGGTGCAAGAACCCCTTAAAGAAAAGTCTCAGGTACCTTCATAATCCACTTTACAACATAAACCCAACAAGTGATCGATCCGTCTTTCAGGTGTCAGATGCAGAGAAGAACACTGAAATCTGTGATATCATGATGTCTCGTTACAACATCTATGTCCAAGCGATCAATTATCCCACTGTGGCTAAAGGAGAGGAGTTGCTGCGCATCGCCCCCACGCCCCACCACACACCCCAGATGATGTGCTACTTTGTCGGTAAGCTCATATGTGTAGTTTTTTTGTAGGAACATTGAAATTTGTTGGGAGCTGCAGACATGTCTTAATTCATGAAAAAAACGCGCTTGAGAATACATGTTCAGACAAACGCATTAATGTCAATGCTGGTGTCCTCACTGTTGGTTCTTCATCTCTGCAGACCGCCTGGTAAAGACATGGAAGGAGGTGGGTTTGGAGCTGAAGCCACACTCCTCAGGAGAGTGTAACTTCTGTCAGCAGCCTCTCCACTTTGAGCTGATGACAGAGAGGGAGAAATCTTATTTCAGAGGCCTCAGTCACGTGATATCTGCTGTCGCTTGACACTGCATTAACTCCCCAAATGCTCTACCTCCTTCTATTTAAATTATTTATTGTATTAAGGCTTTTGTAAGTTTCTGTTTGACCTGTGAATGTGTGGCAAAGGTGCTATGACATGATCTTGTGCTAATCATTTTAAAATGCCTTAATTTTACGTCAACACTTTTTTTCTTTTTCAAACTGAACCTCAGACACAACACAAACCACCACTACATGAACGAATTATGTGCACACTGAATGCTTCTTTAATGCTCTCGTAATTTGTTTTTTTAGACACATAAAGCATTAAAAAAATCAAATGAGAATTGTAGTACTGTAATTTCTTCAGGAAAGACTGTTACTCCATACATCTATCATCATAACTCTTATTTATAAAACAGACTAAACCAGTGGAAAGACTATATAGGGATAACCCTGATGGAATAGGATGCAAAATAGTACAAATTCAGTGCATTTTGGCAGAAAGAGCTCTTAATTTTGAAATTATTTTGATTAAATACAGTTTTACTGTTCTCAGTTTGAGTCCTAAATCAAATTTGGTAACAAAAAGTCATCAAATGAGGGCTGATGTTTCCTCACTGCGCATCAATTTGTTGGCGTCCATAAAGCTCCTATAAGGAGTTTTTGGTTGTTGTTAATTTTGGACAAAGTAGCAGTAGTTGAGTCGTGTTTTCTAACCCAAAAAAAAAGAAATTCTGCTGACATTTGACGGTTGAATGTGTAATTTATTGTGAATATTTTTTGTGGACAATATAAACATTTCATCATGTCCCAAACAAACACACAATCTACAATCTGCGTATTTTGTTGCATGCATGTTTTATACATTTTTTGTGTTGCGGCATGGGAGAAAGGTTGTGACTCATACCTCTTGTAGCACAGAAAAGGAATCAGATTTACAAGATAGAAACTACAATAAAAGGTTAAAAGCTTCTCAAGCAAAAAGACTGACGTTTTAAGTCGTGGTATTTCAATGTAATCAGCTCAGGCACAGACTTGTGGTCATCTGGTCATTCATTCATAAAATGCATGCTCTTGAATTTCTTCCTTTCACCACATGGAGGCAGACTGGGTCTCCTGTTTGCAGCTGTGGGGCTGTTTCGTCAGACACCTCCCTCCTTCTGCAGATGACTCATAGTAGTGCAGCATCTTTCAGCATGAACCACTAGATGGTATCAATAGAGAACAGGATATTGTGTTTCCCATCCAGATAATGGAGGAGATCGTACTGGTTGTAATAAAATGCAGCAAATAGGCTTCAGTTTGCGTCACGGTGTGTGTGTGGGGCGCTCACTCACAAAACCTGAGATTATAGAGTATTTTTAACAAACTATGCACTATCCTGCTCATTTCATGTAGTGTTTTCCAACAAGATTAAAAGACACTTCATTGACTTTGTACACACTCCATCTTGTGGCCTTTGATCACGATGTTTGATAAACCGGATGATAAAAACCCTTCACTCCCCCACACAGAGAAACATCAATGGGAAGGAAGCTCTCCTCCCATCTGTCTCATCTCTGAATGCATCCCACTGTACATCTGCACGTGACAGCGGTGTGTTTGTGTGCCTGTCGGGGATGCGTGAAAGCCCTCAAAGCAGCTCTTCAGATGGAAAAACCTTGGATCCTGTTAATCAAAGACCAAAATGAGCTTGCATTTGGAGCACATTATGTAACCAAAGTGTTGGTGGAAGTGGAGCAGTCAGGTGACTACAACTGTGATGCTTGGAGTATACATCTTTCATACATTTCCATACTGTTATTATACTAATATCACAAACAACAGCACCCAGTCAGTCTGTATCATCCTTAATCTATTTATTTATTTTACTAATCTTGACCTCCTCCCTTCTCCTATCACTCTTTGGCACACTGGCCAGTTCCTCGTGATGACACTCAGAGAGTAGGTCCAACACCTCTGCACTGCCCTGTTCAATCATGTGCGTGTTTGAGAGAGGCCACCATTCTTGATATCATGCTCTGGTGGCTGTTGGAGGCAGGTGCTGCAATGGTGCTGCTGTGTAGTAACACTGCCAGTTGTTGTGTGTGTGTGATCATCACTCTGCGGTTCAGAGCATTTGTGTATGTGTGTTTGTGTGTGTATGTGCAGGTTTTAGCTCTATTCCTCATTCTGTGTTAATCCCAATGCTCTGCACATCTGTGTCTCCCCCACTCACGTGCACAGACAGATGAGCTACAAGGCTGGATTCCCACTGCACGCATCCCTCTCCATCTCTCTCCCTCTCTTCCACTATTTGAATGCATTATTATACACATCATTAGTGAGCTATGGGGATGTTGTGGTTGCATTCTAAGAAAAGATGCACATGCACAGCAGCATGCGTATGACTCCCCCCTTTGAGTCACTTTGTAATATTGCTGGGAAATGAAAACCACCTCCCTGATAAACTTCTTTGCAAACAGAGATAGAGAAGCACAGTCATTTCATGTGTGTGTCTGATCTAATGATAAAGATTGTCAAGATGAAGGATTGCAACATGCTTCTGTGATGAAATGATCTGCTGCAGAAAAATACTTTGAAGAGTGTGGGAGAGCGGACTTCACCCTTAGAGAAATAAAAGTAATAAATGACGCCTTTATCCAAATGGATACATGCATGTGTTGTTATGCATTTAGGCTAAAACAGTTTAGACAGTTAAATAACACTGTCTCTGAAAAATCATGCTAGTTATCAAGATTTTTCACATGTGAACAACTTCTGGACCACAATATATTTTAGAGACAGAATTTAGTCATAGGGGAGAGTGGGGTAAGGGTACGTTTAGCCCCCCTGTGTTGCTTGGAAATGGTAAAAAAAAAAAAAAATGGATCATGTGACCAAATATTTAGGCATTTATTTCCAAAAAAACATTTTTTACTCTTGAAAGTGAATTTACTCTGTCATACGTTTTATTAGAATTGTGTTCAGACCAAAAAAGATCATTTTAAATTTGTTTTATTCATCAATGGTGGTATCTATGAGCTACAACATGAGGTCAAAAACCTAGCATTAAAGTCCACCATTTTATCTTAGAGGACTAATAATATCATAATAGTAGTTCTGGGGTAAGTTGAGCCAGTGACTCAACTGAGAAAGTAAAGGAGTCTGATGAGAGGATCAGAGTTTCAGTTCAGATTGTTAAAATGTGTTACTTTAGCTGTGTCTGAAATGAATCACTCAATCCCTATCCTCCAAAGGGGGTTTTACTATATAGTTGACTATGTAGAGAGCTCAATCACCGGAGGTTTCGGACACTACATTGCATGATGCAATGCATAACGGGATACCCACCACCGATAAGTGACCACTAGATGGTAACTACATTTTGCAACGCTTTATGGGAAAAAATTTGAGTCACCTATATGGGGCACTGGAATTGATCGCTCAGGTTATGGACACCCCTCAAAATGGCGCCAACCCCCATATAGTTGGGGATCTATTTCAAACATAGACTCTGTCTTTTCAAAGATACAGCTGTGAATGTTCTGAATCACTTAAAGACATTCTCGTGTTAAAATGGCTTTTTACAAAACAGCTTTTTAGTAGTTATATGCAATAATAATAAAAATAATTATTGTACCATTTGAATAGCGTATAATAGATAAAAATACACATGAATGTGAAGAAGTGAGTGTTATACAGGGAGAGAGATGGTGAGGGTGAGGCAGTAGAGATATGGCTCAACTTACCTTTTTTTTTTTTTTGGCATGCTATATTATCAAGACAGTTATGTTTACACTCACTCTGTCGGGTTGCAGGGATGCACAACATCTTGAAATATATGCAGATACACTAGTTAGAGACAAAACTATGATTAACCTGATGTGGTGATCCGAAATGGAAAATGGCTCATCTTACCCCACTCTCCCCTACAAGTTACCAATGTCACTGCAAGATCATATCAGGCAACAGTCTCCACTAAACAAGCATGAGTGATATTGGAGATTTAACAACCTCTCAAAACATCAGAAATCTGTTTGTTGTATTACAGAAAATCAGAAAGAATAGAAATAAAAGTGAGTCACCAAAGGGTTTCAGTGAGGCCTTCTGACACCAAACTTTGTGATATGTCTGCTATGGCTTTAAATCATAAGGAGTAAACTCCTCCCTCTTGAGTTGCTCTACTGTCAACTAAAAAAAAGCCCTCCCCATGCATCGGAATGGTAAAACGAGAACGTGCATGTAGGACCCTGGTACGATGTGGAGTGGCTGAAGTTGCTGTAGACCTTATTTGCGTTGAAACACTTGCACTGAAAGTCGTACATCGTAATCGTGAGTGTCGGTATGTCTTCATAAGCGCCGTGGCAAGTCACACTCACACACTGATGGAAATAGAGAAGAGGAAAAAGGGGAAATCTCTTCGCTCAAGAAGGAGCGCCATGCACTGGCGGAGCAACAGCATATAATGCTTCTGTTTTTGGATGACATGTAGTTTACCGTCGCTCGGTGGACCATGTAGTAAGTGTTTGCGCTTGCATGTAGTATGATACTGAGTCCGATATGTCTGATGTGACGCCGAGTAAAAGCGTGGAATGGCTGCAACTCGAGTTAGAGTCCGGAGGCACTTCTCTGCTCCTGCTGGACTGCCGTTCACATGAGCTCTATGAGTCGTCCCACATAGAGACCGCCATAAACCTGGCCATCCCGGGTCTGATGCTCCGGAGGTTCAAAAAGGGCAACATACCCATCCGAACTATCATCCCCAATCACGAGGATAAGGAGAAGTTCATAAGACGGTGCAAGACGGATACGGTGGTCCTGTATGATGAGAGCACCGTTAACTTACAGGACTGTGGAGCTCCAGCGTCGGTTTTGGGTCTACTTCTTCAAAAACTGTGGGAAGACGGCTGTAAAGCGTTTTACTTGGAAGGTAAACCACTTTCTTGTCGAGTTAACTCAAAGATATCTTAAAGTTAATCAATTAAAAGGTGTAATGGGTTGAAAACATGACCAACAGTGTGTATGCAGTTGAGTCCCATACGTTAGAAAACATCTAACGGATGTCGAATAAATAGACGTTATGACTTGTGAGTATTTAAGATGGCTGGTTCATTTTACCGGCTTCTTCGTGTGAATTCAGAAAAGATAAATGTATTTTTTCAAAGTAACATTTCAATGCAGCGAAAGTTTTCATGAGAGACGTTTTTAACTTGGGACAGTCGACACTAAACCTGAACTCATTCGTAACTCTAGCACTGAGTATTAATAAGGTTTTATAGCTCAGTTGTAAATGCTACTTTCACTTTAATCTGAGCTCAACATTGTGGGTCTGCGTTCTGTTAAACTGCTCAAAAGTTTGTGTGTCGTGTGTCACTGAGATTCTCAATTAAAATTCCAAAATGGCCGCGCCATGTTTTGCTCCAGCAGGAACAGGCATGCATTTCATGAATGGTCTTTTTGGGGGGTAAAACTTGAGCTTCTTCAAGCTTCGTTTAAATACCAACAAGTAGTATTTTGACGCTATAAAACTCATATTATCTTAAACATCTATATATGTAATTACATAATCTCCAGTTCACTGATGTTCCTGTTTATTTTTTTCTTTGGCTCTCATCCAGGTGGATTTGTAAAGTTCCACACAGAGTACCCAGAGCACTGTGAGACCCTCCTCGACAGCTCCTGTCCCAGCTCCTCTCCTCCGCAGTCTGTCCTGGGTATCGGAAATCTACGGATCAGCTCGGATTGTTCAGATGGGGAGTCCGATAGAGAGCCGAACAGTGCCACAGAGTCCGACGACAGCCCGGTCCCCAGCAACCAGCCTGCCTTCCCTGTCCAGATCCTACCTTACCTTTACCTGGGCTGTGCCAAGGACTCCACTAACCTAGATGTGCTGGGCCAGTACAACATCAAGTACATCCTAAATGTCACACCCAACCTCCCCAACATGTTTGAACATGACGGCCACTTCAGGTACAAACAGATCCCAATATCGGACCACTGGAGTCAGAACCTGTCCCAGTTCTTCCCAGAAGCCATATCATTTATCGGTGAGTAGGTCTTCTCCTAACTCTGTCCAACTAAAATTCAGACACACTCACACTTATTAGAAGTAAAATTGGGTGTAGTTGTTTTGTTTGTAAGTTTATAATAACCTCAGTAATTATACGGTAATGGTTAACTAATTATGGTGGATAATTATTTAATTACACAAACAAAACATACTGTTGGAGGACAACACATGCAGCATTTTGCTAGTTTAAATCATGAGAAAGTATGTTGACAAACTCAGTATTGTTGATTCGTTTCAGTTTTTTTTGTGTAGAAAGAAAACTCACTAAAGGGAGAGATTTAGTGTTTTTGATCACTTAGATCAACAGTCAAAATTTGGCCTCGCGTAGCTGAGCTTTAACCTCAGAAGTTGGCTTGACTGCCAAGATCCCGAGGTTATCTTTCTTTTAGCGTTTGGCTGTTTTTTCTGTTATTTGCCAACAGAAAGAAATGCAAGCAGGCGCTCCTTTACATAACACACAGTTAATGGAGAGCCATTTACAGTTTCCCCTCCGGTGTTGGCAGGACTTATTTGGGTTTTCTCTTCTGTTTGGTAAACCGATGTGTGAGGTGTTTTGTTTTTAACACAGGTGACAGTGTTTGTATTGTTTTCAATCACTGTTGGTGGTAAATAGACAATAAAAGTCCCAACCTTGTGTAAGCTTTTTGACCAAAGTTCTTCGAATCAAAGCGACGAGTTTCACATCGAATGTTAATGTTTCAATTTGTGTTCATTTCTGTCTGTTGTCTGTTACCGCTGCGACTGCACCTGAAACCACAGCTTTCGCTCTGTTTGTTGGTTACGGGGCCGCAGATCATTAAGAACTGGTTGTCAAATGGTTCAGAGGCAGAATGAGGAAGGAAGTGTTGTTTCCACTCTTTGTGTCTGATTGCAGAAAGACAAGTTAAGTAGGGTTAGGCGTGCTATTGTTCAGACGGCAGTTGTTTCGATACCTGTAGCCATGTACCGTGCGCTAAATATGGTGTCAGATCAGGTATCGTAACTCTGCCACTGGGCCGTGAGTTGAGGGAAAGGCAAGATCCTAGAAATATAAGTAAGTAATTACAACGTTAGATTGGACAAAATGGAAGATGACATACAGAGTGAGTCTTACAGGAAGCTGGCTTGTGTGCAGCAATGTGTGCAGATGCTCTATATTTACAATGATACGTCAGTTAGCTCCTCCAAAACATAAATATCAAACACTGACCTGTTTCTCTAAGCTGTCATGTAGGTGAGGTGGTAAAACAGAGAGTAGAAGCTCTCAGTCAGCAGAGAGTAAAAAAGTTATAGTTGCTGAACTTAAATAGACGTCCTGGAAAATCTTTCTGCTGACCTCAGTTCCCCTTCCTCCCACAGATGAGGCTCGCTCGCAGCAGTGTGGCATCCTGGTCCACTGCCTGGCCGGCATCAGCCGCTCGGTTACCGTCACCGTGGCGTACCTGATGCAGAGACTCAACCTCTCCCTCAATGACGCCTATGACTTTGTCAAGAGGAAGAAGTCCAACATTTCCCCCAATTTCAACTTCATGGGCCAACTTCTGGACTTTGAGAGGACGCTGGGGCTCCACAGTCCCTGTGATAACCGATCCACCAGCAAGGAACAGCTCTACTTCACCACACCGACCAATCACAACGTCTTCCAGCTGGACACGCTGGAGTCGACATGAGGATCGATCTTGATCAGCCTTGATTTCCTTTCCTGTGGTGTCTCCGAGGTTTTCCGAGTCACTTAGTCGAAGCACTTACGCACCAAAAGGACATACACTGACCTGTTGGAGGGGGCGGAGCTCGAGTGCAGAGAAACACCAGATCAAGTCCTAATGCCTTAATATTTAATACAAGGAAGAATTTTGCTGTCCACCATGCATGGCGTTAATCAGTAGTCATGTACAGCCATAACAGCAGGACGTTTCTTAACTTTTCTATTAAATCTAGGAATGTTGTTTGACTGTTATCACCAGCTGTCATGTGGATATCATGTATGTCTTTGTGTCAGTTATAAATATTGCCTTGATGGTCTCAAAGGGGTCAGAATGTTTTCTGGGGACCAATCCAGGAGGTTTTGATGGTACTCCAGCTGAGGTAAATAAGCTACTCTGATGATCCGACCTAAAACTCTTGTCCAGTTTGATCTTACTCATGACTTTTCGCAGCTCTTATACCCGTAACAGAACCGATTTGGCACACAAACTTTTATTTCTCTCGTTTCTTTTAAATGTAAAATCAAGCGGCCACTTTCTGTGAAATATCCGAGTTCAAACAAATTTGATTCTGTAGCTGATATTGCACATAGCAGCATTATTTGCATGTGATTATGTTCTACCTTTGACCAGTTTGTGTAGTAACCTCTAGGTCATTGAGACCTTTGCCAAACCTTAACATGAAACTGAGATGTGAGTCGGCAGTGCAACGGACTGGCCTCCAGAGCGAACGTGTATAAAAGGAGTGGAAGTTCACCTTAGTTTCTTAATCCCACAGTCTTCAGCCTGCAGCTACTCCCTCTGTGGCACTACAATGTTAAGGGAAACCTGATGTGTAATTAGCTGTCTCTGTTGCCAGTCTCGTCTCAGAACAAACGAGTGAGTTCAGTGTGTGAGAGGGAATGATAGGAAGTGAGTTTTGAAAAACGGTGTTCTTACCTCACAGAGAGACATTTTCAGGGATTTTTATACAAGGCATCTCTATCTCGTCATCATGGCCTCTTTAAATGCATCCAAGGGCTGTTTTTGTTTGGTATGTTTGTAAAGATGTACATAAAGCGTGGTTGTTTATGGGGACATTTTCTCAAAAATCATGAAGGATGCGAATGTGACCCTATTTTGACCCTTATGTATAGTATATGTAAAGCTTAATGTCCAAGACATTCTGTACAAGTTTATACAACAAATATATTGTATATTTTTACTTGGTTATCGTGTCTTTGTCTTTGTCTCCACTTTTTTTTTTTTGACTTTCACACAAAAACAGAAGTGGTTACACGGTCCTGCCGGTATCTCATATCGCTCACAGACAGCGAGCCGGCTTTAGGTGTGGTCAGATGTCCTTTTTCTGTCCACTTTGATGCCTTGTTTCCTGTCTCCCACAGGCTTTTCACAAACACAAGTGACAGGGCCAGATCTGTCAATACCACAGCGCAGACACACCCTCCACCAGTCGCTCAAAAGGGCGCTTAAAGGAAGAGGAAGATGACACAGCATGTCCACTGTCACACACACAAGACTTCCGACTCTCCTCCACAAACAGGGGAGTTATACAATTGAAGAAGAATGCCGTGCAGTGGCTATCTTCAAGTAAATACGCCTCAGTTAAACAAATTTTTTGCTGTTTATTATGAATTAAACATTTTTCTCTTTGGTATAAAAGCAATATCCTGTCAGCCTCATAAATGCATTATGTCGGTTCGAAAAGAGGAAATGAGAGCAGCCTAATATCTTCACATCTATGTTGTCATCTAGAGAGGGAAGTGCACATCATTTGTGCTCTGTTAGAGGGAAGTATTTACACTTTAACACTTGTGTTTTCCTTCAAGGTTGAATTTTTAAAAAACAGTGAAAGGCACATTTGATTCGGGGAAAACAGGATTCAGCTTTTCCAAAGATGAATCAGGAAGATTTGATGACACAAAAGCCCGGCTATTCCCAGATTTATTTGCAAAGTTTCTGGAGTTGTTGTCTTGGATTTATGCTTCATCGCTGCTCCCTGAAAGATCTGTTTCTTTTGTAATGTTTCTGCTCCGTCTGGAAGATTTATTCATGTGTTCTTTGCCAGATGACAGAAAGATGATGCAGTAAATTCCCTTCCCTGAAGAAATCACTTAACTAGCAGAAGCCAAGATTGCTAAAGCAAGACAAAAATGTCAGAGGGAAATGTTTGTAGTTTATTTGTGCAGCCGCTCACGGTCCAGTCACTGTCACTGTGAGGTTTAATGACTTAAATACCACCCTGAAACCGTTTTACTTCTACCTTCAGGGGCTGACACGTCTTGTGAATATTGCGGTAGGCCAAAAGTGAAATCTCCAACTTTCACAGCCGCAGCACAGCGCATGAAGAGACTTGCCTAGCAACACCATGCAGTTATGATTATAAAAGCTGTTGATTGATGGGTTTTCCAGCGTGACTGAACCTGGCTGGCCACATACCTGCAGGGCAAACCTATGATTAGGTCGGGAAAGACACCCACGATAAGGCAGAGGCAATAGGTAGCTGCACAGAGTGAAAAGTAGAGCACAGTGCCTGAGGAGGATAGAGAAGGAACCATTAATCAGACATGTCTGATCTGTAACTAGGTCTGTACATTGAAAGCATATTGGCAGCACTGCGCACATGAGTAATAAGTCATGATTTATATGATATAACACACATCTTTGATAACTGCTTTTATTAAATTACACACACACACACACACACACACACACAGAGCAGTGTGGTCCTGTTCATGAGTGGGATTCCCTTTCAGCTGCTTTTATTAATGTTTGGCAGCAACTTCACCACGCCGAGTGTTTCACCTGAGAGTTACGCAAGGCTTTTTTTTTTTACTATCTGTAATTATAAATCATTTTGTTTGGCTGCCAGATTCAAAGGCACCGCAGGAGGTCTAAGCAGCTCGTGTTTTCTGTTACTAAGTTACGTGAGATATAAGTATAAAAACATAAAGTGAACTTTTTTAGAAGTACAGAACAGTTTCCTTCCCCTTTAAAAGAGGATATCCAGGTGTTTTAATAACATGTTTTTCTCCTTTTTTTTTCACTCTGACAGTGTTTTAAAAATGTGGCGGATAAGTGGCGTATTTTTGTCCTGTTATGATCACCCATGAAGGGAAGCAGAGGCTCCTGCAGTGCTTACTCAGCAGTAGTTGCTGGGGAAGCAGATGTGCATGAGACTGACAGGATTTTAGCTCAGGGTGGAGGCGGGAGGGGGCATGTGTATGTGTTTGCTAGCATGGCTGCATTTGTGTGTGTGAGTATGTAAGTGTGTGTGTGTGTTTTGTAGAAGCCAAGCAGAAGCCAGTCAGAGCTGGTTCACACCTGCTGTGGTTATAAGAGCATACTTAGCATACTGCATGACTGACAATAATTTCACAGCTGCTGCTGCTGCCTCTGATGCACAATAACTGGAATGGTCCATTTATGAGTGAACAAAGAGGGTCAGTCATTTTCAAATAAGGACCAATTTACCATGCAGTCACTGTAGGACATTTTAAACACTCCAAAAAATGGCTTCAGTGGTGTTTGGACACCAGTTTGAACCTAATTCAGATCAAATGTTGCACAAGCCAATCTCATCTGAATAACTGCTGTCTTAGCTGATTTTTCCTCCCACCGGTCTCACTCTGCTTGTGTACAGCAGATGTTCAGGGCCACAGAGAATAATCCTAATCTGAGTATTTTGCCCAGTGCTGTCTCTGACATCATGCCACTGCAGAGGGGATGACATGGTGGATGCTGTGCTCGCTGCCTGTCTGCATTGTGTCTTTATTTTTCTCACAAAGCGGGATGATGGCAGTACAATGTTTTCTTTCTACGAGCAGAAATGAGGGCGGGAAATTTTTACATCTCCTTAATCTGTATTTATCAGGGTTTGTAGTGAAACAGGGAAATACCCTTTAGCCATGGTTTAATGGAACTATGTCGAAGTGTATTTGAATGGCATGTTTCATCAGAATTCTCGGGGATTGCCATTCGATTCTCAGAAATCTTGAGTTACGTTGAAGTCATTCGCAATGCTTCTTACTTCCCCGTATTTGCAATGGATATATGAATAGATCCAGCACAGACAGGCCGACACAGACATGGCTGAAATACCAAATAAGGCTCAGCCGTGTAAAAAATTGCAAAATCTTCCCACAGCAGACTTAAACATAATAGTCTGGATCATAAACGTATCTTTTTTTTTTTTTGCAGTGCTGTACGATTCAGATGTTCAGCGTTACGACATCCATCTAGTCATGCCAGACTTTCCGTTCATCTGACAGGAAGTTTCTTATCTCTCCAGGAACCCACAGCAGATACACTATCTTCTCTAAACAACACTCAAAACCCTCCCATCGAACCCTTGTGCAACATCAATCTTCTCCGAGAGACATGTAAGTCGTCTGAGGAGCGGAGAAAAGTGTTGGTTTTGGCAGGAGGAATACTAGGTCATGTGTAAAGCAGAGCCACATGGAATACTAGTGGCAGAGCAAGGCAGCCATCTGTTTGTACCAGAAGTCTCCTATTTCATGGCCAATTTCACCATCCGGTGATGTTCAGTAGCCTGCGCTCACCAGGCTCAAGAACAAAGTGATATTTGTTTGCAGTTTAATCTGCAGCACAGAGAATGAAAGGGAACATCCCTCGTGTCTTGCTAGACCCAACAAACACTAAAGGTCATCTGTCTGTCATGTGTTCATGTTGGGATCCACTCAGGGGGCCGTGCTGGGAACTGTTTCGCTGTCTGGTATGCCATTCACATAAGGCCATATGCTGCTCCCAGTACAGAATGGTCGACTGAGCCAAAGAGCACGTCTGTGCCTCAGGATGTTCTCCGACATCATGAGAGTCTACGATAATGATGCCACAGTACAGAGGAGAGGGTCTCTGGGTGTCTTTCTCTTAAACAGGCCTGCTGGAGAATGTATCCAAAACTAGATTCAGATATCTCTGGGTATTATTCTCTAGACTCTGATAGCTCTTACTGCATTGATTTTGGCTGCAGTTTGTAGCTTTGTTAAACCTGTTGTACAGTGTAGCAGCAACTCATTTGGAAACACAAGTTGCTAAAAAGTCAAATGTTTTCCTCAAAAACTGGTGAAGACCGGATTAGAGTTAAACTCAACTACCAACAAATAAAAAGAGTTCACCATGGACAACTCATAATACACAAGGCACAAAAACAGATCCATTCATTTGCATATAGTTTCATCAGACATAACATCAAACTACTACTACTACTAACTAATGCTGAATAAACTTTTAGTATAGATCTTTTTTTTTTTACAATTTTTACCATTGTAGCTTTAACTAAGCATATGATCTGTGTAATTTCCACACATCCAAGTTTCCTTTTTAAAGTGGTAAAAATAGATTAACCCTCCAGTGGTACATTAAAACGAAACAATCGCTGTTATTCATCGAATCAATGAATAGTTATTGTGGAATTTGAGAATTCTTTGTCTTGTATGCTGCTGCTGTTCTATGGGCCATTATGGTCCCGGCAGCGCAGAAACAGTACTTCAGTGTTCTCGGCAGCAGAAGTGGGATGGAGCATCATGATACAATATTCTGTCTGTTTCACTTTGATTTGCAGGCTTTTCCACTCTCTGACTGAAGTGCTTACTTCCTTGTTGTATATTTATGGTGACAATATAACCTACACTTTCCTCTTAATGAAAGGCATCAGTTTAATTCCATGTCTTTTTTTTTCTTTTTTTTTAATAAGCTTTCTTTTAGATTTTAAATGGCATTTTGACCCTCAACATTAGCCTTATTATCATCATAAAAGATCAACCCCGAATAAAATTAATATCACATGAACAAGCATGATAGCTAATGTTGAGTTCTGGATTTAAAGCTCATATTTGTGTGTTTTACACCACTCTGAACAGTGAAGGAGACATTTCCAAAGATAAGTGTGTGATATTTGGCACTGGACAACTTCCAGCAGCATGTGATGCAGAGAAGCAAGAAAAACAGGAATCTTGTAAACCCAAAAGCCTGCTGGCTTCAGACGAGGTCTGCATGTGTGGGCGGCAGAAAGATGGTATGAGTAGTTAACGCCTCCGAGCTCTAAACCTTGTCCGGGGTATTCCTCACTCTTCCGGGGATTTTCTTCATCTATAACTCATATGGAGCTGGAGGAGGGTTATGAAAACATCACACTGTTGGCGTAGATTAGAAGCCCAGTTTTCATAGAGGATTTTGACTTCTGTGTGATCTAAAAGTTTCAATTTCAAATCAACAAAGCTGAGGAGCTGTGTGTGTGTTTGTGAGTATGTGTGTGTGTGCTCTATATACAGCTCCATATCCTTCTGACTCACTCTTGGCCAATGGAATAACCCGTTTTACCGGCACACACACTCACAAGCTGGTAAAATAAAACTGAATGAAGCCACTTACATAATATTGATCGCTTAATATTACCTATGTAAATCCCTTTATCTCAGTCCCTTTCAAAGGTCAGTGTTACAGGGGTGTGAGCCATGCTCACAATGAGGAAACAGGCCTTAAGGTGGCTTATGTGTCCCTGAATTGTACTTAACCAAAGGTGGCTCATAACCGCAGTGTGTTAATAACAGCCGGCATGAGTCATCAGGCCCATCTTACGTAACTGCATCACTTCTCCACCCAACTTGCTGCACCACACCCCAGATTCATTCACACACTCGGCTCCGCTGCTGCCCAGCCTCCCATTGATGGCAGGGAGAGCACTACTCATCCGGCTCCATGTGGCAGACGGCAGCTTACAGCTTATGAAGAAGTTTGGCAGCAGAGCAGTCTAATCTGTGCGATGAATAACTGACACGTCAACATCTTTTCACATTAAATCATCACTCGGTCTTAATGCTGGGTTTTTTTGGTCAGTACATAGAGCTGCTGATGAACTGTGTTATATTTGTCAGACGGCTGAGATTGGCCCGGTAGAGCAGCTGTGCATCACTCCTGATTGGGGTTTAAAATCCCATAAGTAACACAGACCATTAGGACTGAATGGAGCTAACAGGACCCTCAGGGAAACAGACGAGTGATGGAGGGAGGCGGGGAGGCCTGTGGACGGTGTCATCAGTCAGGCCACTGACGTCAACCACTAACCCAAAAAAAAAACACCACCAATCCAATTTCCTATTAGAGGAAGAATGGAAAAGATCAGCCCCACAATTTAAAACTGATGGGTTCATTTTAAAAACACATACGTCAACTCTGAGAGTAGAAGACTCCTGTATCATCCACACAAGAAATCTACAATAACCATAAAAATGTAAAAGTAAAGAATGATAAAAAAAATTGTCATAGTGTAGTATGTCAAAAACTTGCCATTGCATAGTATGATAAAAATGTCATAGTAGAGTATGTTACAAAATTGTCATTGCATAGTATGATAAAAATGTCATTGGAAAGTATGATTAAAATGTCATAGTATATACAGTATGATGAAAATTGTCATAGTATGTTTAAACATATCAAAGTATTTTATGACAAAAAGTATAGTAAAGTATGATTATAAAATGTCATTGTATAATATGATTAAATTCTTTCATAGTACAGTATGATAAAAATGTCATAGTACAGTATGTTAAAAAAATGTCATAGTATAGTATTGTTATGAAATGTCATAGTATAATATTATAAAAAATGTCATAGTATAGTATGATTATAATGTCATAGTAAAGTATGATAAAATGTCATGGTATGGTTTGTTAAAAAAAATGTAATAGTTTAGTATGTTTAAAAAAATATCATAGTAAAGTATAATAAAAACATGTCAAAGTATAGTGTGATAAAAATATCAAAGTATTGTATGATCGATGTCATTGTGTAGTGTGGTCAAAAATGTCATAGTATAGTTTGTTGAAAAAATATCATCGTATAGTATGTTAAAAAAGTCAAAGTGTAGTATGAGTAAAAAAAAATAAAAAATCCAGTGTCTAGTCTCTACAAAGGACAGTGAAAGAGGAAACAAAAGGTATACTCCTGTGTGTCCACATGGCTCAGGGGATAAGAAGACTGACTTGAACTCCTGAGGTCATGGGTTCAAACCTTATCTAGGACAAGCTCAGTTTTAAAGTCTACTGTCTAGAAGTAACAGTCAGATAGGAGAAAACAGAAAGTCTTCTGTGTGTCCACATGGCTCAGTGGATAAGGAGACTGACAGGCACTCCTGAGGTTGTGGGTTCAAGCCTTACCTTACCCAGGTCAAGCTGAATTTTAAAGTCTACTGTCTAGAAGTGACAGTCAAATAGGAGAAAACAGAAAGTCTTCTGTGTGTCCACATGGCTCAGGGGATAAGGAGACTGACTGGCACTCCTGAGGTTGTGGGTTCAAGCCTCACCTTACCCAGGTCAAGCTGAATTTTAAAGTCTGGTGTCTACAAAGGACAGTCAAATAGGAGAAAACCGGATTTCTCCTGTGTGTCCTCGTGGCTCAGAGGTTAAGGTGACTGACTGGCACTCCGGAGGTTGTGGGTTCAAACCTTACCCCCGACAAATTTTGAAGTCCACCAGCCAAAGTACCAACATAAAAGGGCGCAACGCTCATCCCCAAGTGCGGACGGTATCCGGTGGCGCTGGGGGTATGCAACTGACACCCAAATACCAAATGCTGGTCAGGCGGGCAGCCCTAGTTCGATACCCACTCGACACGCAGGAGATCCTGAAGCAAATCCTGGGGAACCAGGCCCGGGGGGAGGTTTCCCCCCGGTGTTTCCAGAGAGGTAAAATGGGGGGGTTATCAGCCAGGAAGTCAGAGGTGGCTGAAATTTTGAAGAAAGATGACAGAAAACTAGAAAAGTTTAGTGACTAATTAAATAAGACTGATGACTATACCATCTTTATTATAGTCAGAAGAAAGATGACTATTATAGATTACTATTAGTAGTAGACTACAGTCATCTATATTATAACAAAGTTGACTAGACAACTGTAGTCTATCATAGTCAGAAGAAAGATGACTATATAAAAGACTATTAGTAGTAGACTACGACTAGAGTGTCTATATTATAAGAAAGTTGACTATAAGACTAGTCAACTTTCTTATAATATAGACACTAATAGTAATCTTTCTTCTGACTATAATAAAGATGGTATAGTATATATATTATAAGAAAGTTGACTAGTCTTATAGTCAACTTTCTTATAATATAGATGACTTTAGTCGTAGTCTATTATAGTCATCTATAAATAGATGACTATATTATAGGCATCTATGATACTATTATTTAAAGATGACTATAAAAGTCATCTCTATTATAGATGACATGAAAAAAAGACTTTAGTCATCTTTAAATAATAGTATTATAGATGACTATAATATACTATTGTCTTTTCTTATTATTTTGTCATCTTTTTCATTCAATTGTCCTTCTTTCTTGGTTAGTTTCTTCAAAATTTCAGCCACCTCTGACTTCCTGCTTGATAACCCCCCTGATTTACCTCTCTGGAAACACCGGGGGGAACCCCCACCCCCCGGGCCCGGTTCCCCAGGATTTGCTTCAGGATCTCCTGCGTGTCGAGTGGGTATCGAACTAGGGCTGCCCGCCTGACCAGCATTTGGTATTTGGGTGTCAGTTGCATACCCCCAGCGCCACCGGATACCGTCCGCACTTGGGGATGAGCTTCGTGCCCTTTTATTTTGGAACTTTGACTCTTGGACTTTTAAAATTGGTCCTGGATAAGGTTTGAACCTGCAACCTCCGGAGTCCCAGTCAGTCTCCTTAATCCACTGAGCCTATGTGGACCACAGGAGAAATCCTGGTTTTCTCCTATTTGACTGTCCTTCGTAGACACCAGACTTTAAAATTGACCTGAACTTGGCTAAGGCAAGGCTTGAACCCACAATCTCCAGAGTGAGAGCCAGCGTCCTTACCCCGTGAGCCACGTGGACACACAGAAGACTTTCTGTTTTCTCCTATTTGACTGTCACTTCTAGACAGTAGACTTTAAAACTGAGCTTGTCCCAGATAAGGTTTGAACTCAGGAGCTCAAGTCAGTCTCCTTATCCCCTGAGCCATGTGGACATACAGGACTTGTCCAGTTTTCTCCTATTTCACTGTCATTTCTAGACAGAAGACTTTAAATTTCACCTTAACCTGGGTCATAGATAAGGTTTGAACCCATGACCTCAGGAGTTCAAGTCAGTCTCCTTATCCCCTGAGCCATGAGGACACACAGGACTTGTCCAGTTTTCTCCTATTTCACTGTCATTTCTAGACAGAAGACTTTAAATTTCACCTTAACCTGGGTAAGGTAAGACTTGAACCCACGACTTCAGGAGTGCCAGTCAGTCTCCTTATCCTCTGAGCCACTGAGACACAGTGTTGAAATGTTCAGAAACACTTTTCACTCTCTTTCATTTAAACACTGGCCAAAAATAAACACCAAGTACTGGATAAGGATCAAACATATACAAACTCGGGAGTCCCAGGCAGATGACTTAACCCCTGAACATAAGACCACATGATCCTTATGTTCCCAAAAGCCTTTTGCCCCCCTTTTTCTAAGCTAACCTTTAAAAGTCAGAGTTTGTAGATGGATGAGGATTTGAACCTTTGTTCTCAGGAGTCCCAGCCAGTCTCCTTAACTTCTGAGCCACACAGACACACAAGAAGATCCTGTTTGTGAAAGGTTTTAACTCTCCTCTCTCGATACTGGACTTTAAAATTCACCAGGACCTGGATAAGGGTTCAAACCTTCAACCTCAGGAGTCTAAATCAGTCTTTTCCCCATCTGAGCCACGGAGCCAGGTATGGGTCTAGGTTTCCAAAAGGATCTAACTCCTTCATTGTCAAAGCTTTGGAGAACGCCCTGAAGGAGGCCAAGGAGAACGCCATTGGGGACTACTTTATTAGAGGTAAGGCGACTTCCCTCCCTGAACTAATCTGATGTAAAAAAAATAAAAATAAAAAAATCAAAGTATAGTATGAAAAAATACAATAACCATCCAATGAGTCATTTTCAAAGATCTTTCATCCACTGAGGACATAACAATTTCAAATATATTTAACACTTTGAATAATCAACTCTAATTTATTCTTGAGGTATTTTATTAGGCTGTTGAGTTTCATTATCTGTCTTACAAAGAGTGTCACTGTGCCCTGAAATCTCTTCATCTTCTTTTTTCCTGTAAGAAAACTGAGCAAACAGATAAGATTGTGCTTCCCTAGTGACACCAAGTGGTGGTGTTACTAACTGCATGGCTCTGTCTGCTCAAACTGCAGCAAGTTTACCAAAGTATATACAACTTACTGGCACAAAGCTTGGCACATCTTTTGAGATCATTTAAAAGAGAAATATCTCTCAAATCACCACGGTCATAAATGACTTCCAAAGTAGAAAAAAAACAACATATAATTTAAGTTAGTTTAATGGTAGAATAAAATACTTTCCTGTATAGAATGAATCTCAAATCATTCAAAATACAGTATGACCATCTGTGAGATATGTAAACACACTCGAACAGTAGATCTGTTTTCTCTTTGTAGTTGAAAAGCATTCTTTGGATGAACAAAGGCATCTGATTGTCAACTGGTGTCGCTCAATCCAGATCCCCTAACATGGGCACTAACATGATTAGACATAAATAGCTCCTGTCTCGATAGACTGTGTAACCAGATACTTACACGGCAACCATGCGGATAGTTCGCATGCCACAGACAGGAGCCACTATAGAATTCTAATGACACTGAAGAGTCCAAATTCAGGGCGGACGGCACAAATCCACAAAAAAAAGTTGTGTTTAAAAGTGACTGGAGTTGTATTTCAGGCCTTCTCTGTGTTTTTCTTTCTTTTTAATTCAAGGCCAGCATGTGATCAGCTTATAAAATCCAAAGGCCTGCAAGATAGATCAGATGATTAAATATGGGTTGTTTGTTTCTTGATGGAAATAAATGACTAAGTCTCAGGGCTGATACTCAAAAGTTGAAATCTAATTTTAAACTCCAGTGCAGAAAATTTGTTCACAGGCCTCCTCAAGCATCTCATCAAATCAGACTGTTTAAATTGATTACAAATGAAAACACAAGTCGGACAAATGCATCGTGTTTATTACTTTTTTTTATAAGCAGACACTTCATGTAGAAATATTACAGTAATCTGGGGTCTTCAAAGAGGGATAAAATGTCCTGAGAGTATCTTAAACGCACAGAAAAGTACACAGAACATGTAAAGTATACACTCTGACTCCAGTACATTTCTCTAAAGTTATAAGAAGTCTTCCAGGGGTCTGTTTTAAAACGGTTGACTCGTGATTGTGTTCTGCTTTGTGCACAGCTGAACAGTATCAGCCTCCCATTTACAAGGCTTGTAAACCGGCTCTGGCTCCAGAGAGATACGATGTAGTCTCTGCTGTATGGCTCCGAAAGAAAACAAAAGAAATTTAGATACATTTACACAAATTCGACATACACTGGGCTCTGAAAGTAGTTACAAACTGTATTTACAACAATGCAAGAGATGGCAAAAAAAATACAGAGACATTCAGCTACAGTTTTCACTGAATCTTGCAAAGTCGTTCTGTTGTTTTAATCAAGTCAGGTCTTTGTTTTTTCACAGAGAAATACAAAAATATTCAGGATCTTCTCTTGTGCAGGATTACTCCACTCCTTTCATGAACTCCAAGAACTCTGCAAAATTAAGAAAGAAAAAGACACATGAGGAAAAAGTTTTAATTTAGCACAAATTTTATTTTGCATGTGCACTAAGGAGGTCTTTTTAAACCTCTTACCATCATAGTCAATTTTCCCATCATTGTTCTTGTCCCCGTCCTTCATCAGCTCCTCGATGTCGTCCTCGGTTATCGCCTCTCCTGTGGACTCGAGCATTGTTTTCAGCTCCTCCAGGTCTATGTATCCATCTGCATTCCTGCACAATCAAACAGGTAGAGGCGCATTAATGGGTTAAGTTGCACAAATGGCAGCGGAGGAGGGTGTGTGATTATATGTGACACGTTCCTGATCATTTCCTCTTTTCCCCCTCCTCTAACAGTAATGATTCTCAAATGCTTAAATACAGAAGTACGGCAAGTTAGCTCTTTGATGCTCAGGCGAGGTGTCTGGCTTACATGGAGTGGGTGTTTGAAATATTCTGTGCTGTCAAAAAGGATTATGGAGCGCACTACATGCAGCACTCTGCAGAGCGACTTGGCATTTTGTCAGTTCGCATAATTGCACATGGGGAGCATACTTTCCTGGAACCACACTGTGAATAGCAATGTGATTACGAGTCTGAGGTGATATCAGGCGATAGCATGCTCTTGATGTAGATGTTTTTTTGGTGTCTTTCTTGTTGAAAATAAAGTCTTTGCCAGTGAGCTGCTGAGGCATTCCTGCAACATTAACTCTTTTAATCCAAACTAGCAACACGGTTTAAACATGAAACTCACTTGTCAAACATGCGAAACAGCTCCGCCAGTTCTTCCTCAGACTTCCCTTTGCTGTCATCCTTCATGCACCTCACCATCATGACCAGGAACTCGTCAAAGTCCACCGTGCCACTCCCTGCACACACACAAATTGAAACACCCATGAGCTTCAAGAGAAATAGTTCACAAGTTATTGAACAACAGAAATAAAAAATAAAAGGTTAAGACACATAAATGTATCAGGAAATGCTTAAACTAAAAAATCAAGAACCACATTTGGAGATAAAATAGCTCCCAATATTTGATATCATGTTGTAGGCACTGAGGCTTTATCAAACTAATTCAAGATGCTGTTTCCTTATTGCGTCATGGCGTCACATGGGATATTCAAGATGACTTGTACGCTCCCTGATTCGCCTCCTCTTAAATTCATCCCGACATATCTTCTTGTGTGTAAGACCCTTCACTATCATCTGACATTAGGTTCAGGGGCTTTGACCCGCACTTGTCCACACAGCATGATTGTGCAATGATGAACCTGCCAGCTGCTCCTTCAAGACAGGGAGGTCAACAACAATCGACCAATCATTTACTTCCTCTGTACTGTAGCGCCAGAAGAGCCTTTGATTTACCGTCCTCATCGACCTCATCAATCATCTCCTGCAGCTCCTCTGGTGTGGGGTTCTGGCCCAGCATCCTCATCACCTTCCCCAGCTCCTTAGTGCTGATGCAGCCGTCTTCGGCATCTTGTACGAAGATGTCAAACGCGGCCTTGAACTCTGCAGCATGACATTTGCACATGGGGAGACAACATTATATCATTGACTGATGTGACAAGGTGAGATGTGCTTATTCAACGAGCTTACAACATCATGAATTATGTGTCAGAGATGAAAGTTTAGCCTTTATTAAAAGAAACCTTAAATGTTGTTGTTATGCATGATTAAAGGTCCTTTCACACTGGGGGCGTCTTTTTAGTGTGATTATTTTGGATGTCAATATTTTTTTTGAACCTGTACCTGTCAATACAAGCGTTCGCATCAGCGACGTTTTCCCGTCCTGCGATATTGGGGCTTTTTTTTTTCCGTTACCGGTCGATTTTTCTAAAGTTTCACATACTCTGTGTCCACTTCTGACCGATCAGATTGCGCGTTGTTGCGATATCAGATTCAGTGGTATATCCAACCTGGCTAACCGGCTGATTGTTTACGTGTCGGAGAACAGAGTGCTTTTTGATAAAAAACACAAATATCACAAGTTGACCTGAAGGACAACTTGTGAAGAGTCATAGTGTCGGATTTCTCATATGACGATGGTTTGTGCTTTAACAGTTTGCTAAACTTCTTTGTTTTAACTTTCATCTGTGCTAACATAACTTTAGCTTGTAAGCTAACCAGCTCAGATACAACATACCATATATATTTTTTACTGTCTCAAACTCAATCTCGTTGCTGTCACAGCACCATTAGGTCTTGGTTGTTACCTTACGTTTATGGATTATAGTTTAATGTGCTTATCTGGTGCTGGCCCCGACTCAGTACATGCTATCAAGACAGCACTAGAGTCTAATCAGAACTGAAGAACAGTCAGTCTGCTGTTGTGTTGGTCTTCTCGCTTCCACCGTGACGCATCTTTTTTCCCCCCGGAAAGTCGCAAAATCGCATCGTGTTTGATGTGTATAGACAGGCACGTCAAATTTCGCCTCCGAATATTTCGTAATTTTGCATAGTATATTTGCATCGTTCCTGGTGTGTAAGGACCTTAAAGCTCCTGGGACAGTAAGACTGATGCTTGTTACTGCTGTAAAGGAGTAGGTGTCAAATGAGGTGATTTGCAGCAAAAAAGACTTATTCGACCTTTTTCAGAGCAAATATTGACAATTAGAGGCACATTTGGCTGATGAATTTTTTTTTATTTTTATCAGAAAACATGACTTACATGTGTAAGTTTTGTCCACAGGGGGCACTAAATCAACAAAAGCTAAAAGTCCCTCACATGAGCTTTACAGCAAATTAATAAAGTGGATAATATTCTTTAAATTACTTACCATTTTTTTGTTCGTCTGTCAGCTGCTCAACCTGCAAAAGCAAAACACTTAATTGGTTATCTGACTTTACAGCGTACCACAATTTTAACAACATTAACAGCATATTCTGCTGCTTATAAGTGAATGTCCTAGAATAAAGTCAGTCCTTCGCCAACAAGAAGATATTTTTGTCCAAGAGGTGTTTCATTTTTAGAAATGGTTTGGTTGTCTTGATTTATGAAGTGTGAAACCAGCATCCAGCCCGGACTATCACTATCTGTTTTGATGACTTCTGGGTCAGCAAAGGTAATATTTTGGTCCCACACACACACAGGGCCCATCCTTTTGCAAAACACACAGTCTATATATCACATGTGTGAGCCAGTAAGAGAAGGAGTTAAAAATAAAAAAAGACAAGAGGATCAGGAAGCACAGATGAAGCACACAATACGCAGTGCTTCAAATTAGCATTGCTGTGGATCGGGGCCCAACAATGGAGCAGTAATCCTGGAAAAGCTAGCACGAATGAGAGAGGGAGACAGCTGCTTATGTAAGAGTTATCGTCTGTTGTCCACTATAGGTTAAGCACACACACATGCAGACACACTCATAAACACACAGACGCTAATGTGCTGATGATGTATGAAAAAAAACACAGCTAAACAAACATGTGTAATATACATTCCTGTGAAGTTTTTTAACTGTCTCAGCTGTGTTGCTCACTGGGGACATGAGGGGACCGGACAGCCGGTTGAGCGGTCTACGCAGAGGTGGACTAACACAGCTCTCGGGCTCACAGATAATGCTGGAATTCAGCTGTGGGGGGTTTTATCTAAACCTGAAGCCTCTTCTCTGGCACCAGAGCACCACAGATGCAGAGTGCAGGGTCTGAGCAACTGGCCAAAATTAGCCATGTGGAGTGGGGACCGTTCCATTTGAAGTCATGAATGAAGAGCAGAGACCCGTCCTGTCAGTGACCCCCTGAGTGGCTCCTATCAGCTCTGATAGGCATGAAGTGGGAAAACATCTAAAGACGTATATGGTGTCGGGGATCTTTTGACATCAGCTGGTGATGGAGGTGATGTGCTGTGCGAGGCGCATCAGCGGGGATTTGTCAAACATTCCAGTGATGTCAAATGTCACATAAACAAAGTGATGAGGGACCTTTTCTTCAACAAAGCAATGCACAAGTACCAGGCTTTTCCATTTAAGGCCCCTTAAGGAGTGCAATAAATCAAGTTTAAGATTGTTCATCTCACAAACCAATAAGAATTGGCAGGGATTACGGCCTGGATCTGAAACAAGCCTGAGTCTTAAACCAGATTAGATTTACACAGTTTTTTTCTTTGGAAAGCATCCACCAAACTACAACCACTCCATCACAGGAAGCAGAGAGCACACTATTCATGTGTCTGAGATGTGAGAGGACGTACCGCTGCCTTATAGATGTCATTCATGTTGGAGGCTCGTCTGCTCCTGGTCCTGACGGCGTCCTGGCACAGAGGAAGGAGGTTCAGTCCAGCTCAGGGCAAGACCCGGCTTCATCCTGGGAGGGTTTTATAGCCCCACAGCCTCAGTCTGCCTAGTCCCTCCCTGAGCTGACCGGCCTCCTCTCCGATTGTGCTCACAAATGTGTGTCTGTGTATGTGTGTCATTTGGCCAATCTGTCACAATCACCCGGCTCAGATAAAAATGCAGCAGCTCTTAAGGGGGGGCATACTTTGGACTGGAATGACGGGGGAGGTGGGGGGGCATGGATGGTGATGCCTAATCTCCAGGGAGGGGACTACAGAGACACTCAACATTCCTCCAGACCTGGTCCAGTGATGCAGAGGGGGATCGGGAGGCTGTGTGTGTTTATGTGTGTGTGGACACAACCAACACTAAGCAGACCATGTAGGTAGGACAAAAAGAGAGGGGGGCAGGGGTCAGCTTGGAGAGGGATCGTGGAGTCAAAGACAGGTCTGTGTGCATGGAGTGAATGTTTGCCACAAGCAAATAAAGCTCACAGTCGGAGGAACCGTATCAAAAATAGTTCCATTTCTTTTATGGTCTGAGCCAGGACCCTGGACCTGGATCAGCTGTATGGAACGCGGCCATCGTTCATGACATCCTTTTCTTTTTTACTCATTGAAATCTCTGCTTTGAGGGCGAAACACCTTGACAAAGCTGGCAGGAGATTTCAATGACAGGGTCTGAACAAAAAGAGGCAGAAAAGCAACAAATGTGCAGATTTTAAAAAAGGTTTGAGGTTTCAAAGCTCGCCCAAAGAGAGAGGATGTGAAACAGCAATGCCAGAGATCTTTTTTCAAACAGTATAAAATCACCAGATGCATCCTTGTCCTTGATCATTCACATGCAACACAAAACCCACTTTCCTTTAAGGTTATTTCTCACACTGAGAGAAAAAATACCTTTGAAAATCACGTGTTTCTGGTGTTTTATCAGTGAGATGATAAGAAAAAAATGCTGTTTTTATACGCTCCTGCTGTGTTTGAAGGACTCCAGCATCCTCTGACTCAAACCAAATAAACAAAAGATGTCATCAGGGGTCAAAAGACGGTTCTCTGTAATTAGAAAAGAGGATATTCTTCTTCCCACATGAATAACATTGATCTCATGAGAAACCCATATCTGGCAATTCCCTCTCTGAATAATTCATGAGGATTTTTATGCCAAACCTTTATGTGTGCGACTCGGATTCAGTCAGCAGAGGGTGCTGTTCACTATGTATGAACTAAATTAAATTGTTGCGCAAGGCTGCCTCCGGTTATCCAATTTATCAACAGTGGGGTAGGTGAGAAATCTGGGTCAAACAAACCAAACACTTGCAGACACATTCAAATTGAATTGAACACAGTGCAAGACTTAGCGGCGTTTTTTTCATGCTCCTTTGAAACAAGGCCATCTCAATCACTTGACTGTGTGAATCACACACACGTTCACACACGTGCTCTCACAAAAGCTCCCTCTCTCTCTCTCTCGCTCTCTCTATCTCTCTCACATACACACACACACACACATGCACACACGCAGAGCATGCTGTGGCAGGCATTCTAAGTGACGAGTGATCATGCTGGTTTATAATGGGATGCTAATGGGGACTGGCACAGCTTACAAGCATCATACAGCCACTCAGAGGCAGAGAGAAGGAGCTCTAACTCAACATCATACATGTCCTACTCTTACACAGGGAATAACACACATCCTCTGATAGAGACGCGCTCATATCTGTGCACATCAGTCGCATGCAAAGGTGACAGGTGACTCCATCTCACCATGGAGATAGACGGGCGGTGAGTTGAGGTGGGATGTGAGGATGTGAGGGAGGCGAAAACGTGAATTTGTGCAGGTTTTTCTGCTGTATTTTTCTCAGTCATGTGTCTAAATTCCCTGATCCAAAACACGCATCACCGTGTTGTACTCCGCAGGAATGAAACGTCATCAATGGCAAAGACTCCATCAGCTGAAACCGAAGCATACTGATGAGTCTACATGGTCAGCCAGACAGATTCATTTGGAGCGCTCTGTGCTGTCTGCTGGGAGCCAAGAGTGACAAGCAGCTCTGCAGGGGGCACTAGATTCAAATGTAAAGCTTTTTTTTTTTTCAGCATACACACACATGTATAACCCCACTCCTACACACACATAAACACACACGCTGTAGTACCGAAGACTGGCACACGCATCAAAGAAAGCATATGGAGTGCTGTTTCATTGGAGCCCTCCACCAATTTCCTCTTACAGAGGAAGGCTGACGAAAGAGCCAGCCATCTCCTCCACACAGCGCAATCAGACAGCGCATCTCAAATCCACAATTCACCGCACACCGCTTTTTGAGGGGTTGCCATAGAAACTCTGCTGGGTAGAATCGGGCAGAAAATGAGAGGAGATGAGCGGGGCTATTTCCCCCCTCCACCTCCCTCTCTGCCTCCCTGCCACCACATTTTGTCCTCAGAGTGACTGTATTATTTTCTATTCTTTGCCTCCGATACGCAAACGTGCACATGCGAAATTGCACGCACATATGGGGGGTCACAATCAGGGTTAACAATTGCTATTTGTGCTGCAGAACCATTCATGCAAATTACTCAGCCTACAAGTTAAAATAATTACATTTAAGGTCTCTGGATATGGACTCTGACACTTCTACACGTCCATCAAATACGCTTCTATGAAATGACTCAAAGTTGCACATAAAAATCTAAAGAAATATAACAGTTATGTGTCTGACTTGTCCTCTGAAAAAAGGCTGGACTTCCATCATCTACAGACATTTCTGTGTCTGCTGAAACATTATAGATTGTGCAATATGTCAAACCACCAGAGGCGGAACAGCTCATCATGGCAGTACTGAATCAGCCAGACTGCATTTGTAGAGATCTACTACTTTGCACAACATACATCATGTCCATTTAAATACTTGTGTGATATAATGATTGGGTTGAAGTGCAGCTGAGCTTGAAGCATAGGTCCTACACTCTCTCCTCCTCCTCCTCTTCCTCCTCCTCCTCTGTGTCCTCACCTCCTTGATTGCCGAAGGGAGGAGGGGAGCTGAGCCTGTCAGCCTCTCTTTCTTTCTCTCTCTCTCTATTCTTTCCTCCCGGCCTCTCTCGTTCCATCTCTCTCTGCCTCCTTTCATTGATGACCAACCTGTCAGCAGCTCCTGTTGTGTCAGGCTGTGAAAGCTCGGCATGAGACTGAGTGATACACACTGTTTTTCCACCATGAAAGCTCCTCTTTCTATCCGCTGACTGCTTTATTAGAGATCTCCGATCGGCCACAATGTCTAACCTAAATTGAGGGATTTGTCTTTGGAGGAGATGGAGAGGATAGTCTTGACTTTGCTTCAGTGCGTTCAGTGGATCCTCTCTGAAACTCTCTGCACTGGGGCACTTGGTGTAACGCAGCGTTCTTTACATCAGAGCTCTAATGAGGCAGTGGCACATTAGCTCCACCGCTGATAGAGCCACTCACTAACTCTCTGCCAGCGGGCAGCGTTTTCCAGTCCACTGGACCACCAAGTCGCCTACCACCCTTTTCTTGCCGAACCCACCTCCCCCCCCCCAACCTCTCCAACCTCTGAGAGACACCAAGAGAAGATTCCTTCCCAGATAGATAGCCAATGAAGTTCCCTTCAAGCAAGAGGGGAAAAGTGTTTCCTCTTCATGGCAGCAAAAAGAGCGGTCAAGAGTCTGTCTCCAGATTTATGGCTGAACAAGATCTCCTGTGGCAATATTGAAGAAATGAACAACGGATTTGTTGAGAGGATTAACAATATTACCAAAAAACTTTCTCTGTGTTAGCTTAATGCTGCTCTGCTTGCCGCTATGTATTCATGTAAACATGTCAAAAACCTAAAATATTTTCAGTGGTGAGTTTTCCAAAAGCAAATGTCAACAAACACAGAGAGGAAATCTGATGATCGCACACAATAACTCCTATTTTCTGAGCCTTACAAATGGAGCCGGTGACAAGAGTTGCCTGTCTGGGAAGAAGAAATTCTCCCCTGCGTGCACACACACCCATTTTGGATTTGTCAGAGTCTCTGCCTCTTCCTCTTCCCTTCAAATAGCAGCGCTCTGAAATGGAATCTGTGGGCCCTCAGGGTTTCTGACAATGTCTCAGACATTTTCTAAGTAAAATGAACAGCGGTATAACTTCTGTATTATTACATTTTAAAAGTCAGTCCTGCTCGAGTGTACTGAGAGAAAGCAGGTCACAATATTCTCTCTGTTTCTCCCTACTGTGAGGTTGACACTTAACACAATCCTTACTAAAACCTTCAACAGTGAGAATCTAAAAAATCCTCAAAAACAAGAAATAAAAGATGATTAACAACAATTATTCTGTTTATGGTCATATCCTGTTTAAAAATTCAATGTTATGAATTCAAATACATGAAAATAATAACAAAAAGTCAGTGCATCCACTTAATAAGAGTCCTGTTGTGCAAAGAAACTGCTTACTTGCATAAGAAATGCTACTTATAAATAAAATTAACATGCAGTCAATCAAAAAGGTTAAATGCATTCAATCAAAACTTATTCGTAATCCTCAGCACAGCACAATAACCGGCTGTTTGTTTTCATCTGAGATTGACATTTGAGTTTTTGTCATGAAATGTCTCATGATGCACTTCCAAACTTATATCTATCCGGATTATTTCCACAAGAAGAATCCGAGTGTTTCGGTCCACCCCTGACATTTTCTTTTGGCATCACCAGCAGGTCACATTTTTCATCTGCTCGGTGAAAACACGAAGGATCTGTGTGCTCTCTTTGGCGCTGACATTCATGACAGACTACGAAAGGTTTTGTGAAACCTTCGGTGACCTGGACTTTCCTGCTCGCTCCAACAGGAGGTAGTACTTTTTAATCAATAAAATCTGAGATCAAATATCTTTGAAATGTGTTAGAGACATGCTGCTGTTGTGACTTTGTTTTCAAACTTTTCAAATGGGTCAGATTCGGGATCCAAAACATAACAGTCCTAGTGGATAACTACTCATTCTAGATAGAGAAACACCAGTTCACTCAGTGATGATGACTTTGGGATATGGCAACAGTGGAGGAGGGTTCAGGAGAGCTGGGTTCCAGTGACTGAAATGAAGCGTATCATACAGAGGCCAAACATAATCATTTTTGACGTTTTAAATTAAACGTGCAATAAAGAAATCATTACTTTATGTAATGATAGATTAATCTATAAAGTCAATCTACCCCAGAATAAATCTAATATTCTATTAGCATAGGGTCATGGGGCATCCGGCAGTGTATTTTATCTTGATTTAATATCGTAGTAGAATCAGAAGAGGGAGAAACATTTCACATAATGCTTGAGTAGTAGGAATCTTCTTGGACGCTCTAAAGACGTGGGTGTCTAAATTTAAGGTTTGCATGTAAACACAAGTGCAAGTTTAGTTTATCAGGATTGGACTTTGAACTGACTGATTTTAAAATGTTGATTCAGGTAGAGAGACAAAACGCTGTTAATTAAAGAATAATGTCAAAAAATGAAGGAACATGGGAAACACAGTCTCAGTGCAGCATTATAGAAAGCAGGATAAGCTAGGTGATGTATTTCTGTCCTGGTATTTGCTTTTGGCCGGCGCTGATCTGATCTCTGTGTGTTGTGTCCAAGAGAAAATGTTTTGAAATGGCTCTGGAACTGGGGTACAGACTGAGCTTTGAGCAGGCTGGCAGCATTAAAGCTACACCAGGCAAGACTCTGTGTCACGATACATGATCTAAAAGAGGAAGAGGTGTCGTCAACGTCAAGTTTTTTAAAAATTCTATTTTGGTTTGGCTGTGTGGTGGAAAATTTTAATGGAGCTGCCCTGTTCCTTGATTTTACACTACATAATACCAACAATTGGGGCAACACTTATGCTAAACTATAGCATTTTGGTAGCAGGTAAAGGCGTTTCTGAGAGGTGAATGGGTTCATTTGAAAGACGTACGGTCTGATCTACGAAAGATCAGATCTAAAGTCTTTCGATTGTGTCTGTCAAAAGCAAAACAGCGCGCAATCGATTTAGCGTGTTTGCCTTCATGAATATGCAGCTTGTATGTAGATCGTCAGAACACGCAAAATTCTGGGAGGACAAGATACAAATAGAATCATTTAGCACCTGCAATGTGATTTATCAAACCCGGGAACCCATTGCGTTCGCTGTTTTTTTCTACATTTAACACGTTTAAAAGGCACATGCAAACTTGCACAGCGATACGCACAAATGGTTGCAGTCATTGTAGGGAGAAGGAGGCAAAAGTGCAAAAGCTTGTAAATGACAATTTTGAAAAATAATTAGGTCAGCATGAAACAGTTGCCAAAATTTACCTCTTTGTCTTATTGATTTTAAATTGTTTAAATCTCTTTTTTTAAACTTAAAATATATTGTCTTGCATCTGTAAAGCAATTTGAATTAGCTTGTGTGTAAATGTAGCTATGCAAATAAACTTCCCTTGCCTTATGCAGTTGCTGGTCTAAAAAGATAGGTGCAACTCCATGGCCTCAAACTTCATTTTTCATCTACGATCACTCAGCTTTCACAAACTCTCCATAGTGATGACTGATGGCGCACGCAAAATCCTCGTTGAAAGAGGGCAGTCCGCACCATATTTGCTCTTGTTATCACGTGCAACACGCCCACTAAAACCACATGCAATTTTTTTGTTTGCACACGCAATTTAGCGTTCACTATCTGGGATCTTAGTAACTCATGGAGGTGTCTCAGGAATAACGCCCTCCAGAGGCTCATTCATAAGACAAATTGGCTTGAAATTCATTGGTCCTGCAGTCAGTGCGCCTCTCCCCTTGTATGTCTCACTTCTTCGCCTGTGTTAATGTGCAAACACTTTCACATGAACAGTTGCAAACGCTCACATGTCCCTTTTTGCCCTCGTGCTTCTTCGTGTTATTCAGGGTTGCAGTAAGCTCAGGCTATAAAGAGTAGAGAAAAAAAACACCTTTGCATCCGTCTGTGTCGCTGAAGTCCAGCCTGAGGCCCGCTGGGCTTCGGTGAAGTGTGCTGTGATTTGACAAGGCCAGTGACAGGAGGCACTGTAAATATCCGGCTGTCATGTGACTCACATCATGGCCTCAAGGAGCCAACGAAAGGTCAGTGTTTCCTGATGCCATTGCCAACAACTAAATTAAGTGACTTCATCTCTTGCTCATGCATACGCCCCATTTTGGGAGATGGATACATTGGAGGTGTTGCATCACTTTGCGCAAACGCTGCAGTGATGAGTCTCATTTATCCTGGAACATACAACACACACACACACACACACACATACGCACACACATACGCACACACATTGGGTTGGTTATGCAAGTGATCTGCCACCTCTGGATGTGAACGCTCTTACACAACGTACACACCTACAGGCGAGCGTCACACACTCCTAACCTCTGGGTTTGTCGTCATGCATGTCATGTCTGACAGTGACAGTACGAACATATCTCCAGAGCTTCCCTCACATAGCCACATTGTGATCCATGTTCTTTATCTCCACACAGTGCAGAAGGTTAACTAGCTTCATTTAGCTCCGTCATTACAGGGTAGGGAACAGAAAGGCCAGTTTTTGCTGCAGCTGTAGCTTCACTGCGATCGTGTGCCGCTGTCCTAAAATGGCTTTAGGCTCTTGCATTTATTCTGCATATTTTAATCTTTTTCACCTCTTAGTACTAATGCATTTGTACTTATGTGCAAAGGCACAGGAAATGTTCTGCTCTAATGGAGACCGGAGACGTATTAAGCAAAAGGAGACGAAATTAGAACTGACAATCCTGTTAAACAAAATAAGTTGCTTTACATGTAAAGAAGCACAGAACCTGAAGCATGCTCCGAAATAGATTTAGAGCAGTCAAATTTAAGGTAATCCATTGGAAGGACAAGGAAAGCTGGGGGAGGGAAGGAGTGGGTGTTCAAAGGAAAAGGAAAAATTGATGTTGACAAATGTCCAAACCCCAGAAACTCTAAAAATGTCTCAGAGAAAAAGCCCCCGATCGAATATCAAAAGACGATTTACAGGAGTTATTGGAAACTTCAACTGTTTTCCGAGAGGTCAATGACTTTTGTACCATTTTGGGAGACATGTAAGTGGAAACAAGTGAGGTGGAGAGGTTTGAAGGATAACCTCATCAGGGTTTTTGAAGTGATTGGTCTCTTCTTGTGATGAACCTCAAGAGTCAGATGGTCAAAGTGTTTCCCAAGCCAACATTCGGAGCTAAAGGGTTAATGATATATCCACATTGCCGCCGTCTTCCCCACGGTCCGCCTCTGAGTGAGCAACAGGATATCCAAAGATAGGCCACCTCAGACCATATCTGACCCACTGCCAAACCGGTCATGCTGGCGGACGTTACAGGCAGCAGAACGTTCCCCACAGTGTCTCCAGACTCTCTCACGTCTGTCAAATGTGTTCTCCTCATCTGCGAGGAGAACAGGGCGCCAATGGCAAATCTTCCACTTCTGGTGCTCTCTAGCTAATGCCAATGATGCTGCATGGTGCTGGGCTGTGAGCAGAGGCCCCACTTGTAGACTTTTGGACCCTCAAGCTGCCCTTATGGAGACTATTTCTGACAGTTTGGTTGGAGACACGCACAGGAGTGGCCTGCTGGAGGTCATTTTGTAGGGCTCTGGCAGGGCTCCTTCCTTGCACAGAGGAGCAGATAGCAGCCTGCCGCTGGGTTGTTGCCCTCCACCTCTCTTGGTGTACTGGCTGGTCTCCTGGTATCATCTAAATGCTCCTCACACTGTGATGAACAACACAGCAAACTTTCTAACCACTGTGCATATGAAGGAGCTACACTACCGGGGCAACTTCTGTGGGCTGCAGATACAGCCTCATGCTACCACTATAGGAGTTGTCATGCTTATTACCTAATTGAGTCAACCTCTTTAAAAAGTCAGTTAAAAAACTATTTTGAACTTTTTTTAATGGCTGTAAATCCTTAAAACAACTGTTTTAAAAATTCTCGCTCCCTTACTAGCGGACATGATACTTAATACATTCTGGTCTGTCCTGCCAGTGAGAATACTGCAAACTCTAAGGAACCACCTCAGCTCTATTACCTTCACTCTACTTAATGTACTACACATACATTAGCTTTCAGTATGTGTGCTAACGTCTGTCTCTCCCTCATGCACTTCTCTTTGCCAGCAGGCCTCTCAGCGCTGGACCATCAGTCATACCGAGAAGTTCATATCTGTTGGTGTCACATTTCCAAATTCTCTGGATCTTGGTTTTCATCATAACCTTGTGTCTCTCTTTTCTTTGTTGGTATTTGTCTTCATCTAGATGCCCTGATTGAAATTAGTTTGACGGAGTTTTACCTCTCATGTTTAAACTCTTTACTCTTTCTAGGACTTCATACTGGAGAGGTAATGAATCCCCAATCCTGTGTGCAGTATTAAAGGGATATTCCAGCATAAAATTAATTTAGGGTCAAACACACTGTAACACCGAGTTAGACACCCCCTCGAGAGATGAATGTTGCCGACCGCTTGCTTCTCGAGTTATACCAACTTTAGTAACGACCGCATGACAGCAATACACAGCGGTCTAAGGAGCCATCAACAAACCTCAACCAAAAAGCCACTCTATAGCCACAAATAATGCTCAGAACAGCACCTAACTTTATCAACAGTACATATAGGGTCCCAGCCATAGCACTAGCCACCAAACATGTTTTTAACTTTGCCTTATTTCTTTTGCAAAGAGACGAAACACAACTCACCTACTCTCTGTTTGTAGCGAAACCTCAGGCCAGTCCATTACGGAGTACAGTGGGGGTGCGCAGCTCAAGGAAGAACATTTCCATGATAATTTCCTCATAGAGATGCAATCAGACTGAGACGCTAAGGCAGAAGAACTACTGCGTCTGCAGTGCAAAATGATTATTACTTCGAGGAAATGATAAAGAAATGATCATAAATGTTCTTCCTTGAGCTGTGTCACCCCGCTGTAGTCTGTAATGGACTGGCCTGAGGTCTTGCTACAAACAAGCGGCTGCTGGAAGAGAGTAGGTGAGTTGTGTTTAGTCTCTTTGCTAAAGAAATTAGGCAAAGTTAAAAAGATGTTTGGTGGCTAGTGCTGTGGCTTGGACCCTATATGTACTGTTGATGAAGTTAGGTGCTGTTCTGAGCATTATTTGTGGCTATAGAGTGGCGTTTTGGTTGAGGTTTGTTCATGGGTCCTCAGACTGCTGTGTATTGCTGTTGTGCAATCATTACTAAAGTTGGTATAACTAGAGAAGAAAGCGGTCGGCAACATTCATCTTTCGACGGGGTGTCTAACTCGATGTTACAGTGTGTTTGACCCTAAATTAATTTTACGCTGGAATATCCCTTTAATGCAGTTTTATGTCATGTTGATCTAAACCCTCAATTCCACAATCACCACCTTGAACATCCTCAAAATTTAACATCTTTACTTTCAGGGAAATCACAGCGATTCAGTTTTAGAAATGTGTGTAAAACCTTAGCCCACCTTAGTTTCAAAGCTGGATGACTAAAACAAGAGCACACTCTCTGCACACTGTGTGTCTCTGCCTGGGGAAAACTTGTCCTTGCGTATAACTTTTACTTCCAGCTGCATAAAAGAAAGAGAGAAAACTTTGCCCCAAATCATTTTTCGAGAAATGTTTCAGTTGGTCGAACACATCAATCCAGATTTTTTTACTCCAGCGAGACGGAGTCATCGCGGTCCGTCTCAACAACACATGACTTACCCCTTAAACACCCTCATAAATGTTGAAGTGGTGTTGATCGCTGCAGAGCTTAAAGCGAATTTGTCGTACAAATGACTCATAAATCATTTATCAAGGACATCATTTATGTATTTCACGGCTCTCGATCTGCTGTGTGTTTCTGTGTGACATTAAATTCTGTCCGATTAAGGTAAGAATACAGAGACATGTACGATTTTGTAACTTTGCCTCACTTTTCTTTAAAATTTGATTTCTCTGATTCAATGCAAAGATTAATTTGTCATAGTATTACACACTGTTAGACTGTAACGGCAAATTTAGTCATTTTCGTCAAGTATTTGATGAAACTTGTCATATTTCACGCCTCATTTTAATTCACTCCCCCCCTAAATTATCTCTCCGACGTAGGGATTCCCTGCTTTTCCAGTTAAATCCACGACAAACAGAGAACAATCTGAAGACTCCACTCTAGCTGTACTAACTTGTACAAGCTTGTTTTTGACAGCACATACATTGATAGACTGATGTAATTAAACACATGATGGCGCAGCTCAAAATGTTCCATGCACCAGCTTTGGGACAAAAACTCACCCAGGCAGGTAATTCATGTCCCCAACATGCTTTTGGCCATTTTGTGAAAAGATGCGAGATGACAGCAGTGAGCCAAACAAATATGGCTGTGATGATGTGGCGTGGCTCTCCTGGTTGATTTCAGAGGGCTGCAGACTTGCTTTTGTTTACGCTGTCTTCACCTGCGGGCTCAATCCGGCTTATCTAGGGGCCGTCAGTGTGAGCGCTGACCAGGCTGATAGTGCAAAAAAAAGATTATCACCATCTTTCACTTTCTTCTCGTAACTAGCAATTACCGGAGCTCCTCTCCAGGATGTTGAGAGGGTTAAGGAAGTGGTTTTTAGGGATGGATTAAAAAGCTGACGTCAATGGCAAAATGCAAATTTGCTTCTCCAAGCTTTATGTAAAAAGCTCTGAATTGGAAGCTTAGCCGGGGAATTTCGTCCACATGCTCCATCCCATTCTTGTCTGAGCTGGAAGGATTGCGTGGTTTCACTGATGGGTTGGAAGACCAGCTCCCTCAGCTTTGAAGCTGATAAACCTTTTAAAACCATGACAAATGTTCTCCTGCAATTTTGCCAGAGGAAAGGCAAAGAAATGAAAAAGGTAGCAGGCGCAGGAATATGAAAATTTGCTCCATCCATCTCAGACTCCCAACCTTACAGCCAAGGTTTTTTTTTTTCCTTTTAGAGACTGAAGTGCTTACTCCAGCAAAGTTCAAACTGAAACTTCAGCAATTGTCTCTGCAGCTCGGACTATACAGTGACCAAATGACTCTGCATCAATATGGCTGCATGTAACAGCCGCGGCATGGAGACGTGGCGCGTTGTGTCACCGTGATCAAGCAGCGTTTAACTGCACAACTCTCCGTGTCAGTGGACATGGCTGGATGGCACAGGGGTGAGACATGCAGTCAGTTTCCATAGTGATGTGGTTGAATGGAGGGGATTAGCAGGGGCAGTGTGCTGAGAAAGGATTGCAGGCTTCAGTCAAAGCTTGCATTTCGAGGCTCCCTCCCTCTCTGCGATGTCGATGATGGACCCCTCGGCTCCCTCTTCTTCGCCTCATGCTCAAGTGTTTTGTATTCACCCAAAACCTCTCCTTCATTTTCTGCACCAGCTCCTGAGGTGTAAAACATTTGATGAGCCAGTTATTCACTGTAGCACATGACCCCAGCACAAACTCTGCAAAGGCCTCCAGAATTAACTTGTTGGTTTGGAATAATAACTGGGTCAGATTTCATGAAATATATGCTATGAAAGTGTGAGGAAGTGTGGGTGTGTGATGTATAACTTCTTTGTAATCCAGCTTTCAATTCCTTCTAACAAATCATGCCCACAGTCTCCTCGGTGCATGCTTAAACCTTCAGATTATACTGTGTGGATTAGCAGGCATTTGAATCTGCTGAATAGGAAGTTTAACTTGACATTTTTGCAACTTCACAGACAGAGGTTTCAAGAATTTTACTCTCGTCATTAAGACTAATCATCATGTCAACTGATCTCCGGTTTAATCTCAGTCACTGGGTATCTTCCTGTCATATTAAAACTAATAATAATAATAATAATAACATTAATATTGTGTTGATTTTGGAGATGTTGTGTATACCTGATAGTAGCATGACTATGTGACCTGTCTTATATAAGATTCAAATGTGAAGTGACACTCGAGTATTACTCCCAAATTCTGACTATAGATTTAATTTTTGTGGACAGGGTACCAAGGCTGCTCTCTATACAATCAATACAGTTTTGCAGATTGAAAAGTATTATTTCAGACTTTGACTGATTTAGTTGAAGAAAGGAAGCATATCAGTAGAAAGTAAAATGAGGCCTAAAACTGAACCCTGGGGTACACCAAAGGTAACGTTAGAGGAAGAGGATGAGTGACTATCTAGATGACAGTTAAAGTCTGACCCATAAGATAAGACTGAAACCAACTAACCGGAAGTTTCCACTGCATCCAGTATGGCTACCGAGAGGCCGTCTCCGCCGATCATAGCTGATCGTGACCATTCAAGTTAATGTGTCAATTTCCACCGGCTTCTTTCGATTCCACTGTGGATTGCAAGAGTTCTATTATTTCCAGATGCCAGATATGCCGGATAAATTCAGCACAGATTAACCTGTGCTGTAAAGGAAGTTGGGCACAAACACAGAATAAAACATCCGGCTTCTTTTCAAAATAAAACACTCCGTGTTTCAGGCGGATTGAATTTCATACCATGCAAACAGGCGGGAATGAACAAGTGAAAGGCTTATAAACAACATTTGATCCCGATGACACCATGGATAAGGACATGCTGATTTTAAAAGTCTAAAAGTAGATTTTCTCCTCTGAAAGGACACAATCTACTGCTTATATGGTCAGCCTATGTGGCTAAAGACAACTTGTTATTGCGCGATTGCACATGAATCAGCGGGTTCTCGTGATTCTTGCGATTCCCATTGTCCATATTCGCCATGAAATTTGTCTCACAAACAGATCCGGTAGGAATTGGCGTACGGTGTAAATCGGAGCCGTTCCGGTTGCCGTGGAAATCCAGGGTAAGTGTAGTTTCCAACCAGTTAACCAACTAAGTATCCCTGAAATAATAAAGAATCTCATTTACAGCAGAGCAAGTTTTTAAAGCTATGGAACTATGAAACAACAAAGTTCTGCCCTTTCCAAATCTCTATTTATGGGATGTTGTCCAGTCTGATGTGAAATATATCCCATGCAATGGGAATATGAAACAGTCTTCCTGGCATATTGGGTCGATGTATTTTGTCTCAGATATGTAAAGTTAATTCTCCAGACTCTGTTAACTCCCATTCACAGGATATGTCGTACTTTATACTACACTTTTTTACATGTGAGAAGTTTTTCAAACTTCAATGTAAAGTCTTGAAGAGATGATAAACACTGTAACCAAACACATCTAAGGACAAGCTTTAAATCTGCACTTAGCTCTTCAAAGCTCTCCAGCACTTTTTTTTTAAACACCATTTCCTGAGAAGTGTAATCTAGATGAATGTAATAAGATAAAGGAAATAGCTTCAGACAAACGGGGCTGCAGTGGCAGAGCTCTGGCTCCATGCCAGCACTGAAGCTGACCTCAGTTTGGAAAGCTTTCTTAGCAGGAACTGGGTATTGTACAAACTAGGTTGTCTACAAATTAATTAACCAATGTCAATTTTTTCTTAATTATCACAATTTTTTTAAAACTAAAATGAATTAATCACAGGAGCAACACAACATAGACTGGATAAAACATGGATGTAGTCTTACTGACTTTACGGGGGGAGACGGAGCACAGGGGTCATGAGGACTGTATATGGAGTGCGCCAACTAGTGAGCAGAAAAAATATGTATTTAATTTATCTTAACCGTGAAGGTTTGGGCTCGGACATCAATATGTTAATAGGGATCTTCTTTTTATTCTTTTCAATTGAAATATTTTGATCATGATCTCAAATGAATCATGAACAAATACAGATCTTTTTTTACTCTCTAATCAGCTACATGTGTAATGTGTGGCATTGGGTTTTTCAATAAACATTTAGAATATTGCTATATATATAAAATGTAAAATTTTGAAGCTAAATAAAAAGGTGAAACTTATGTGCATTTACTCTTTCTCCCTCACTGTCTCTCTGCATTTTGACACAGTCTATTTCTTGGTTTTTAGTGTTGTGTTGTGTTATATTTAATATGTCTTCATCATACATCCAGAATATTTCAATTTACATTCAAACTGAGTCCAAGAAAATGCTTTTGCAAATGTGTGTGTTGCATTCGTGCATCTAGACAAAATAAACGTGGACTATTAGTGTACGGTGAGGCTGCATCTCAACACACATTTCCCCTAACAGAGTTTTATTCACTGCAGCAGCTCTTGTAATTGCGTTAAACTGTTTGCTCATTCTGAGAATCAATCACAACAGATTATCTCCCTAAATGGGTTTATAAGGAATGAAACCAGTGCGCTTAATTAACATAACATTTTCATTTCTTAAACTCTTTTTCATGTTGATGAGTTTGTTTCTAACAGTCATCTCAGCTGTTAGGACTAGAGTACAACCCTGTGCATGGTTCTGGGATCATTTATTTCAAAGGCAGAGCTAATCTTTGGTACGAGTTTGTATGTCGGCATATATTTCTCCACAGCCTCGATGTGCTTTTAACCCCTCTGACGTCTAATCTGCACCATTAATGGACTTTTTGTAGAAGTTAATTAACCATTTTCAATGATAGCAGCACAGCAATCCCAGTAGAGAGCCATATAAGGAGGGGAGAGACGGAGACCGATTATGCTGTTGCCTAGCAACGCATGTACAAAAATTGAAGCGATTTAGTGCCCCCATACTGGTTATCATGGAGGTCATATGTTTACAAAATCCACACTGCGAGCTGGCTGTCACCCAGATCAACACATGTACCTGTCTCCATCCTGCGTGATGCATGTCGGTGTGTTGATGCAGAACATTCAAAACCAGGTCTGCCTGCTTCTTTACATTTCTGCAGTTCTTTTGAATGAGGTGCAAAAGCAACATCAGAATCCCAGCAGAGGAGGAAGCCAGTGTTTTCTGCAGCGGTGGGATTTAACTTCTTTGCATAGTTGATCCCTTCAGGAAGGTAAAATCTGAAGGAGAAAAAAAAAAAAGCCCCATGGAGAAGAACAGAGCATGCTCCACAAATTTGTTAGATGATTCACTCACTGAGTCCTGAAATATCATTGGCCGGCCCACCTTACTGAATCCTACATCCCACAATACTTCACTACGCATGTAAATAAGATCTGGCGAAAGCTGTTCGTTATAAAAAAAAAGAAAAAAAAACTGTCCTCTCAGCTTGTTTGTAAATCATGTGTGTGTGTGAGAGAGAGAGAGAGAGGAGAGAGTGGAAAAGATAAGGAGGCATACAAAGAGAGAGAGAGAGAGAGAGAGAGACGTAGGGAGGGAGGAAGAGAGAGGCGAGACAGAGCTGCTGAGGCACTCACTTCACAGCAATTTAGGTCATGCTAAACAAATGCTATACTAAAGAAGCACAGACAAATAAGAGCAGCAAGCCTTGAAGTGATTTTCCTGCATCTTTGGAGGCTTATACACAGCGGACATCACCGCGCAGAGACTGAGAATAGAGGAAGCTGTGTTTAATGCAGTGAATATCTCAGGTGTCTTTGTGCCGCACATGCAGGTAAGAGGTAAATTTCATCAGCCATCCCAGGAGGACAGGCCCAATCTAATTTATGCTTGATGCAGAAATATTGAGTGAACAGTTATTCAGGTTATGCACCTAGCTTCCCTGATGATATATACAGGTAGGATGACCCCGATCTAATCAACACACAAGAGAAACACCACAGCAATAAACACGATGTGTGCTTACATTTTAAGAAAAATAAAGAAGAAGCAAGGCAGCATCACAGTTTGAAGCAAACAGAAAAGAGGCTGCACGTCAGGGCGTCTGACAGTCTAACTCTTGGTGGGATTACCTAATAAGACATATTTATTTTTTAATAAACTGATGTGAGCTGCTTGGCTGTCAAAACAAGAACTGTGCTAATATTTAGAGTAGTTCTTTTATGTGTTTGTGAGTTGTGTTTATTTTCTTGCAGCACCTTTTACACCAGGTTTATGTTTGTACATTAAATGTGAACATGCATACAGATTTATGTTTCTCTCTTAATAGGAGAGCCAAATCCTTCATGCATCTGTGTGTATTTTCCCCTTTAAATACAAAGTGGGACAAACACAATGTCACATGACGTTAAGCCAGGTGAAAATCATCATCAGCAGTCACAGGATTGACCTGCATGTTTACAATAAGAAAATAAAAAGGGATATGTGTACACAGTTTCAGCAGCTGGAGAAAAACAAGTCTGCGACAATATGAATAAAATATGTGAATTGCTTATGATTAGCATACTAATGACTAATCATCATGCTAATCAGTTCATTTTGTGGCCTCAAATTGCACACTGGAGCTGAGAAATGTGAGTCCATGAAAATGCTTTGTGAAAGCTGGGAAACGCTCGGAGAAGTGCACAGGGATTATAGCAGGCAGTTAAAAAAGCATTAAAAGGTGGCTTATTAAAAAGTATGGAGGTAAAAGGGAGAAAATAGCAGATGGAATTGCACAGTAAACTGTCATCACACTGGATTATGATACAGATGGAGATTTATTTTTTTCAGCCCAACATTGAATTATATTTTATTCTCACGTGGTGCAATTTACTAGAGCTTTAAACCAGAGTTTAGAAAAATATAAATAAATAATAGTGAGGTTTGGAAAATCTGTCATTGATTTGATATTTTGGATTTGGATTTCTAATTTTAATCATCATTATATTCAATATTCAAAACTTTTGTGTTTGGTCTGCAAATATGTTTTCTTTTCTTTTTCTTTTTTTTTTTTTTTTTGGAATTTGTTATTTTTTAGTTAAACATCCATATATTTTGTTCACTATGTTTCGCTGTGATGACAAGAAAATCTCAATTATTTCCTTCCATCATAGTGACTTAATATGTCTCATCAATCTTAGTTATTATTTGTTTTCTCTTAATACATACAAGGACACCAGCCTTTGTTTTCCCACGATGACATGAAATGAGTCAATATCCCAGAAAACGGCTAAAATGAACCAATCACCAAAGGAAAACCAGCTATTTCATCTTGACATGATGAGATATTTGAGAAAAACTAGATTTATCAGTCATCTTGGGAAAACTGTGTACATAAAACACATTGACACAAGTCCATTTAGGGCTTCCGTATCCTGTAAAGCGGTTACTTTAACCTTAATAATAGCCTTAACCTTAAATTTGACACTGAACCATCAGGGGGGTCTGTGATCTTAAATGCCTCACCTTGTCTGTATCCTTGTGCAAACACCCCGCACCCACCCACTTCAACATCAAGATGATTTTACAGCCACTGGGCCAGTAAAAAGGGGGGCATCAGGAGCCTCAATCTCGCTCACATACTCGAAAGGCCATTACAAGAAAAGACAAGTAATCCCAGCCTAATGGAGCACGTGCAGCGTTCACAAGGAGCACAAACAGGAGCACCAGACTGAAATTAAGAGTGGGGGTCTGCTGGTGGAAAAGGGCAGTGAGCTGAATCAAAGCAAAGCTGTGGGGTGAGGAGGTCAGCTGGCTGTGCGAGCATGTCACCAGCCTATTGGACATGCCTGTGTGCTCCATCAGCAGGTGTATAAATATGTGTCATGTTTCACACTCCTTGTCCGCAGGGATGCCAAACCAGATGGGATTTTAAATGCTGCATTTCATGTGGTATCATTTAGTAGGTTAGTTCACCCATCATTGCTCTGCCATCTGGTGCCCTCTCAGCCTGTGATAGTGAACATTCACACTCTAAGCCTGCACGCCGCTGATCTTCCCCCCCTTTTTGCACAAAGCGTTTACACAAGTTTACACTGCAGCAAGTGTGCACCGTGCACCCTCCTCCAAACTCAGATCAGTGGCATCAAAAGAGAAGCAGGAAAAGTAAGTGATAGCAGGCGAGCACACGTGGAGTCTCAAAACAAAGGCATGGAGATGAGAAGTCGTCAAATAGAAGAAGCAGACGTGACATCAGAGATCAGAAGGAAAACTTGCGCTATATTTCCAACTAAATCAAACAAGTGGCCCCCCTGAAACAGACTGAGATTCACTTACCTTGAACTTTATATTGAAGAAGGGCTCCCTGGGGAAATGTTTCGCTCTTGTCTTTCACTTTCCGTGAGGTTTCTAGAGGAAAAAATAAAAAGAAGATAAAAATCCGCGACTGCATTCCAGTCCTTGCGCATTTCCTTCCCATTTTTTTCCACGAGTGTCTCCTTCTTCTAACCCAATCTTTTCTCATTCTCTCTTTTTTTTTTAATTCTTATTTTTATGAGCTATCCACGACTTTATTCATCCTCGCATATCATCCCTTCATTTGTGGCAGTCGTCGGGCTTTGGACGATTACAGGCAGAGTTAGACAAGCAGCCAGTGTTCCCTCCCTTTATTGACGGGCTCCCTTTATCACAATTTGCCAGATTTGCAGACAGCCGCTGACTGGCCTCAACCTTCCACGGATACGCGCGTGGACCTGATAATGCTGCTTATATTACCCCCCCATATGGTTCCATTTTGCAACATACATATTATCACTGGAAGGGGAGGAGGAGGAGGGGGGTGCTCTTTTTTGGGGGGTGGGAGGAGGGGAATTGGAGGGAGGGGGGGTCACATTTTGTGTTGCTGAGCGCACATGCAATTACGTTTCAAATATATGATTTTTAAAGTATTCAAGAGGAGGGAAACCCGGATTAAAAAACCCTAAAACTGGTTAATATGATTCTTAATCTTGATGGGATTCGTCTTAGTTGATTTTTGTCCAGATGGGGTAAAAAAATCCTTCTTGTCTTTTAGAAATAAATGTAAGAATCCCAGAATTTGTATTTATTGAATTTGTGAAATAAGTAAAAAATGAAATATTAAAAAGCAAAGAGTGCAAGTGCGATATGAGTGCAGCCTATAGATGAAGGAGAGGATGATGAGGATGAGGAGGAGGGGGGGCGACTTTGAGATGACATTGAGGCTGTGTAGATGGGAGTTGAGTCTCTGGTTGTTGATGTTAGACAGTCGCACAAGGCGAAGCGGCTGCTGCCCGTGTTGATTCAGCCTCCTCCTCCTCCTCCTCTTCTTCTTCTTCCTCCTCTTCTTCCTCCTCCTGGTCTTCAGCACTGCTCCCCGCTGGACAGCTCCCGCTTGGACATCCTCTCTATAACGCTGCATGGTCCCTTTAAGTCTTTTAATGGAAGTAAAATCTATTTATGTTCCAAGAAATACTGGGAGTTTACAACTTCGTCCACAGGAGGAATCTACGGATACCTCGCTTCGAGATTTGTGGCAGGCAGCGGATCCTCGGCGGCACAGATCCCACATTCATTGTGAGTAAAACTGGCTGCTAAATTTTTTGCGTCTTGCCTGTGCGTGTGAGCGTGTTTGAACCACTCCAACAATCCACTCTGCTAAATGCATGATTTATCTTCTGAATTTCACCTCGGTATGTGTGATTAAATTGTGAATGAGACTGTCAATATGTTGCTGGGGTCAATGTAATGACTGCATGATGAGCTCTGCACCTACACGGTGTAGCCAATTAAATGCAGAATTGATTGGTGTTTGCCAGTCTATTGGACGCTGCAAAATGTGGAGACGCGTTCTGGTGCGTCTGATAACGCGTTTGGTTCTCAATTAATCGGGCAGAATGAGGAGGCTATTCGTGCAGCTTGATGCGTAAAGCTTTTACGCATTGGACATCCTTTTGTCTCCACGGTGCAATTTGTGTTCCAGTTTGTTTGAAACCTCTCGTTATCCCCGCTCCTTGAAAAACCTGGTTGTGAAGAACTGTTTGGAGAATCTGCAGGTGGTAATTGGTGGACTTGATTATGCTTAATCCTCATAGGCTATTTGCTTTTGCCACGGCGCGTCTTGCGCTTGAGGTGCATGTTTTGGATTCTGCAATTTGTCTTAAAGTTTTGCTTGCTAATGAGGATATAATTTCCTTTTACTTTTTTGGGGTTATTCAAATGTTGATTCTTTTTTTTTTTTTTTTGGCTGCCGTGTGTGTTGATCCGGTTTGTACTGCTGTTAATTTACGCGCAATCTGTCGTATGTGTTTTAGTTCTGGGATCAAGTCCAGCATGACTTTGCCACCGATGGTTTTTGATGTTTGTTGAGTCAGATATGAATGAAAAATCCGGCAAGGGGCCAAACGTTTAAGAGCTGCTTCAATCTGTGTATTTTAGATGCATATTTGCGCACAACCGTCAATGTTTGGGTTAATTAATATTGCTATATGAACCTGCCGATGGCTGTATAAATGTTGTGCAAAATGTGTTCACATTTGCTTCACCAGTAACCAACATTTTCAGCGCCTCCTGCAAAAAAAAAAAAAAAAAAAAAAAACGACCAACTGCTCTATTCACGCTTCCAGGTTAACGGCGACTGACGAGCCGTGTGTGCACAGGCTTCATCTCCAGACATTTGGTCCAAAGGTTAGGTCTAAAAACCGCGAAGCTGCTGTCTACGTGGACTGGTGCTGAAGCCTCCCGTCCGACTGCCAGGACCTCTGCCAAATCCAGAGACATGGCGACGAACGGCACCAAAACGGATGGACAAGTCACAGAACTGAACGAGGTGGCCACTAACAATGACAAACCCAAGTCACTGGACGTGAAGCCCGAAAAGCAGAAAAAGGATTTGCCTGATAGAGAAACATGGGGGGGAAGATTTGATTTCCTCCTGTCGTGTGTGGGTTATGCAATTGGACTGGGAAACGTGTGGAGATTTCCCTATCTGTGTGGAAAAAACGGAGGAGGTAAACAATATTTTTTTTTTCCACTGCTAATTTAAGCACACTGCACGGCCCATTCAGCTCCATGATGCACGCACATAATCGAGCATGCCTAATTGACCGTGTTGATAACATGAAAAGAATTAATATCACCTACATTTGCAACTCTAATTAATTCATGTTGTGCTGTGCTGCCTTTGATAGTGCGTCAGCCTCAGATTGCTGTTTTTTAACGAATACTTTACTTTTGTCCATGCAGGAGCCTTCTTGATTCCATATTTTTTGACTCTCATATTTGCTGGGGTTCCCTTGTTTCTACTGGAATGCTCTCTTGGTCAATACACCTCCATTGGAGGGCTTGGTGTGTGGAAATTGGCTCCTATGTTCAAAGGTATAACTCATCTTCTATCTCTAGAGACTGTCTCAAGTATTTATGAAGCTGACTTATCCAATGACATACTGCCTAATTCATCTTTGTATGATAGGTGTGGGCCTTGCAGCAGCTGTCCTGTCATTTTGGCTTAACATTTACTACATTGTAATCATTGCTTGGGCCATTTACTACTTGTACAACTCTTTCACCACTGTAAGTATCACACACTGTGACTCACAAACAGCCTCAGACGGTCAAGATTGTTGTTGAAACTTAAAATCCTTTCAACGTGTAAAGAAGAATTTAAAAAAACAAATGTTTTGCAGGATCTTCCATGGAGCTCTTGTAACAATCCATGGAACACAGAGAAATGTTACACAAACCACTCCATTTTGGACACCACCAATCTCACCAGTGCAGTGGTAGAGTTTTGGGAGTAAGATATTGACTGCTTTTCTTTTTTGCTTTCCACAACAGCAGAGCTTTTAAGTATCCTGCATGCATCCCAGAGATACATAAAAGACAGCCTCCTCTTCTCCTGCTGCACGCTTATTTCCCTGTGTGGATAATAGTCTTGTTGTTGCTCGCTCTGATTTATAGGCGCAACATGCATGAAATGACCGATGGCTTGGAAAAACCAGGCCAGATTCGGGTGCCACTGGCTATAACACTGGCCATCGCCTGGGTCCTTGTGTACTTCTGTATCTGGAAAGGGGTTGGCTGGACAGGAAAGGTAAGACCTTTGCCAGATTTGGGTATCCAAGTCCTTTAATGCAACACCAGTTCCCAATGAGGAATCAAAGTGACAACTATGCAATATTAATCAGAGTAATATCACCTCATCAATCATTCAGGTTGCAGTCAGCATTGTCCAGATTGATTTGAAAATAAGAGAAAAGACATCAAACAGCTATGCTCACTAATCCTAGTCTCCCTCTCGGTGGCTCCTCTAATTCCAAGCCTCCTGACACAGAGTCTATACTGAGTGTGGCTTCATGATAGGAGGAGCAACAAACAGCCATACGCTTCAATCTGGTTTTGTCCTCCTCCCTCGACTTGGAGCAGCTTCCCTCCCCTGGGGTGCCACATTTCAAAAGTCGAACACATCACGTGACCATGGCAAATAAAATTTGTTTTAGTCACAGAATATCCCATCCCCCTGCACATTTTGCTTGCATAGAGTCACAAGTGCACACAAATGCTCCAAGTGAAGCTGCAGTGATTTCTTCAAAGAGTATTTTTTTTATCTAAAAAGAGACGTCAGAGAAGAAATCTCAAAATTCAGATTTCTGAATGATGGTATGATTCACAAACTGTGCATGCATTATCAATTTAAGATGCAGCTCTGTCCCCCGTGCTGATTGCTCTGTCTCATCTTATAGGTGGTTTACTTCTCTGCTACATATCCTTACTTCATGCTGTTCATTCTCTTCATCCGTGGGGTGACTCTGCCTGGAGCTAAAGAGGGAATTATGTTCTATATCACCCCTGACTTTGAAAAACTGAAAGAATCAGAGGTAATAATATATAATCATCCGAATCAAACCTGTGTGCTGCATGCCTGAGTGAGCAGAGCGCGGCCTCACGCGGCTAAAATGCTCGTGTGTTCCTTTGTCAGGTATGGCTGGATGCAGCTACACAGATCTTTTTCTCCTATGGATTGGGATTGGGGTCGCTTATAGCCCTGGGCAGCTATAACCCTTTCAATAACAATGTTTACAGGTAAGATGTGTGATGATTCCTGAATAGAGATAATCTTTTAGACAGAGTCTGGTTAGATTTCACCAAACCAGAGCAAAATGAAGAAGCTGGAGTTATTAAATTGCTGCTTTTTGCTGCACTATATGTCCCTTTTACAGACCTTATTCAAGGGTACTCAATAAGAGCCCTTCAAGGGCCTTATTAATGTGAATTGCTGGCATGAATACAATAACAATCAAAGGAGAAGGTTGTTTCTTTCTGTCAGTGTGCGTGCTGGAGGGAAAAAAAAAACTCTGATTGCAGAGCCTGAGTGTTTTCTCCAGCAGGCCCATGGTTCTGGGTCACGTAAACAATTGGTTACATAAAAATAGTTGCATTCATTTTGTGTCCTTGTTTCAAACGGATCCATCTTTCCGGGTCTAAATCCTCCAAAAAATGATTCTTTTACATGAGTTCATGTCTGCTGCAAACTTAAAAACCGCCACTGAAGAGTTTGTGTTTGATCAAAAAGGATTTAAAAGGCGTGATGCTTTCCTCAGCTACTCTCTGAGACGTTCCTCTCTCCTGTATGTGTTGAAAACATGAGTAAAAAATGAGTGCAGTCAAATGTTTGAAAACAGGCTTTTTTTATGTTTCCTGTCGCCAGAGACTCTGTCATTGTGTGTTGCATCAACTCCTGTACCAGCATGTTTGCTGGCTTCGTAATCTTCTCCATTGTCGGCTTCATGGCTCACGTGACAAAGAAAGACATCGCCGACGTAGCAGCTTCAGGTGAGAGATTGAACCCGCGCTTTCTTCTGTCACACTCCTGTCTCCGCACAAAAAAGAAATGCGCTCTGTCATTGATTCTTACAGCTACAATGTGTGTTTTCAGAGTGCTTGGAGAATAACCCTGGTGACATATGATTTCCCTTTTCGCTATCCAGGTCCTGGCTTAGCTTTTCTGGCCTACCCCGAGGCTGTAACCCAGTTGCCTGTGTCTCCTGTCTGGGCCATTCTGTTCTTCTCCATGCTGCTCATGCTGGGGATCGACAGCCAGGTAAGGGGCTTGGAGATGATCTGCTCATGGCCTGACCTGAATATTTAAAATACAAGCACATATCATGCGGCTCGGCCCTGCTCCCTTCATGATAAGTGTGCAATTTTCTTCTTGTGGGCAGATATAGCTGAGCTTTGACATCAGCTGTCAGGTCTTCTTAATGCAACTTTACCACCTCTGTGGGTCCACAGGTTTCACTGTCGGCGTTTCTTTCTTTCGTGTTTGATATTTGGGTTCAAACGAGGCCACAGAGACTTGAAAACTGTATTTATACAGCGATGTACAAACTGCATTTCAAAGTTAAAGACATAAATTACAACCCCGTTCTTGATGTCACAGCAACTGAGCTTTTGCATAACAGAGTCATTACCAAAATGGCCTTCAAGAAGTGGATGCTTGGTCATTCAGAAGATTACGTTAGCGATTTTGTCCCATGGTTTGGTGCACACTGCAACTCTATGTCATATCTCATCATCAGTTCGCCTAACTGCTAAAATAAAACTTCTTTAGCGAAGAGTACAGTTTTCTAAATATTCGCAGGCCTCTACACGCTCAGTGTGCAGCAGATGCAAAGAGTGTGTGTATGCTTAACGTACCTTTGTGCGATTCTGTCCCTCAGTTCTGCACCGTGGAAGGCTTCATCACTGCTTTAGTGGATGAGTTTCCCCGAGCTCTGAGGGGAAGACGAGAGCTCTTCATCGCCGTAGTCTGCCTGGTGTCCTATGTGATCGGACTGTCAAACATCACACAGGTACAGCAGGGCAGCTCTCTTATGTAACCGCCGACTGTTAAAGGCAGCAGATTAATCAAATGAGTTATAGAGTTTGGAGATGTAATTAAAAGATTAAAAGTAAAGAAATTAATGCATCTGTGCAGCAGGCAAGAAGCAATTTAAGTTCCTAAGTGTTTTTTAATGATAGAATCAAAAGAAAATAGGCCGTGCCTGCAAAAATAGGTTGTTAAAAGCACGCACTTGTCTGTTTTTCTGTAACCAGGGTGGAATCTATGTGTTCAAACTGTTTGATTACTACTCTGCGAGTGGGATGTGTCTGCTGTTCCTGGTCTTCTTTGAGTGCATCTCCATATCCTGGTGTTACGGTGTGTATCGCATCTGTGTTTCATGCAGTATTTCGGATTTTCACAACCATTTTATTTGTTCTTTAAAACTAAACCAAACATAAATAAAGCGGTGAAATGTTACGTAAATGAGCCGCAGCGGTACATATGAAGGTTAGAACGCGCCACACCTCTCCGAACGGATGTTTGCGCCAGACGCTACTCAGCCTCAAGGTCACGAGCGCTCATGTGTTCCATCTCGCCATCCTCATCATTATGCACGGCAGACTGGCAGCAAATTGAAATAAATTGGATATGAATATTTTGATCATGGATTCATTTGTCTCGCAGGTGTGAACAAGTTCTACGACAACATCAAAGAGATGATTGGCTACAAGCCGTGTATATGGTGGAAGTTGTGCTGGGTCGTGTTCACGCCTCTCATCGTTGGTGTGAGTACTCTGAACTAATACAAGCGTACATCTAAAGTCACGACATGAGGAATGAGACAATAAATAAAGTCAATATTACCTGCCTGCAGCCATGTCAGGCTCAGACAGAGCCGCCTGGAGTCAGCGGTGTCAGGATGCATAAAGCGTCTCTTGTCTCCCACAGGGGGTGTTCTTGTTCAGCGCCATACAAATGGTTCCTCTCAAGATGGGAGACTATGTGTTCCCAGGCTGGGGTCAGGGAGTAGGCTGGCTCATGGCGCTGTCCTCAATGGTTCTCATACCAGGATACATGGTCTATATGTACCTGGGTCTCAAGGGAACCTATAAGGAGGTGAGAAGAGAATTGTTTGTTCGGTTTGTTTGGCTTTAAGCACTACTTTTGCCAGCTTGTTTTGATCTCTACTGTGTTTGTGACTCTACACACTCCCTCTGTTATGTAATCCATTTGTGTCATGTCTGACCCACAGCGACTTCGGATAATGCTCCAGCCTCCTGCAGTCGTCAGGCGACCTCAGGAGAATGGACCTGAGCAGCAGGCGGAAACCAACACCGCTAACCTTTCCAGTCCCGCCAATCCAGCCAGTCCTGCTAACCCAGCTCCGGCGAACCCCGCCAGCCCAGCCAATCCGGCTCCGGTCAACTCCACCAGTCCAGTGACCCCCGCCAACCCCGCTCCTCCCGCGCCGGCTAGCACAGCCACCGCCGCTAGCCCGGTGAACCCAGCGACTAGCCCCACCACCGCCGCAACCACCACCGTCACCACCACGGCCAGTCCAGCTAACCCAACTACCACTACAACTGTTAGCCCGACTAGCCCACCACCACCAAACCCAGCTGGTCCAACGGAGCCTGTTAACCCTCCAAATCCCACAAGCCCGACCTCTAACCTGACCAATGCTGAGGCCAACGTGTAGACAACAAAGAAACCCTCATGGAGCATGTAGACAAAAAAGAACATTACAAAGGACTTCCAAGATTTTAATTGATTCACCTACCTCCAGGGGCAATATGTGATCAAAACCGATGATTTTCAACCACGTTTAATTTTTCTGCATTTGTAAAACCAAGCCAATGATGTCTTATTGTTGGTTTGCATTCTGAAAACAATATCAAAGACTGTTAGTGTTCACAAATACAACCATAAATCCAAACAAAAAAAGATGTAAACATACTGTGTAATACTGTGAGAAAAGAAAAAATATAGAGCTATAGATTAGAGATTTGTTGAATATCTTCATGAATCAAGTAAATACCGTGTGAATATAGTAGATGAAGTAGTGAACAAAATTGACACATTGAAGAGTGCAAGGGATGGCGTCAATTTTATCGTGGATGTTTACTAAACCTCACACAGTTGTCTCTTTTCCAAACGTTGCACTCTGTGAGGTAAACTACAGGCCGCAAGGCGAACGGGGGGGAGCTCGACGTAAGCACAATGCCAATAAGAAGTTCTTGTTTAGGAGCTCTGGAGCAAACCAGTATTTGTTGCAAAAGATTTTTGTGTGTGAGAGAGACTGTTATTTTTTTCCTTCCTTTTTTTCAGTATAAAAAAAAGGGAAAATCTTGTATGTGATCGAGACATTTTTAGAGTTATTTTTAGGATGTTTTATACTATATGTGTTGTAATGGAGGACCAAAATCAATAGGCAGACAAAAGCAAAAACTATGCCATTTAGTGTTCGGTTGGCAAAGCACAGGGTACTAAGAAGTACAACAAAAAAAGAAAAAGAAAAAAAAAGAAAAAGCACAGGGTTAGAGAAGTGATTCACAAACATCGACTATCCCTTAATGCTGACAGTCAATCCTGTTTACGTTTTGCATGCTTTCCTCAGGAACATCAGTGAAAATTTCGCTGAATTGTCTCCTGACTAATAAAAAAAAAAAGAATGAAGAAGAAGAAGAACAGAGACGGCCTTAAGCCAATAGACCAATTTCAGCGAAGCCATAGTCTGTTTACATGACTGGGCAGAAGTACAAAATACAACTTTGTATGCTAGCACAAAAACCTGGACCAACTCTGTGTTTTAGTACAGTCATTCTTTTCTTTATGTGTAATGATCAATTATAGTTTGATCAATATGTATTCAGCAATACATATGTAGATGTATAAGTGCAGGCCGGTAAGCAGGTGGTCTGTTTCTCTTTTTGTTTCTGTTGTCTTTGCTTTACTAGTGAAAAGCACAAAGCTTTAATTTCCCCAGACTTTTGCCATGGCGTGTTAGGACAATGTTAGTTTGCTTCTATGGCAGCTACTGTGAAAGGCATCTGGTTGAACAGAACATGTTTACTCTGAAAAGCAAAACAACTGAGCGAAAATGTGAAATGGCTACAGTTCATGTCCTGTGAATTTTGTATAAAGTTAACTCTACCACAGTTTTCTCTGGAACTTTGTTGTAAAACTGTACTGTGTAAAACATGTAACTGTGAATGTCTGTATTACATTGGAAGTTATTGTCTAAATGTTGAAAAAATGGAGTTGCTGTTTTCTGCAATAATATTTTGATCACAGAAGCTAAAGCACATATCTTACAGAAATATACGAAATGATGACAATGAAGATACTGACGATTATATTAAAAATAGAAACTATGTCTAGTAAAACAATATTGTTTTGTATATTTTTAACTGTCTCACTGCCTAATGTAAAACATAATATAAACATGATATGTATCTAAATGGTGTCAAATGCTAAAGCACGATTGTTATGTTATACAAACAGAAAAAGACTGAAAAAATAAAGAGTTATAGAAAATATAAATACAATACATGCCTGGCATATGTCCCTTATAGCATGTGTGTTTAAAGTAGCAGCCCCAAGCTTTTCAACCCTCCTACCAGGAAATTAGGTCAACCCCACTATCCTCTCAAAAGATGTACGCTGCGCTGGATCCTACTGTAGTAATTGGCTATTGTTCCCTCGCTTGTAGATAAAACCCCGATGTTGTCTAAGGAGTATTTTGAGTCGATAGAAAAATAAATATGTGAGACCAATAAACGTACAAACAGGGATTAAGTGAGAGAAAAAAAAAGTGTTGAAAAGCTGGATTCATTTTTTTGTTCGGTTAGAATGAGGCCAGGTGGGACGTGTGAAAATTAAACAAAAACCTCTCTTCGGTAGTTTTGACTGAGGATGACATCCAGCTTAGCTCTCCCATGAGGGTAGAACAGAAAAAAAGGAGTAAACATTACTGTAAAAAAAAAAAGAGAGAAGAAGAAGAAGAAACATCAAAAGAGAACGAGGGGAAAAACATATGAGGCTCTTCCTTGAGGTTTAGAGAGTGTCAGAAACACAAGCTGATAGAGAGAGGCCTCCTCGGGAAGAAAAACATCACCACAGAACAGCTCTGGCCCCGGGGCCTGGCGTGCCCACCCGCCTGCCTGCCCCATCTCCCCAACCTCTTATGGCTCTGTGTGTATCCCTGTGTGCGTGTGTATGTGTGTGTGTGTGTGCCTGTCTTCTCCCCCACCTCCTGCAGTTGCTGCTTCCATTAGCTTCCAGTGTGATAAAGGAGACGGCACCAGCTGACACCACCACAATGACTCGCCTAGGAAAAAAGAATGAGATGTCCCCTTTAGTAGCTTGTGGCAAATTGTGTGTATTCGTGTGTGTGTGTTAGGGAGGGAGGTTTGGGACGGACAGAAAGCTGTGTGTCTGAGTGGTCTGGGGTTTGAATAATGCCTCTATTGGCAGCTCATATAAACTAGCCCCTGATGGATGACTTACTAGCCTCCTTTATTCCCAGTTGTGTAATTTAGCATCATTACCTATGAAAACCAGTCACCGCCGAGACAACCCAAACTGATGTCTTACGTCCACCGGAGTCATAGATCATCATTTCCGGCATGGGCGGACAGGGGGAGGAAGCTCTTGATTAGTTGGGAGAAATCCAGCAGAACACAATTAGTCTGGGGTTAGGGCTTGCAATTTTCAGCGGCTCTAACATTGATGGATTAAACTTGCCAAAATATTGAATTAATAATACTATAGAAAAATAAACCTCCCTCTGGGTTCACATAAGGTGGAAAATGTATGCTTTTATTTGATTCAAAAAGAAATATTTGACTTATAACCGAGCTTTCTTTTTCAGCTTCACTTGACCATGACTCGAAGCTCATTGAGTCATCCATCACAGGGCCTGAGTGGAAATGTTGGCTCTTGTGCCATTTCAGGATTTTTATTTTAAAGTAGTATTTGGATGTTAAAAATAAGAAATGTATATCGTCAGATAATGGCAGAAACTGGTCGTTATTTGTAAAGGTCAGTCCGGGTTGGACTTGGACCATTTCGTTTTGTGGATTTAGAGCAAGTTTTTTCGGCTTTCATCTTTCCTCGCTCTGCTCTCTTTTATGCATGTTTGTTTGTGACCTTTACTATCCATTTTACTTGGTTTGCTCTTGGACTGGTACGCTTTAAGGGATGGGGGGAGGTGAAGGCCATTGTTACCTTTGAGCCTCCTGAGGTGGCCAATTAAAATCCTGGGACCAAATATTCCTAAATCAAACTGATCGCAGCCAAGAGGTCAGTATTTGTCTCAATATTGCCAGTGATAGGTCGTCTGGTTAGCAGAAATCTCTCTTCTGACCCTCTAAATGGAAAAACGATGGTTCACAACCTCACTGATAGCAGTAAAGATAGCTGAGTAATACACGCTGTCCAAACAGCTTGGATCTCTACTTTGTCTGTGTGCTTTTTATTATTCTCTTTCAGTTCGTCAGCCTCATCAGACGCTCTCTCTTCTTTGCCGTAATGAGCCGATAAAAAGGGAACACCTCTCAAAGTGTGGGGAGGGTCTTTTTCATCTCCTGTCTCATTATGTAGATAATTTGAAACCTATTGTCTCTGTAGCAACGATAAAGGGATTTATGAATAAACTTGACCATAAACAGACACCCTACATTAGCTGCGTGTTTATGCCGGCGATGAATACATTATTGATATAGATTAATTAATGTGACTTTCCCCTCATGCTCACTCTCTGGCCTTATCAGCTCCATTTTGTGGCCAGTTCTGAGCAAGGGGGACAGTGTTTGGTGTTTAGCATTTCTTGGCACTCTCGGTCGTGAGCCTATTTTTAAAGTTAAAAAGTGCTCGCAGTGTGGCCGCGAGAGAGGACACTGAAGAAGCAAACTGGTGATCCATGATGCTTTTATGAAAGGATGACAGAACGCTTCAGCTTATAAACTCACACAGGCTGCAATGATTAATCCTCACAGCCCACTTAGAGCAAGAAAAAGCTAATTCTGCTGTGAAGATAAAAAAGACTGATAATTATGTTTATACTTTCTCTGTTTTTTAACCTCAGCGCCAAAGGATTTCCTGATCGTGACGGCCTATTGGGTTTACGTTGCGGCGGGGTCGTCAAACCTGCATAATTTCGACGTGGGTTTTGTGTGATCATTTGTGACATTTTTTTCCACTGATGCATTTTATTTGCCCCAGACTTTCTGTCTGAGGTACGCTCACACGAGAATTCAAAGCAAATACATTAATGAATAACTAATCTTTGCAGATGCATGAATCTACATATCAATGTAATCAGAGGATGTTGTGTGCATGGCTATTTCCAGCAGAGGGGCTGAGAGGATGTCAAGCATGCAAAGCTCTCTCTGCATATATGCTAATTGGGCTCCATCTCCAGTCTGAATACCAATCTTGCTGAAATGAACTTGTTTACTTGCTCATTTTTAAGGTGTCTTTTTACGCTGCACTGCTGCGTATATATCAAGCTTCTTGCTGTGCAGCTGGGTAAGATGTAAGATTAATGGGTGCACTCTGGGACACGTGAAATCGTGGATTCCCGGTGATTTTGCATTTGATTCAACACTTTCATGACACAGCAAATATCGCAGATATTTCAGGCAGAGAAGCTCCGAGGCAAGAGGAGCGTAACGTTTGTGTGCAAGATGCAAGAAT